CCTTGCCAGTTGCTACACTTTCCATTGATTAAGATTGGTTAGGAACCAGGTCCAAGATGCTAGATGTACCTACCTACCCAGGTACTCATATGCATTACACAAGATACCACTTTTGCACATTTATTCACCACATTTACTGATCACCACTCACCAGTTGTAAGCAATATTCCAACAAAACATGTCTTTCAGTATAACAAAACAACTGAGCAGACCTTGAGTAACCAAGTATGAGGTATGAAGAAGGGAACTCATGTAAAGAGATTACAATATAGTCATTCTCTATACATTATTACGGTCATCATTATACTATAGTCATATAGTCATAGTCAAAATGAAATGTGTGAAGTAAGATTAGTCATGAATTGATTATCACTAATCTTATTTCACACATTTCATTCTTAGATTCCCAGGCTATCTGAGTATTGCAAATCTTGGCAGGCAAAATTTAACAGTATTACAAACAATTAACAAAACATATCATGATTATTGATTCATATTAAAGCCACTGACAAGTGACACTCTGCTCGTTCTAGAAAAAGGAAGGATATTATGTTTTTGTGGTGTTTTGTACCCTAAATTTTAGTTAATAAAAGATTCATTAACCCGCGCCGTGCTGGTGGCCTGAACTTTCCGCCGAGTGCTGGGGGGGGGGGGCGTTTTCACGCCCCCCCCCGTCTAACTCGGCTCCTGGGCCACGTAGCGACACGCGGTAAGCGGCAATCGAAAGAGCGTCAAAAATAAGGACGAAAACACTTCGGTCATTTTTTGGGTCAGGTCAAAGGTCAGGTCACCAGAGGTCACCAAAGGTAAAATGTTGACTATTTCAACATTTTGGAAACTGCCAACGGCTATCTCGGGAACCGATAGAGCTACAGCGCCGCGGAAAAGCGCATTCGATAGCCCTTTTACAGACCTTTCTGAGTAATGTTCTCAGATTTGACCTCGGGTCAACGGTTTAGCCTCCAGAGGGCAAAAACTCCAAAAATAGCCGTTTTTACGAAAAACGTTTTTTCGTCAATAACTTTTGACTCATAAGCGCCATGACATTACTTTTGCCAGCATCGTGTTCCTCTCGTCGAGACGCGTCGAATGAACTATTCGTTGACCTTGAAAGGTCATTTTGAAAATTTGACCTCAGGTCAAGGTCATGACCTGACCGAAAAGGGTCATGTTGCATATCAGTCGATCCGTATCGTCGAGCTGAACACATCTGACGTGTTTTCACCGCTCTAGCACGTCTCTATCAAAAGTTATAGCCAAAAAACTGCTGGCGACCGTTCATGACCTGAGATGACCTCAGGGGCACACAGAGGGGTCACAGGTGCATTTTTCCTATTCAGTGTGTCATGTTTACCTATGAACCGATGTTTGAGAGCGTTTTGAACGATATTCGTCCAAAAGAGGCGCATTTCAATTTTCTCCCATTGACTTATAATGGAGAGGTCGCAAAATTGACCTGACCTTAGGTCACAGATATCAAAAATCCGAGATATACATTTTATACATACTGTTACTCATATCAATCGCTGAAAGTTTCAAAGTGATCGTTCAGTCGGTGTAGCTATAGCGAGCCTTTGAACTTTTTCTGAGGTAAGGTCACTTGACGTGACCTGGTGACCTGACCTTGAACGGCCTAGGTCTGAAATTTTCACAACATGTGCGGAAATGATGTAGGAACACGTGTACCAAAAACGGCGGCGCGCAGCGCCGCCGTTTTTGAGATATTCGCGAAAAACCTGAGGGGGGGGGGGGCGTAAAAACGCCCCCCCCCAGCACGGCGCGGGTTAACTTTTGAATAGTTCCAGGGTTACTTTTACAGGAAAAGTTGAGAGGGGGAATAAAGTTCGGGGCAAAGGCGGATCCAGGGGCATCTGAAAGGGGGGTGGGCGGCAATACCATTAGGGTTTTCGTTAGGATGGAGCCCGCAGAACCTTACCTACCCCCAAATCCTATTCTTTCCTCGGTTTTCAGCCACTTTATTTTGGAAGGTTGCCAAAAAATAATTTTGCTAAAAAATATACGCACCTACCTTGGCTGTAAGGGGCGGGGGAGGTCCCAACTTGACTGCGCCCTTGCAAATGCCAATCAGTAGTATCAACCTATCAGTGGTATCAATAACTAGTAGGTATACCCCGGCCAAACATTAGGTAACGCCTTTCTAAAGAGAGAGGTTAATCTGCGCCCTGATTGGAGGTCATTTTGGCCCCCATGTGGGTTTTCTTGAAAAGCGAAAAACGGCGCGCCGCCAAATTTTTAGTACCTTACCGGGCATCAATTTGAAACCTTCGCACAAAATTTCAAGTCTTAGGTCACCTTAGGTCAGGAGTAATTGATGTCAAACTGTTCGAGCAAAAATGAGCAAAAAACATGAAATTCTTAAACGCTCACAAAAGCTACAGTTAACGAGCAATTCCAAAGTTCTTTGTGTGGTCGTGTATGTAGAGAAACGACGGCGCTACAAAACTGCAACCTCTACAACTACAAGGTGGGCAGTGATATCCGAACAAAAACTAATGAAGCACAAAACTTGAATTATTACTATTAGTATTAGTGAGCAGTGAAAGTTCCATTGGGAAAGCCGGCTGTGATGAGGTACATTTTTTTTGCGCCCTGCTCTGCATGCAAAGCAGATGAACGTGAATGCTGCATAAAGAGAAAAGTCATTTATTACTCAAAGCTTTGATGCCTATGGGACAAAAATAACGTTGTTTTTCCTTCAATGATTCCGGTTTGGAGGATGGTTAAACACGGCCATTGTCATATTGGGACAAAAATTTTAGATGTCTGGCCTTGGCGTCGATGAAAAAGTGAAAATAATCGTGAATAAATGGGTCGTTTCTGAGAAAGAACACAGAATATAAAAGGGGGTCCAAAAGGGGGTCACCTTCTTTTTGCGTCAAAGGAGGGGCCATGGCCCATTGCCCCCCTCCCCCTGTATCCACCCTTGGTTCGGAGAGGTAATCCCGTCCCCCGCCGGTTTCTACGCCGACGCCTGTACCGATATGTCAGTGATTGCGAAAAGACGGAAGAGACAAGACAAGAGACGGTCCCACTGACTATCCGATCGGTATCGGGTCAAATCTGGAGTTCCTGCTGCACTGAACGTAAAATGGTTGGATGGAACCGAAAATTGAAAATTAATAATTATCTTAACGCCAGCAACGTTGATTGATGACGAGAATCTGATTAACGATGACTATACAGGGTGATTTTTTTTACTTGTTAAAAAGTAATGAGGTTTAGTGGCGTCAAAATGCAAATATACCTATGCTGTAAAATTATATACCAGCATGACGAGCATTCTGGGACATTTTGATTTCATGCAGACACGATGTGAAGGAACGTCCATCGTGTATTTTACTTGTGCTTGAAGTTACCCCCTCTCTCACCGACACGAATCAGCCCGCCTGAGCACGTGTTGAACAGCACCATGGACTCCCATGCTCATTAGGCGGACTGAAAAGGTTCCTATCACCCATTTTCAGCTCTGCCAGATATTTCCAATGTTTTCTTGTTATATCTGCCATACCTGGGTCCAAAAACTAGAAGTCTAGAAAGGGCAGGTCGGGGATTTTGCTACTGGCGGCCCTGGTGGTGTCTGATTCGCTGTTTTTGTTTCTCCCTGAAGACTGATTCTTCAGAGGATGCACATACGCCAGATGGACCGTTTGAAGGTTATTTATGACTACAAGCTTGTTCGTGCATTATTTAACGTCTTTCTGAGGTATCCCCTTGATGATCGTATGCTTCGAACTGCCTCAATGCTTCAAAATCATCGTTTTGTGTCGTTCCTTACTGAACGGCGGTGGACCATGCGTGCCCGATTGGTGGGACATTTTCAGGCTCCACTGGGGCCGAGGCCTTCGGTTAAAAGGGACAAATCATGACACCATACAAAATGTCCTAGATTTATCTATCACGTGCATTGCTTTTTTGCACAAGATTTTTCGATTTAGGGACCACCATTGACGTTTACTTTTTAACAGTTAAAAAAAATCACCCTGTAGAATCTGAATAGCGAATTGATTGAAAATGGGCTCCAAAATAAATTTGAAAGGGGGAAATTCCCCCTTCCCTCCCTAGCCGTTCAGACACGATTTGAAAGGGGGAGCGGAATTTTCGAAGGGGGGAAATTCCCCTCTTCCCCCCCTTTAAAAGTAACCCTGCCTATAACTAATGTAAAAGTTAATGGTTTTTAACTTTTTTTCTAGAACGATATTACAAAAAAATGCAAAACCGCAAATAATGCATGCAGACAACGCATAGTGTAGCTTGGCCTTCAGTTCAAGCCTATCTCAATCATTCTCATAAGTATAGGTCAAGGTTTGAACTCCACAGAACCTCAATTCTTATTATTAATATCAACCTCAAATCATCAACCTCAAGCCAATTAACTGGTTCTACAGGTGATGATGTACACAAATTCTATGCATGCAACCAATATGGTAAAATATTAACAGCCATTGACACAAAACACAAATGTAGGTATCATTGAATTTGTGAAAGACAAATCAAGAGTAAGGTTCTGTTTTGCAGTTGACACGGAATATGGCACAGCCGCTACAGAAAAAATGCAGAACGATATAGGGAAAAAATGAAAATACTTACTCTGAAAATCATTAAATATATACGCAGCGCTTGTAAGCTCCCACACAAACAAGCACACGAATCAACATGGGAAACACAAGAAATTTGTGTAACACGTGGTTGGCGCTTGCAGCATACAGCATATTGTCTTGCCTGCGCAAGAAGTGTAATAAATTGTAAGGTTACATGTTGTAAGGGTTAAGCGTTTTATACTTTTTATTTCGGTAGTTTTATGTTTTTCATTATCTACTACATTAAAAAGTGATTAACTTGTGCTAATGTATTTACAGTTTAATATTTGCTTTAATTTGCGGGAAATCACTGTCTGAATTTAGTCAAACCATTTTATTTTGTTGAAAATGACGTCATTTACAGTAAAAACTTCACAAATAATCGAAATATCAAAGGAAAGAACTTGATTGTGAAACACTGAGAAAACCTTGGAAAAACGGATAACGAATCAAGCTGTGGCTGCAGTTTCAAATTTCAATAGGTTTGAAAACACAGGAATTTTAGAAAACCGACTGCAAAACTTAAGGAAAAAGAAGCTGAGGTAAAGTTTATTTCAATTTTCAATCAATATCAATGGTGAAGCGCGTATACCAATACGCCATACGGGCGGCCTCGACGCCTAACGGGCACTTTGCAGTTTGCACTGCGCGAGTATGCTAAGTGCTTGTGATGCAATAGTTTATTATTTAATTCCTTAAAGCTCATGCCTTTTGGTACATATGGCTTTTGAAATGTGTGACAGTTGCTGCTCGTGCAGCTACCTAGGTACTCTACTGATGCGCGTTGCAATTCGCAAGCTTGGAAAAGTTGCCATTTTCTGGTGTCATGGTATTCCTACCAAGAACCTATGTAGGTTCCTGAATGCATAGAGGCTAAGGAACAGGAAATTAGTTCCAGATTTTGTTGAATTGGATGAATTGGTTCAGGAATGGGGTGCACACCTGTCACTTGGTAAGCTAAGAGCTGGGTCTTGAATTGCATGTGCAATATTTGTTTGTGTTTTATCCTGTATTGCCTTTCATCATTTTTAAATACCATGTCTGTGGCTCTCCCACCCCCCCCCCAATACATACCCATGGTCAATAAACAAATGAATGGATGAATGAATGTCAACACACACCTGAGCATAGGTAGACCTCTGCTGAGCCAAGAGTGTCTTGGCGCAACAAATGTTACTGCCGCCATAGCAGATAACTTGACCTCTGCTAGTGCTGTCTGTTATGGCTTCAAAGCTAAGCCAGTTTGGAATAGGTAGAGTTTGGGCATCCCCAATCCAGCACAAAGTTCCAACTATGCACCTAAGCAAGAGCTAGTGGAGGCTGGGGCTCACATCTGTGATCTGACTTCTGAGATTAAGAACTTGTTGAAATTTGCCCTGTCTTGTTGTTTGGGTGAACACACACTAACACCTTTTCCTATAGGTACCTAACATCTACCCAATACTTGAGATAAACAAATTTTTATGGCAATGGGTTACAAGTTCTGTGGTCAAATAATGCTGGACTATGCATGTGTATCAGATTGGTGTCAATATCTGCAGTCACCCAAGGGCTCTGATTCCATAACTGAACACCATACATGCAGCTGCTGAAGAAGGAGCAATTGACAGCTTGGCAGATGCCATATTTTCACTGACTTTTTGTCTGTCTGCACTGAAATGATATGATGTGGTTTCAGGTTTGTTGTGCCAGGTGCCAACTTTGTAGTGATCAATAGGTACTGCTGATTGTACACTGTGTTTCCTTTTTTTCCAGGAAATGGATCAAACTGTGAAGCTCACATACTCCATCCATGATTACTCAAGCTTTTCTGGGAGTTATTTGCCAAAGTAAAGTGCTGTTCATCCTTCTAGTCTACTGGTGTTGTGTCAACTGGGTTTGGAAAGCTAAATGACATAGCTTACTCAAGATTTGATTTTTTAATCAACATTTCCTAATGCATTCAGCCACATTTGCTTAGTTTTGTATACCTACTACACGTTATTATAGATTACTGAAATGTTAGTTGCTTGCATGATAGCAGTAGTGTGGCAATATTAGCCTGTTTAACAATGGTGATAACAGATATACTTGTCAGCATCCTAAGCATTAACAAGATATCAACTGTTTACAGTGACTGCTTGGAAAAGTGAATGTCATAGCTTACTCAGGATTTGATTTTTCAGCCACATTTCTTTCTACATGTAACAAAAGTTTATTTTGGATCATGTTCTCATCTTCATGTAATAGGGGAAAGAGGCACGATGTCCTGTAGGGCATGTACTCGCCAATTTCTTCATTTAACTTCATTCTGCACTCATTCAGTACTTCTGAGTACATGTGTGTTTATAATTAGCATGTTAACTCTGTTCTTCAGGAATATTGCTGAGGACAAGCCAAACGACCAGGCTTCAAGATGGTCATCAGAAAACAACAACCCACCTCAGGTATGATCCTGTCATTGTTTGCACTGCAGTGACTGCGGTCCACTGATTTCCCCATTTCAAATTGTCTTACATATTTACATCATGCATGCCAGGTATCTAAAGGTACTAATGTATGATGTATGAGGAATGTGTACGAAGAGGTACGGAAGACTAGCGATAGCAGTCCGTTATTTACTCATGTCCTTGGTGTTGTTTATAATCAGCTATATCACATAATTGTTCGTTTGCATTGGCTAGGCGGGCTGTGCCTGATTACTTTTCGTTTATTTACAGTACATCACCCTGAAGCTAAAACAGCCGGCCATTGTAAGAACCATTACGTTTGGAAAGTACGAAAAGACGCATGTGTGTAATCTGAAAAAGTTCAAAGTGTACGGTGGTCTCTGCGAAGACAATCTGATTGAGCTTCTGGACAGGTGGGTGACATTACTAAATCGCTTTCACACATCCACTTTTGCTGGAATGTAGGAGGAGGCGGAAGGTATTACTTTTTGTTACTTCTTTGTTTGAGCAATTCTAGGCATGGAGGATGCCGCATGATGTACACTTTCGCTGCCTCTTTCATGCATATCGTTATTTTACCTTTTTCAGACAGCATTATGTTATTGCATGTGACATTATTTTTCAGATATTTAAATATCTTCTTTCGAACATTTAATTTACATTCAACGTCATCGAATTGACATTTCGGTCTCATCCTTTTGACCAGCGGTTCCGTCAGTCGTCCTTGTCTTACCGCCGTGCGTCGTCTCGCTCGCGTGTGGTCTCAGCTTTCGGTGCCCCTCCCCACTGCAGCTGCCCCTTCTCCCGTCACCCGCTCCCCCCTCCCCTCCCCTCCGCCGCCACGATCGTGGCGGCTGATATTGCTTTGCTCCTGCGCTGTCGACTCGGATTTCACTGTCGGTTCCGTTTACCGCTACCAACCCGAGTCGGCCGGCGTGTTAATATACCCTGGACGTTAGTGTCTGGGGGGGGGGGGGGGAGCAGGGCTGGAATAACATCGGTCAGTTACCTCCTGATCCGCAGCTTTTGGAGATGGTGGCACAAACACTTCATTTTGTTAGTGTCGCTGGTGTAACAAAAACATGGGAAAATCCAAACATCAAGCGTTTTGCCCTGCTGCTTCTTGATATTATAAGAATCTGGTCGCTGTGTCCGTGTCCCGTTTGGTAGGTCCTTGCATACTAGGGTGGTAGACGTATGTCTAGAGATGGCTGATAAGCTTTACCAGACGAAAAAAGCTGTTAGGCTCATAGTGCCTTTTTGGTTGACAGCGGTTTGAAGAATGACAACCAGCCGGAGACGTTCTACCTGCGCTACAAGCTGGAGAACAACCCGTTCCCCTGCCAGTACATCAAGGTGGTGCCGCTGCACTCGTGGGGGCCCAGCTTCAACTACAGCATCTGGTACGTCGAGCTGTGGGGCGTCGACGACCACGACACCGTGCTGCCCCACATGAACTGGTTCAACGCCGTAAGTCGAGAAAGATACAGCCCTGAAGTGTCGCTGTGTTCCGTGGAGGGGTCACTGTATTCGGATAGTGCTGACCTGCTCGGGAAAATACTTTGTTAAAAGTGCGAGGTGTTTTTTATGTCAAAGAGCAGCTGCATTCATGAGTTTCATAGGTTGTTCAATTTATTTCCTGCTCTGGTATAGTTGATCACTACGTTGTAGTTGCTTGATGTGATTTTATGTCCCGCTTTTTTAACATAAGATATGCGCAACATTTCTGCGCGAATAATGGTCGTTTAAGTTATAAGTGCATTCATTTTCATCAATAATTATTTTCACTTAAATCACGGGGCGTCATATCTTACAGTTGTGAGTTTGACGCACTAATCTGGTAAATGCCCTTCGTTAACTGCCCTTCCGTCCCATCCCGGTGTCGCACGTCCCTCGTCAGCTGACGGCCTCACCCCCCCCCCCCCTCCCCCGCCGCAGTACCGGGAAAAGGAGGCGATCCGGCTGTGTCTGAAGCACTTCCGGCAGCACAACTACGGCGAGGCGTTCAGCTCGCTGCAGAAGCGCACGCGCGTCCAGCTGGAGGCGCCGCTGCTGACGGAGCTGTTCGAGTCGCTGGTGGAGCGCGGAGACTTTGCCGCCACCGAGGAGGCCGTCCAGCGCGCGCAGGAGAGCGGCCTCTTCAGCGAGTACATCAACCAGCACGAGTACCGGCCAGAGTGGCGGCCCATCGTGCCGGAGCCGGGCGCCGAGCGGCCCGGTATGCGCGGCGGACACCAGGTCAGTGAGGGGGGACTGGGGGACGGGGGTGGGCGCCGAGCGGCCCGGTATGCGCGGCGGACACCAGGTCAGTGTGTGTGTGTGGGGGGGGGGGACACCAGCTCAGTGTGTGGGGGGGGGCAGGGGGCGCCGAGCGGCCCGGCATGCGCGGCGGACACCAGGTCAGTGGAGGGGGGGAGGACAGGGGCAGAAGGGGCTGGAGTGGTCACCGAGCGACCGCGGGGGGCACCAGGTCAGTGGGGAGAGGGGAAGGGGGCACCAGGTCAGTGGGGAGGGGAAGGGGGGACAGGGGTCGCCGGGCGACCCGGCATGCGCGGCGGACACCACGTCAGAGCACCAACCTACTGGCTCATATCTTTTCGCTTTTGTTACAGGAGCTCCGCAATGAGTTGACTTTGTGTGTGCCGAATGCATCTGCCTCCTCATCGTGCTGTGTATGCCGTGCTCATCTCTCATCTCCCTCGGACGGGAACTGCGGCGCTATGTTCTCTGTCGCAGCGACCACCGATAGGGTGACGTCGGGCCTCGTTTCAGATGTGTTTCGACCCGACCCACGAGGTGATGTACCTGTTCGGCGGCTGGGACGGCACGCAGGACCTGTCCGACCTGTGGGCCTTCTACATCCGACAGGGACAGTGGACCAGGCTGTCGGCCGACACCTCGACAGAGGTCAGTGGGCCAGGGTCAGAGGTCAGATTAGACCAGGTCAGTGGGTGGAGGTCAGAGGTCAGTGGGCGTGGGCCAGAGGTCAGTGGTCATCGCCGGTCTCCAGACCTGGGGCTGTATTCACGTCGACTTCGTAAGTCGATTTTCTTTCGTAAGTATAATTTGGTATTCACGTCGATACTTCTTAAGTTTTTATCGACGGGATTCACGTGATTAAAAAAATTTACTTAAGAAGTAGGTCAAACTTAAGAAAATTCTTACGAAAATGATCGACGTGAATACGGCCCCTGTTTTGTAGTCATCGGTTATACACGGTATACGTCATACAGTGTGCAGAATGCGTACAGGCCGTTATTTCAGTCTGGTGGCCGCCCAGGCCGAGAACAGTACGACTTATCACCGCCTTCGCTACACGGAGCCGTATTCCGTGTCAGGTCTCCCAGAGTCCTCCGATCGCCGTAGAAATCCCGTATCTGAGAGGCGCCACTACCGTGTCAGACCTCTATAAGTCCGCCCGTCGCAGTGGAGTACCCCGTACCTGAGCGGAGCCGTGCTGTCGTGGTTCCAGGGCGGTCCTACCGCTCGCAGCTGCCACAAGATGTGTCTGGACGTGGAGCGACAGCAGCTGTTCACGCTCGGACGATACGTCGACTCGGCGCAGCGCATCCCCGAAAACCTCAAGGTACGCAGAGGCCGATGGTGTACCTTTAGTGGACCCACCGGGCGCTTATCATGGTTTCTAACACGACCATCGATCTGCATGAAGTTCTCTGAAGTCAAGGCTTTACTTATCATTCGATGTATTTTTATTGAATGTAGGATATCCAAAATCAATGCCTTTGCTGTCTTACCGTATAGTAGCTGACGTTCCGGCCTGGCTCCGTTTACAGGGCGATTTTTACATGTACGACATCCCGTGCGGACGGTGGACACTCATCACAGACGACACGGCCAGCATGGGCGGGCCGGCGCTCATCTTCGACCACCAGATGTGCCTGGACCCCGTGAGCCGCACGCTCTACGTGTTCGGCGGCCGCGAGCTGACCTGTACCGCGCCGTGAGTTCGTTCAGCCGCTTGTTTCTTATTTTAAGGGACTCCGTTTGCCTGGGTGTCGCCTGCAGTTATCATCAGCGCTAATTCACGTGTTGAGTCAAGAGAACTTATAACAGAGATTCGATTCTGTTTCAAAGGTGCGGTACAGTATGCATATGGAAAGCCATGGAACCTTTTCAATGATTACATATTTACACCCAGAGATAGCTTTTAATGAAGTTGATGTTGGCACTAAGTGCTTGAGACGTCTCCAGGAGTTCACTGGTCGGTCACCGTGTCCCGTCCCTCCCCTGAACTCTGATGTGATGCCATTCTCAGGAGCTCGCTGGATGATCGGACGGGTACGTTGAGCTCAGTGGACCCGGTGTTTTCGGGCCTGTACGCGTACCACGTGGCGACCAGCACGTGGACCCGCCTGCGTGCCGACTCGTACCACCCGGGACCGGGTACGATCCGCTCCCGGGTCTCCCACTGCATGCTCTTCGACCAGGTGGGTGAGGTGTCTGCCCCTCGACACTCATGATGGGCATGCTTATGTCTTTCTGTATGCTTATATCTGTTTGGTTCGGTGCTTTCGTCATGGTTATTTATGTAGTTGAACAACCTCTGATGTCTAGATATAATAAAGGGATTTCCACCGACTATCCGTAGTTGTAACCAAGGCCGTATATAGGTTGTAACAATGAATTACCGCAAATCACCTGAAACATCAAGCCCCTGAGGTTCAGTCACCACCCGCTCGGCCTGCTAGTCTTGTCCGGTAGCCCACAAAAATTCTGACCTCGCCTTCTCTCCGCCCACCCGGCAGAAGAGTCGTAAGTTGTACATCCTCGCTGGCCAGCGGAGCAAGGAGTACCTGAACGACTTTTTCACCTACTCGCCCGACACAGACGAGCTGACGATGATATCGGACGGCACGCGCGGCGACGGCAGCGTGGACGTACCGGCGGCGGGCACCACGCAGCGCGCCACCATCGACGTCCAGCAGGCCGAGATACACGTCCTCTCGGTGGGTACGAGAGGGTGGGGGGGGGGGGGGCGAGATACACGTCCTCTCGGTGGGCGCGAGAGGGGGAGACTGAAGGGGAGGGAGGCTGAGATTCACGTCCTCTCGGTGGGTGCGAGTCGCGAGAGAGGGAGTACTGACTGACGGGTGGGGGCGGGGGAAGGCCGAGATACACGTCCTCTCGGTGGGCGCGAGAGGGGGGACGGAGAGGAAGGTCGAGAGACACGTCCTCTCGGTGGGTTGAGAGGGGGAGACTGAAGGGAAGGGAGGCCGAGATACACTTCCTCTCGGTGGTTTGGAGAGATAGTGGACAAGAAAGGGAACGGGTTCCGTCAGGACGGTGCGTTACACAGTACACTGTATTTCACGTGGATTTCCAACGCTGTTTCATGCGTCATGGTAGTACTTCTGATAAAGTTGCATCTTTTTACTGTAAGTAAAGCATGTGGAACAGAGACTAACAAGTGAATGTTTGATGAATATCCATGAGTCACCTCTGTACGCTGAGGTGTACAGAGGTCTATGATCCACGATAAATGGTCAGATGTTATCATTTTTACTAGCTCCTGTTATCATTTCAGGGGCTGAGCAAAGACAAAGAAAAGAAGGAGGATAACCTGAAGAACTCGTTCTGGGTGTATGACATCAAACAGAATAGGTGGTGAGTACTAGTAGCACCTGGTTTGATTTTCATCCCCGAGCTACCGGGTCTGCGCATTCCGCCAACCATACTCCCTGTTGTGCCTAGCACAGTGTTCTGATTACTTGGTTCTGATCCAACGATTGTTGCCGTTCCGTTCACGGTTTCTCCTATAATGCTCCGTCAGGTCGTGCATCTACCGAAACCGTGCTGAGCCGAGCGGATCGGACGACTCCAAACCGCTGGTGGAGCCGTGCCCTCGGTTCGCACACCAGCTGGTGTTCGACCACATGCGAAAGGTAAGTCCTGTCGAAACAATTGCTGACACTGACACGGGACAGTGGGTCCGAGCGAAAAAAAAAAAAACATCCATGTTCGGAACGTGCAGGTGGGTGACAATTTATTGGATATTCACTAAGCTTCCAAAATAAAGCTAGGTACTTTCGTTTTGTAAGCTGTCAAAAGGTTGTCGACAAAGAATGCGTTCAAAGCATTGTGTATGTTGACGAGTGGCGAGTGTCTACGGGCAATGAAAATCAATTAGCGGCGTGGGCCGTGTGTCAACTGATTTGTGTCTGTGATGTCAAATATGTCGTCTTATTGACGTTAGTCGTTAACGTCGTATTTATCTGTCCATTTATAGATATTCTACCTGTTTGGTGGCAACCCAGGCCGCAAAGGCAACCCAAAGATGCGTCTGGACGATTTCTGGCGTCTGAAGCTCACTCGACCCACCTGTTCGGAAGTCCTGCGGCAGTGCAGACTGCTGCTCAGGAAACAAAGGTAGGTCGCCACAGTCGCCTGTCCGATGGGCTGGAACGGATTGTGAGCGAATGTATCGGGCGACCAATAGAATTCTTTCATTCTGTTCGTAGAATTATTGTGTACGAGTTACGCAGAAAGGTTACCTCTTAGCCTGGCACATGACCTGACGCTGACCGTACTTGGTTGCGCCTCAACTAGCCCTGGCTCTTCCTGGAGGTGTGCTGTTTCGCCTAAGCTGACCATGACCTGGCCCTCTTTGACGTGTTGTTGCCGTCGGGCCAGGTTCGAGGAGCTGGTGCCGTCGGACCCGGTGGCCGCGCTGCAGTACCTGCAGACGGAGGTGGCCGCCGCCGTCGATCACGCCGACGCCGAGCAGGAGCGCCAGTTTCAGCTGCTTGCCGGCCGGCTGTTCGCGCCGCCGGCCGCCGACCCGGCCGACCCGGAGCCGCGCCGCGCCGCCCGCTCGCGACTCTTCGACCAGCTGACCGTGTTCTTTCCGGCCGAGATGGCGCAGCCGCGCTCCAACCTGACCGACCTGATCCGGCTGGACAAGTGAGCGCTGCCGCACGGACATCTGTCGGACCGAGCGGCACAAACGACCTCACGGGCGGCTGCTCCGATCCGGGAGCAAAGCGATCGCCTGGCTTCGACCTCTGCTCGAGCGCTGGGATTGCGAGACCCAACTGTTTGATACCTGGCGGTGTGACTCAACGAGCGCTGAGAAGAATTGTACGGTTACATTGACTGTTCGGACTATACGTGCGAGATGTTTCGGTTGTTCGAGCCATACTTCCACGGGGTGTTACATATGCTCACGGATGAGGCAAGAATGACGTCGCCCTCTGGGTTGGAGTGTTCGAGGTCGACTTCAATTGACCATTGAGTCAGCTTAGCGAGAGTTGAACTCGCAACGGCCTTGTCCTTCCAGTAAATATGTACTGCCTCGTGGAGATGTAGTACGTACGACCGGTGCCTCGCAGTTTCGGCTATCTGGTCTTAACGCAGTCGACGTACGTTGCGACATTTGTGGTGTTGCGACATTTCAGACACGGACGCGGGCCTGCCCCGAGATTGCCACACAACGGCACGTTTACCGCCTCCTACCGGCTGCCGGTGACGCAGGTTGTATGACTAAGCGGACTGAATGTCGAGTAAAAGCCTGCGCGTTGTGCCTGTGCGTGAGTCATGTGTCAGCTGCAGCACGACTGAACGGTATGAATTGTCTATCGAATATTCTCGGTGATAAAAAGAGAGCTTTACTGTCATTCGACCGAACCACAATGCACTGGGCTAGACGTGCGCTCCGTCGACAAACCATAACTGATGCCATCTCCGGAGCACCGGACTTCTTCCGCCCAGTAATCTCATTTTTCAAATGTCTGGCAGCTGGCACGTCTGGCATGGCGAATGTCTGCAGCTGGCTGCGATGCTTTAAAAGTGATTCGTTTTCGAGTTATTCGCTCATGGTTTGTGAAAGGGCGACTCGAATGTTTGTGCGAGACTAGTCAGTCTGGAGTCACGACTGTTTTTGTCGCTTGAGCCACTGGTCTCAGGAGACTGTGTCCTGCGTGTGAGCGGAATGTTTCTATCGAACGTGCCGAAATACATCGAATTGCAATGTTCATAAGCATGCTGTCTTACTGGGTATTCGACAGACTAGGAGCGTCAAAACGATGAGCAAAATTATACGCACACCACACTGCAAACCTGGGTACACGTTTATACTCGTAGGCAATAGGCATTTTATAAATATAGCCTTCCGACCAGGCGCCTAGTTGTGAACTAGCGGCACACCCACGATAGATGGCAACACATTTGACTCATGTCACAGAACATATTCTGAGGTCAGTAATGCTCATGGAACATTAGACCGAAAAGTACATAAATGTCCTTGAACAGGCATTACGGAGTTGTCGGCAGGCCGTTGTGACTAGGCACACTCGGCGTTCCGCGCTTTGTCAACGGCTAAAAAGTTCTCTGGGGCGCCATCGCTGCTGGGGCTATCAGGCATCCCCCGGCCGTCTCATAACATACCGCTCCAGGGCCACACAATGTCACCACCGCGGCACTATCATTCGCTATTACTGCACTCCAGCCGGCCGGCGCCACTAGGGCTCCTCGAGCAGCGCCTGCCGCTGGCTCTTCTGGTGCTGCTCGTAGTCGCGATCCACCAGCCGCACGTCGACGGGCGGGATGAGTGCGCCGGCCACGCAGCGCCGCTCCAGGTTCATAAAGTTGAACGTGGCCGCCGCCTGCTCCGTCGGCAGGATCTCGAACGAGATCTTCTTCTGACGCAGGAAGGCGATCACCTCTTTGCTGACAGTGGTGCCGCGGTCGCCTGTGAAAAACGGCCGGGGTTGGTAACGCAACCGGTATCCCGTCAACAGTCAATGGCAGATGTTCTTTCTAATAATATCGTAACAGACGTCGGGACCCCACGCCCGCTGGGCCCGGTGGAGCGAGGCTCCAGCTGCTGACCTGTGCCGATGACGAGGCAGTCCAGACGCGGCTCCAGGATGGCGAACAGCGCCAGCGAGGCGGGCGTGATGTGCGATGCCGAGGGTACGTTCCAACCGAGCACCGTGCGCGGGAAGACGGCCATCGGCCCCAGCACCACCACACCAGAGTTCAGGTGAAATCCATACTGTGAGAGGTAGGAGAACAGTGATAACTGGTGGTCAAAACACCTTAGCCTTTTCAAAGTAAGTGCTTAGATAGGATTTTCATCAATTTGAGCCTATGTCCTGGTGAAAGGTCAGTTCAGTTAGAAAACAAGGCATCACATCAGCTGACTCAGCAATTGAGTTAGCTCAGATAAGAGCCAGATAGGAAGTGAAACCATGCTTAGCTCAGAGAAACTAGAAGTAGGCCTTGATATCATATGATAGCTACATCTCTTTGCCTGAGCAAATGCCACATTTTACTAACAGTCCATTCAGAGATCAGGGATGGTATTTAGGTACCTGGCTGATTCCATCCACACTGATCATGTCTCCCATCTCCCTGTTGAGGAATGTGACTGTGGTCTTCTGGTCTTCATTGTGCTCTGAGTACTCAAGCCTCTGAGGTGTCACAGAAAGACCTCTTGTCTTCACTGAGCTGCAAACACTACAGAGAAAAGATCAATTAACACTCACTATAAAGCACAATTGGCCATCTTCACACAAATCAAAGTTGAGCACAGCGAACAGGACTAGGTAACTGTCACCTTATCATCAATAACTATAGGCATATTCAATAACTGATTTAGACTCTTGAATAATTGTGCTCAACTTACTGTCATAAAATCACCTATTGTCAGGTGAGCAGAGTCTCGGGGTTCTCAACATTGAGTAAAATATATTCACACTAAAACTGCAAACAGAAAAAAGTCACAACCAAATACTCTCATAAACATCAAAATTACCTTTGCTTTGCTGCACCATAGATGCATGAGGAAAACGATTTCCATCTACTCAGCATCATAACTGAAAATCAGTTATCACAAAAAAACAAGACAATCTTCCTTGGCCAATTATGTAACAGCAATGAGAGTGAATCATTCAGAGAAGGCAATATTTGCAAGACGATTTCAATTAAGGACAGTGGAGCAGTGTGCCAGACGCCTTCCTCTATCCAACTTCGGTGGAAATTTGACGAAAAATAGAATTCTATTCACTCTGAAATGAAGTGTTGAACCAAATGAACGAAATGAACTCCCACCAAGCTTCCAAGGTGTTGGAAGCAAGATGAAAGAATTAGAATAATGAAAAAAATGAGGATTAAAAATTAAAACCTGCAACGAATTAAATGCCATGCACCTAAGTAGTTTGACATTTTATCAGTAATTCGTTTACAGTACACACTGGAAGTATCGCTGCATTTATGACATTCAAAAGGCTAGGAACAAATCAAAGGAGTTGAAATATTTCAATTTGATATAATCAGTATAACAATTTACTACACGCCTACCTCTACTTTTCTATACGTTAATGACGCGTACGAGTCATATCCCGCATTCGATGTTTTTCGGATGACGAAGATTCTACGCCGTCCGGCCAATCACGTTCCATAGCTGTAGTCGAGCCCCCACTGATCTTGAACGAGATTGGCCGGATGGCGTAGAATCTTCGTGGTCCGAAAGACATCGAACGCGGGGATATAAGGATTTTCGCCTCAGGCATTTTTCAGAAACGAACTTTCGTTCTTGTCTCTTCTTCTTCTTCTTCTTCTTTGTGGGTTAGGGCGCGCAGCCGTCAGGCCCTAGCGTCCAACTTCTTCGTTTCTTGCATTCAACTGTCCGATCTTCCACGATGTAGTGTCGGGGTTGGTAGGTACTAAGCGGTAACTAAGCAGGGTTGTGGGTAGCCGGAAAAGGAAAAAACCTAGGGAAGGACAAATGCCAGGGGAGGAAATTGCCGGGGAAGGATTAAGCCAGAAGGAACAGACCTGAGTAGCAGTGTTAGTGTTAGTTTGATTGGGCAGCAATCTACAAAATGATGAAAGAAAGATCAATACTCTTCTAGTCAGAGTGTTACCAGGTAATCAGAGAAAGAGAGAGCGAGAGAAATTCAGACCACTCTACGAGCTAGCTATATACTACCAAATACTAAAATAAAAGAGAGAATAGAAAACACGAACCACAGAGGACATGTGCTCAGAGTGCACTGTTGTTTCACTTAGACCTCCCGTACCGTTCACATTAGACCTCCACAGAGACGAATCAGTAATCAAAACACACCGAAAGAAAGTTTCCAAAGCCTAGAATCACCACACAAAAACAGGCAAAAGTAACATCATCAGTGGGGGCGGCAAGTAAGTAGCCGCCAATCAAACATTACACAGTTGTTAGAAGTACTGTCAATTCCGGAATATCAATAGAACCCGCCGCATTTACAGTTTGTCAAGCAGCTCACAATCGCGCAAGAAAAGAAACACTGCGTCCAATACATTAGGTTCTGTATCACCGAGCAGAGTCGCAATTGTGAACGGGAGACCAGCATCTCCACATGTTCGTCGCAAACGTTGGCGTGTCGTGCGATATTGAGGGCAATCAATTAGGAGATGTTTGACATCGATAATGCATCGACAAGGTGTACATAACGGTGGTGGAGCACGATCCATGACATGCGAGTGCGTAAGGAGTGTATGGCCAAGTCTCAGGCGACACAGCACTACTTCTTCTTGGCGACTGTCACGAGCGCCGGACGTCCACCTTCCTATGGTAGGCTTAATCGTCTTAAGGTGAGTGGGCCGAAACTCTTGCCATAAGGTAGCAAATTGGTCTCGAACGCGCCGTCGGACCTCTGGGACATATTCACGATAACCAACTGCGACCGGTGTAACCTCTGGTTTGTCATGTGCTTTCCCGGCCCAATAGTCAGCTCGCACATTTCCAGCTATACCGCTATGTCCCGGTACCCATATAAGAATGCACCTCATTCCATCCTCGGCAATGCGATGGTTTAATTCTAATATAGAGGTAAGTAACGGGTGCCTCGTGGTGCCGTGCGCCATGCCTAACGCTTTCACAGCCGATTGAGAATCGGTGCATATCAAGGAACGTGGAATGCGATGGGTGCAGACAAACTTCAGGGCTTCTAGTATAGCTACTAGTTCGCCTGTATAAATAGAAAGACCTTCCGGTAACTTAAACGAAAAGAAAGCATTGTTAATGGTGAATGCACAAGCCACCGACTCATGCCGCTTGGATCCATCTGTGTACAGTATCCGATATCCAGGGTACTCGCTGATAAGAGTCTGAAACTCGGCCTGCACGTCTATCGTGGAGCGGCTCGCTTTATCCTGGTTAGTTAGCAGGCGCGTCGTGACACACGGCAGAATCCACGGTGCCAAAGGCGCTGAGGGTTTGACAAGGCCTGTCGGTGGTTCATAATCGAAGTCGGCAATCATGCGCTGGAGGCGTAAGCACACCGTGAATCCAGAAATTCTGCGAAGATATTGGTCTGATAATCCTCGGTAGAGCTCCTCAGAGGCGGTCAAGTCTGTTATACTGTGACAAGGGTGGTGTTCATCACTCAAAACCTTCAGAAAATACCGAAGGAGTAACTCTTTGCGACGGAGAGATAACGGGGGAATATCGGCATCAACCTGCAATGCTCGAACAGGAGAGGTGCGTAAGGCCCCCGTTGCAACTCTCAAACATGCATTCTGAAGAGTCTCGAGAGATTCGACTCGTCGCGTGTGTGGACCATCGATAATGTATGAAGCGTATTCCAAGATTGGTCGAATCATTGCTTTATACATTCGGGTCAATATGATTCGGTCTGCCCCATAGCTCTTTGCAGCGACGCATTTAAGCACGGCCATCCTCTTTTGGACCCGGCTTTTAATATACTCTACATGGGAATGTAAGTTCATTCGGGAGTCGAGAATAACTCCAAGGTATTTCACCTCATCCACAATGGGAATGGGGTCATTATTGATGCACAAAGGAGGGAACACTGATAGGTCGACCCTTCGTAATCCACGTCGGAAAAGGATCGCATTAGACTTGGTACTAGAAAATGTAAACCCAGTGCCTGAAGCCCACTCACCAATATTGTTAAGGGCATCTTGCAATTTCCGAAATAGCTTCGGGATTCGTCGCCCTTGCACCCATATGGTGACATCGTCAGCATAAATTGCGTACGAAACTCCTGGGGGTAGCACGTCGGCGATGGAATCGATGGCAAGGTTGAATAAGATAGGTGAAATCACGCCCCCCTGCACTATGCCATAATTCTGCATAAATGTATCAGATAATGTGCCGCAGCGGACCTGAAAGGTGCGATCTTTCAAGAAATTCTGAATGAAATGCATGATGTGACCTCGGAAACCCGCAGCATACATGCGATGCAGTAATACCGTAGGGGAGACCAAGTTATATGCAGATTTTATATCGAGGAACACAGCCAAAGTGCTGGCATGGTGAAGAAAACCGTCACGTACATGTGTGTCCAGACGGACAAGATGGTCAGCCGTGGATTTATCAGGCCTAAACGCACATTGATATTTGGTGAGTAGCCCGTGCTCTTCCACACACCACGTTAGACGCTTCCCAATCATGCGTTCCATTAACTTGCACATGCACGACGTAAGTTGTATAGGTCGGTAAGATGAAACCTGGTTGACATCCCTTCCTGGCTTCGGAATGGGAATCAGGTAAGAATGGCGCCATTCTGAGGGGAAAACATCGTTTGTCCAAATATAATTATACAGCTTCAGAAGTTGCCGAAGCTGAGGGTCAGTCATATGGCGAAAGAAATCATAATGTATTTGATCTGGTCCTACCGAGGTTGAACCTGATCGATGAATAGCCTCTGTTAACTCCCTGAGTGAAAACTCTCTATTGTAAACTTCCTGGTTGTCCGAGCAAAAACTTGGCATTGACCTTGCCATGTCTCGTTCTCTAAGCAGGAAGTCCCTGGAGTAGTTAGCTGGCGAGCTAAGTTCCTCAAAGAACTGCCCGAAGGCGTTAACCACTTCTGTGGGGTCATCAATAACTCTGTCATGTTGGACAAGGACTGGTAAGCGTCTAGTTAGCCTGGTTTTGTGAGAGAACTTCCTCAAGATATCCCATAGTTTACTCATCGGAGTACGATGGTTAAACAGTGATACCAGTTCTCTCCACGATGACATTTGTGCCTGCCGAAGGATCCGTCTAGTTTGCGCTTTCACCTTACGGTACTCCAATCGGAGAAATACAGAATGAACGTCTCGACGCATTCGGTTATGTGCCCTACGTCGGTTCCTTATCGCCTCCCTGCAGGCGTCTGTCCACCAGGGGCACTGATATTTGGAATTCCCTTTCCGGATGGGTACGTACGTCATCGCGGTGTCAATGATAGTCTGTGTGATATTCGCACAGTTTTGGAGACCCAAACTGTCAGCAAATTGTAGATCGCAGCTCATCTGAAACATCGTCCAATCAGCCTTCCTCACATTCCACCCGGTGAATATGGGTGGTAAACTAGGGGAGGGGTAAGACTGGCAATGACGAATATGTATCGGGAAATGATCACTGCCGTGCAAGTCCTTGTCTGTTGTCCAGTCAAACAGGTGAGCAATTTCACTGGAAACCAGGGTCAGGTCAATATGGGACTCTGCACCAGTGGCTTCATCCAGTCGAGTCGGCTGGCCGTCATTGAGAATGCGAAGATCATGGTAATTCACAACATCCATCCAAATTATACCTCGAGGGTCACAGCGATCTGAGCCCCACAAGTAGTGCTTACTATTCGCATCAGTGCAAATAAGATATGGGGTAGGGAGCTGAGAGAGCAGGTGTGCTAAATCCTGGAATGAGAATGGGTCATTAGGTGGCAAATACAAGGAACACATGGTTATGCTCCGATCGTTCACCCGAATCGTGCAAGCTACCGCTTGTAACGTGGATTGTATATGAAGCCTACGGTGAGGCAGCCTGTCAGACACATATATAGTGACACCGCCCCGCCTGTCACCTTGTGGAGCAAAGTCACTGTATTCTGTACAGTAGGGGATGTGGAAAGAATATTTATCGTTTTGGATGAAATGGGTCTCCTGGACACATATCACCTCATATGGATCACATGTAAACATATGTTTAGCCTCAGCCCATTTGCCAATCAGGCCACAGGCATTCCATTGTAGTATGTTTAACACCATAAATGCTCACTAGTTACACCAAGATCACGGGCCCTGCCACAGCAGGCCCCTGTCACCAAAAAAGAAAAGGAAAAGAAAGAGAAAGAGAAGAAAAGAAGAAGAAAAAAAAGTTGCCTTCTGTAAATTCCTGCCTCTCTACCTCTCTCTCCTTTCTCTCTCCCTCTGAACTAGGTAGGGGCGGGGGGCTTCCTGGTGAGGCTCGGCATACGCCGGCCCCTTCCTGCACTGCCTCCCTGTCGCCTGAGTCCTATTGGAGGGGATGGGGAGACACTCTCGTCGGAGAGTCCTCCTAGCCATCCAGGAGATGAAGATTCCCTGTGTCTATCCTTGGAGTGTTCAGGAGTTAGCTTTGCCTCAGAACACTGGGGTTCCTGTGGGTTCCAACTCTGCCTGGCACTCTGCTGTGAGGTTGTGTCCCAATCATCGGTCAATGGTTCAGTCAGGGGTTCCGGGTCCGGCACTGCAGAGGGTGGGGAACCCGTCATTGAGAACAGGGATTCCTGGGAACCACCTGTTACAGCCTGCGAGTCCATTGTGTCAGGATTGTTCTGAGGGACATCCTGGGCTGTATCCGAGTGGGACATGGTGGAGATGGTTAGAGCCTGAGAGTCCATCATCTCAGAGGGCCTTTGTTGTTCACTGTCTTGGTCAATATTGGGTTGCACCGAAGGCCTGGGGGCTGTAGCTGCTGGAGTAGGGGGTTGTCCAGAGACCGGGGTTCCCTGCCCTCTTTGGTTTTCCTCTCGTGCACTGACATCACTCCTCCCTGGTCCTGTCTGGAGCTGTAAGAACCTGTCAAAGAGGGTGATCATTTTGTCCAGTTTCTGTTCGATAGTGCTCACTTGTGCTTTGAGGGATGGATCCGACGGAGTATCACTGACACTGTTGCCCCGCACCACTGTGGTGAAGGGCCTAATGTTTGGGGTTTGATTTTCCTTGTCATACAATCGACGCGCATGGGCGTAGGAGACATCCCTGGTGACTTTGATTTCACAAATAGCTTTCTCTTTTTTCCACTTGGGGCATTGCCGGGAAAGACAGTCATGTGTGCCATCCCCACAGTGGATGCATGTTTGGGAACATGTGCCCTCGTGCTTCTGCTCACCACACTTAAGGCACACTGCCTCAACCTGACACCTTGCCTGCATATGGCCGTACTTCCCACATTGCAGGCATATAAGTGGGTTGGGAATGTGTTGGCGAACCTGGTATACCACATAGTCAAATTCAAGTCTGGAAGGACATGTGGGCCTGTCAAATGTCAGTAGAATGATGGGGGTTTTCTCCGTGTGATTGCCCACTCTCCGAGTGAATCGACGGGCGGCAACCACCCCGAAGCTGGACAACCAACCAACGATTTCATCCTCAGGAAGGCCCATGAGATCAGGGGCATTGATTGTCCCCCGGCTCTGGTTTAGCTTTTCATCCTTCTCGATCACACACGCCTCATCTCCGAACTTACACACTTTCAATAGTTTCTCGGTTTGGGCACTGTCTTTGGTTTTAAGTAGTAATCTACCATCATTCAAAAAGTTTGCTTTGTCCACTTTGTCTTTGGATCCTAGAATCCCACGGACACACATCTGAATCCATGGCCACCCTCTTTCCTTCAGAGGCTGCCCGGACTGCAACTTAACGGAAAGATAGCTGCCAGAATCATCATCCTCACTCCAGAAATTAACAACCGTGTCGTCCTCTCGCACTCTCTTACTGGCCCTACTTGGCCCCATCCTCCTGATCTATCCCATCGGTGACAGAGATCAAGAGAAACCTAACCAAGTCTTTTGCCGTGCAAAAAGACTCCAGGAACGACTCACCCCGATCCTCGGCTCAGAGCCAGAGCCCAAAAACAAAGGAAAAGAAACAAACCAAATCAACTCCTAAACTCCGAAACTAGGCTCACGGATTCGAATCTTCTCGAACGTCCAAGTTCGCCAGATACGCCTTCACCCTGCCACGTGTCTCGCAAGAATGCGTTCCAGGGTTACCAAAGCTTGGGATTTGTCCCAAGATCTTGGGATATTGAACCCGACCTTGGGACCTTGGGATTCAACAGCAAACCTTGGGATTTGTCCCGAGCTTACGACTCCCGCTAATTTTAGCACATTTTTTTAATCATTGGAAAAAGGAAAAGTATTAATAAAGACCAAACAAAGGAATCAGGAACACATCTAACACAACTTAATTGTTTGTTTTTTTTTGTAAACCGTCCTTTTTGGACGAACACAACCGAGCGTTCTTTCGTTTGGTTTCACTGTACCTTACCAAGCAACCAACGAAGCACGAATAAGTTACCTTTCCTTATTTGACGCGTCTTCACTTTGTTTCTCCCGTCTCAGCTCTCAAGTGAGGCATTTAGCGAAATACCCAGTGGCTTCCGCGTCGATTAACACCCGGCCTGGCCGCCTGTTTGCGAATTGTGACGCCCGACGGATCGGAGGCGGATCCAGCTCAGAGTTTTGGGGGGCAAACCATAAAATTTATCGATTCTTTCCATGCATCGTCCATAGGCGTAATGTTAAAATCATGTCGTTTGGGGGGGGGGCAAATGCCCATTTTGCCCCCCCCCCTTGGATCCGCCACTGCGACGGATCATGCTTCAACTCGTAAAACCCAGACAGGTAACTTGCTGTAGCTCTGTACCTATGCCTGCGTGTGTAACTGTGCCGAATGCAAGTTATGTTAACGATATTGATTTATTTAGTCAACCAAAGATTTGAAAATACGTCAAATACACTTTATTTGCTCTATATTTGGTTTCTATAGACCTTGGGATGCACACTGGGCTTTGATCCTGTCGACCTTGGGATATGGAGCTCGATTTTGGGAAATTCGCGCGGCGATCTTGGGATTTAGAAAAATTCCCGTTGGTAACCCTGATGCGTTCTTGTCTCAATTTATGTGAAAGGCGTTGGTTTTATTTGATTTTTATTACACAGGTTTATACTGAGATGTGATTATCTCAACGAATTCTAATGTAGATGTTTGAGCTTGTTTTATCACCTTAAAAGTGTGGTTGATTCTGATATTCATCGCACGGTAAGTTAAAGTCAAAGCGAGGCTTGAGCTCAAGCGAGGCTTGAGCTGAGCTGAGGCGATTTGAATTTTTAGGCAATCAGATACAAATCGTAGGTACTAGGTAGGTTATCTGTAAGAATCTTGGAGTAGGTACCTACCTACCTATTCGAGTTTGTTTGTTGGGGGTTAGGGTTAGGTGCGCGCCTAGTGTGAAGTGTGAGGTCATTTTGCGCCCACCTATTCGAGTTTGATTGAATTCGGAATCAGGTTCGAAATTGGTCTATTGATTTTTTTCATTGCTGCTAGTTAATGTAGGTACGATGGTACGGTACGAGCCGTAAGTACCCTCTAAGAACAGTAGGAATTCTCAAAATAAGAATGAAAGGGTAGAACACATCCTTCTAAGCTTAAACACAACAAATTGATACCATAATTTTTTACATTGACATAGAATATTGATAAATTACACTTAACAGTTAACCACCTGCAGAGTGTGGTAAGGTTAGGTCCATTAGGGTTAAATGTGAAGATTAGGTACCTATGGTGAAGAAAAAAACAATCTAACCTGACCTCATTGACCCAAAAAAGACGAAAAAGACTTCTAGAGGTCAATGCATGACCTAACCCTACCTACTAACCTACAACTTACAACCTACCAAGTACAACCACCTACCAACCTGAAGCCCACAACCTATAATCCACCATTCCAACCTGCAACCTACTAGCCTGCCTACCATTCTTACTCCATCTATACATATACCAGGCTAGGTGCCTATTTTTTGTTAGGTTAAATTCTGGAATCCTGCTAGTATATACCTGTTTTTCGTGGTCAGTGCTCATATGGACAATTTTCTAGGTCACTATATGGTAAGTGAAAGTATGTGTTTTAATCAATTTTGAGCCCAGTGTCAGAGTGGAAAGGGCAATTTTCACCATCTGCCTGATCCAGATATTGAAATAATAATTGCATTTGCACTGTATTTGTTTGTTTTTTTAGTTTCATTTGGATTTTAGCCTTAAAAACGAACCATCAGTTAGAGCTACCAAGTGTTTATGTAGCTCTGGTGAATTTAATGACTTGGATAACATCCACTACCTATAAAGTGATACATTCAAAATTTACATATCCACTTTCTTAGGTATGTAAACATCGCCTTCAACTCACTATAATTTTTATTTTTTCATTCAAACCATGCTGTTAGGCTTCTTGATATATTTAAGCATACTTGCCAACTTATATGTCAATGTCAGCAATAGACATGCTGCCTTGAGTTTGGTGTAAGCATAATTTGTGTTTGTATAATTGTAGACATTTAGTTAAGGCATATCTAGCATTAGCATATGCAGTAAGAACATCTCATCTGTAATTCCCATGATATGTTTGTTTTAGGTGACACTAGGAACGGCGAGGCTGTCAGAAACTCAATCACTTCAGGCACCATGACCGAAACGTCCGACCTCGGGAAGCTTCCATGTGTCTCGGAGGAGAGCATCATTGAGTTTCTGAAAAGGAGACTGCTCTCCAAGATCATTTACACATGGGCTGGCTCCAATTTGATCGCCGTGAATCCGTTCGAGGACGTGGCCGGCGCCGAGGACCCGGCGCTGAATGAGCTGATCCGGCGCCGGGACGGAGCACGTGGCCCGCTGCCGGCGCACGTGCACTCCATCGCGCAGACGGCGCACCACGGCCTGCAGGCCGGCACCGACCAGACCGTCATCATCAGCGGCGAGAGCGGCGCCGGCAAGACGTTCTCGGCGCACCGGCTGCTGCACTACCTGGTGCAGCTGGAGGCCAGCGGCAGTCAGGGCACCGGCCGGACCGTCGAGCAGAAGCTGAACGTCTCCAACCCGCTGCTCGAGGCGTTCGGAAACGCGCGCACCACCAACAACGGCAACAGCAGCCGCTTCTGCAAGCTGTTCCGGCTGGAGTACGGCGGCGGCCGGCTGCGTGGCGGCGCCGTGCACACCTGCCTGTTCGAGAAAACGCGCGTCATGTGGCGCGGCGCCGGCGAGCGCAGCTTCCACATCTTCTACCAGATGGTGGCCGGACTGCCGGCCGGCTCGCTGCACGCGCTCGGACTCGATCGGCACGCCTCGCTCAGCGAACTCTCGGGCCACGCCTGTGACGCGGACGCGACCGACTTCGCGGTGACCGAGTCGGCGATGGCCGAGCTGGGGCTGAGCGGGGAGCAGCGCGCAGCCGTGTTCGCCGTGCTGGCCGCCGTGCTGCACCTCAGTCGGCTGCGGGTGGTGGCGCGCACAGACGACCAGTTCGAGGTGGAGGACGACGCGGCGCTGCAGTGGGCGGTCCGGCTGCTGGGCGTCAGCGCGCCCCAGCTGGCCGAGACGCTGACGGAGCAGCAGCTGGCGGCCGGCCGCAGCAGCGTGGTGCGCCGGCCCTGTCAGACAGAGCAGGAGGTTCTGGCGCGCCGCGACTGTCTGGTGCGCGAGCTATACGACGGCCTGTTCCGCTGGCTGGTGGAGTGGATCAACGGCCAGATCGCCTCGGGCAGCGCGGCGCCGCGCGCCATCTCGCTGCTCGACATCTCCGGGTTCGAGAGTCTCGAGACCAACAGTCTGGAGCAGCTGTGTATCAACTACGCTAACGAGCGGCTGCAACAGTTCTTCCTGGCGTCTTTTCTGCGCCGTCTGGAGGCCGCCTTTCTCGAGGAGGGTCTGATCGGCGCCAGGCTGGAGTACCCGGACAACGGCCGGCTGCTGGTGGCGCTGGACGGGCCGGCGCCGTCCGTGTTCGGCGCGCTGGACGAGGCCAGCGGGCTGCGTCAGGTGGTGCCGGCCAGTCAGCTGAGCGCCGAGGCGCAGCGCGCCGCCTGCGCGGCCCCCGGCGCCGGCGGCGAGCACACCTTCACCGTGCGCCACTTCTGCGGACCTGTGTCGTACGACGCGCGCGCGCTGGTCGCCAAGAACCGCGACCGGGTGGACGCGACGCTGACGGCGCTGCTAGCGGGTAGCTCGGAGTGGCTGGTGCGCCAGCTGCCGTCGCCGGCGGCGGCGCCGGGGACGCCGCGCGGCGCGCGCCGCCGTAACACGGTGCTGGCGCGCCTGCAGCTGTCGGTGGGAGCGCTGCTGCGCCGGCTGGACGGCTCCGACGTGCAGTTTGTGCGCTGCGTGCGGCCCAACGGCGCCGGCGCGCCCGGCCTGGTGGCCGACGCGTACATGCGGCGCCAGCTGCGCGCCGCCGGAGTGCTGGCCACGGCCCGGCTCAGCGCGGCCGGCTTCCCGTTCCGACTGACTCCGGCCGAGTTTGTGGCCCGCTACACGGAGCTGGTGGAGCTGCGACAGCGCGCCGAGCCGCGGCCAAACAACCAGCTACTCACACAGGTGCGTACTCCTACATTCTGTGCATTCGGACCAAACCATTTGGCAATTCACAGTCCATCAAATAACTGATCACGCATGAACTGTATGACAAGTAACGGCCACCAACCGGTAACCAGCTGCTAGCACAGCGGAACTCCTAATAGTTCGTTCACCAAATAGGCCGTCACCAAATAGGCCTGGTGCACCATAAGCCAATAAGAGATCAAATATATCGCACAGTCATAATGCCGTCCAGTGGCAAAAACCATTATGTTAGGTCACAGGTCAATGTAACATAATGGGTTTTGCCTTTGGACATGATTGGAGACCAATTCGGTTAACATCTCTCCTGGAATTACTGAGCTAATGTGATAATTGCCGCATAATCATGCATATTGCCTGATATCTCAGAGACGTTTCGTGTGTCCGTTTTCAGACGATCGAGCGGTGGACGCCGGACGACCCCGGGGTACGTGTCGGCACCGGTCACGTGTTCCTGACGCGGGGCGCCTGGTACCGGCTGGGCGACCTGTGTCAGTTGGCGCGCCGCAGCGCTGCCGGTCGACTGCAGCGCTGCTGGCGCCGCCGCCGCCGGCTGCGCGCCGCCCTGCACGTGCAGCGCTGGGTGCGCGGCTGGCTGGCACGGCGGCGCTACGGCCGGCTGCGGGCGGCCGTCACCCTGCAGCGGCACACACGCGGCTGGCTGGCGCGGAGACAGTGCCGCCGGCTGCGCGCCGCGCTCACACTACAGCGGTGCGTGCGCGCCTGGCTGGCCGGTCGGCGGCGGCAGCGCGCGGCGGCCGTGCTGCAGCGCTGCTACCGGCGCCGGCTGGAGGCGGCCCGCCGGCATCGGCGTGACCTCACCGACTCAATGGTGTCGGACGGCGCCGACTCGGGAGTCAGCTGCCTCGACTCGGGAGTCTGCAGTCTGGAGTCGCCGCCGGGCGAGGAGCGCCGCTGGCAGGCGGGCAGCGGAGCGGGCACGCCGAGCCCGCCGGCCGGCGCGGCGCCGCCCCAGCTCCGGCCGCTGCCCCCGGACAGTCTGCTGGCCGGCAAACCGCTGCACATGGCACGCGGCATCGTGTCGGTGCGGCACGTGTTCGCCGACCGCCTGCCGTTCCACACGCGGCGCACGTGCCTGCCGTTCTCTTGCGAGCTGCCGCGGTTCCTGGTTCCGGCCGGTCTGGTGGACTTGGTGTGACCGCGGCCGGCCCCCGGCCCCAGGCGCCGTAGTCGTCCGCTAGAGGCTAGAGGTGTAGGTGACTAGTGCTGTGTGATGCGTGAAGCTGTGCGGGTCCGGTTTTATGTAGATCGGTGACCAAGTCGATATCTGCCATTTGTAGCTATTACTAACACCCGAAGTCGGGTATTCTGTCTCTGGTATTCTTTGCCGTTGGCTTTTAGTTTGATGAGTCCGTTTTAATTGCTCAAGTGGCGCACTGGTTGTAGGCTGTGTGGGTAATATTTTTACACCCTGGTCGAGTAACCTCTTAAAGGATCAAATTGTCAACATGATCAAATTATCCATTTCCAGCTATGTCGTGCTTTATGAAACCTCTCCTAAGGGAATTAGTATGCTAATGTTAGCACTGCGAAATGATGGATACCAGTTGCCTTTTGACGTGAGCTTTCAGTCGAGCTGGAGACGGGTGCAGGTGCCGCAGTGGGTAGACCGGCGGCCCGTAGTCGGTGACACCCTTGCCGTTGTTCGCGTGTGTACTAACCAGGTCAGTTGTGGTCGGCCCGTAACTGCGCGGCGACGGGGTCTCTCGAATCGAGCGATCGCCGTCAGTGCCTGCGGTAAGTACTTAAAGTGGAGATGTGAGGTGCATGGTGCCACACGCTTTACGCAGGGTCCAAATGTGGATGAATATGGGAACAGTCTGTGCCAGAGAGTTTGCTCAGTTGCTTTACATGCCAGGCGTAGTGGCAGCATGTAGTCATAATAGAAGTCATAATAGGAGAAGTCTCACTCCTGCCATCCAGTGAGCTGGCAGCACTATTTCCAGTGAGCTGGCAGCACTATTTTTAGGAAGAGAGGCAAGTGCAATTTATACTGATATTGTCTCGTCCTGGGCGGTAGCCACTTTCAGTAGTGAGTGATGTGGTTATCTTCGATGTCCGTTGTGCCGAATTACGACCAATGGTAATCTATGATTCCTTAGATTGTCTTGTGCCAAACTTTATTTTTCGTACGCTGCTATGTCGAGACATGTTGTTGCAATATATTCGCTGTATAGTGTCCGATGTTTGCCCTGGCGAATGCCTCAGACGACAACCGGTGCCACCAGTGACCGCACCGTGCGAGGACGCGTTTCTGTTGCGCCCGGTAAGCACGGACGCCGACGCCGTGATCGCTCAGTCCTTTGGTGGATTCTGTGTGCATCAGTGGCTACTGGAGGTGATCCGTGATTACGGAGCGAGCGAAGCGAGCGGAGTCTTTCCTTAGATTAACGGAAATTTCTGAGTATGAGCGGCCGGCCGGCCGGCCGGCCGTGGGGACGCTCTTCAAAAGCTAATATCTTAGGAACGGGACATCCGATTGACAAGCGGTCTTCTTTACTGAATGTCACTTGGACGTAAAAGTTCTGTGGTGTGATGGCCACCATGCGTTCTTGCCAACCACCGCACGTGGCGCGTGGTAAAGTTGGACATTTTTTAAGAACCCCCAAAATTGCAACCTCAATAACGGCACAACGGTTGGGCCGATTGAATTGAAACTCGGTAGACAGTTAGGTCTCCATCAGATAATTCATCTGCATGTGTTAAGGTTGGGGTGCTGCTGCACGTGCGCACGTGCAGGGGTCGTTTCCAGATATCGAGAACGGCTGGACCGATGGCGCTCAAATTTGGTACACGGTTAGGGACCAGTTAGTAGGGTGCCGTGCACAAGTCAGTTGGGACCCATTTTGCACGTGCGCACGTGCAGGGTGCCGCTTCCAGATCTCGAGAACGGCTGGGCCGATTGTGCTCAAATTTGGCACATCGCTAGAGACCGGTTAGTAGGGTGCCGTGCACAAGTCAGTTGGAGGTACCCCCTCGAAATTTCGCACGTGCAAGGCCCACCCTCTCGCTCGCTCCGTTAGTCGCCCCATAAGGCATACTGGTTAGCTCTATTCGCCGAAAGGCAAGTCATAGCGCCACATGGCGAACATTTCCCCGAAGCTTCCACAGAGGAGCTTTGGTAGTTTTTCAGCTTCGGACCCGTTTTAATATAGTTGCGGCATTACGGTCAATATGTAGTGGACAATAATTGAATATTTTGTTGGCGTGTTAGTTATGAAGTTATGTTATGAAGTTATAGTTATGAAGACAGGTCACGCCCGGGACCTGGGAGCACAGCTGAGCTCTCGTAGCCTACATTCAAGATTCTTCTTAGCAATAGTCCTATACAACCGGAAGTGGAATGTGGATGATCAATCAGTTTATGCTGAGGACCATGGTTATAAGACAGCACCATTATGATAGTCTTCAAACCATCAGTAGACACATCCAGTGACGACTGATGAACCGGAACGTGTACGGCAGTCTTGTGTCACACCGCCTGTGCCACTGTTCAGTTTACTCCTAATCCGGCCTGGAAGGAACATCCATATGTCATATGTTTATTGCACTGTTTATTGACGACGTAAAATCAGTTGCAGTTCTCGGGTACGCGGAGTAACACGGCCCACGGGTATTCTGGCTTTGGAGTATAAACGTACATAAACAGGTGCAGTATGGCAAGTTCATTTACGCGTTCATTAATAATCAAAAGGCGTATATATGTATAAATGCAAACTGAAGAAATAAGCACGGTATAAAATGCGGCACACAGGCCTGCACTTAACTGTTACGCAGGCAAATAACATGACACCTCAGTGCACGTAGCGGATGGTTCGCTAATCGCTATTTTCCATACCCAAACCGTCTTACTATAACATAACGAAAATATCAATATATAAAACATTGAGCGATAACACATCTTCAATTTCACAAAAATCAAAAAGTTTTCCAGAATATGTTGATATGCTGTACTGATGCAGAGACTTCATAGCACGAAAGAAAGTAGAATAAGATAAACATCATTTAACCCGCGCGGGGCTGGGGTCTCCAGCCGAACGCGCGGGGCTGGGGGGGGGGGTAAATTTTACCCCCCCTGTTATCTCCCGAACTAATGGTCCGATTTGGAAAATTCAAACGCCAATCGAAAGCTCTCATCACGAACTACTAAAAACATGTACTTAATATAAAGTTTGAGGTCAAGGTCAAGGTCAGGTCAAGGGTACAAATTGCAAGTTTCTACAGTATCGGCCTTGCACCGTAGTTACCGAAGAATGGAGTCATGGACTGAGACTGATCGCCCAAAACGTGTTCTTAGGCTACCAAGACAATATTCGTTGCATACGATATCATTCAGAGGTCAAGGTCAAGGTCAGGTCAGGTCAGGTCAGGTCACCAAAAAACAAAATATAGAAAAGGGCATGTGCGACACATGTTTTATGGGTCATTTTACTCATAGAATTCGATAGGCACACTCAATAAGTGATATGGACCACCTCTGGATGAATTTCAGGTCGAGGTCAGGTCAAGGTCAGGTCAAGTGAGGTCAAATTTTGAAGTTGGTTGTTAAGGCCTAAAAAGGTGTCTATCTGATGCAGTTTTTCACGGCGAATCGAATGGTGCTATTTTTGTTTCCGTACGAGGTCTAGAACTTCCAAAAAAGTCATTTTTCAAAAAAATTGTGTGTCGTGACGTCATAAAATTTTGAATAACTCCCACATTTTTGAACCGATTCTTCTAAAATTTGGTATGTAGGTGCACATAGACCACTTTTCTGACATATATTCCGGTTTTTTTGATAGACTCAAAATTTTGGATTTATAATGATTTTCCCAAAAAAGTCAGTTTTTTGAAAAAATTTAGGCCAAAATCCAAAATTTTCAAAAAACCGAGATAGCCATTTGATAGACAAAGTAAAATTACGTATAACCTTTTTTGTTACGTCTTGATTCCTTTAAAAATGAAGATGTTAGCGGCGTTTGAACTTTTGCCGTTTTTGAGGCGAAAATGGCGAACATGACGTCACTAAAACGTCAATTTCTCAAAAATTTTCCGACGGATTTCGCTCAAATTTTCAGGGAACGTGTCAAATTGATGTAAGAAAAGGTACTGAAAGTTTGCGCCGCCGTTTTTGAGATATCGCAAAAATTCGCGAGGGGGGGTAAAATTTACCCCCCCCCCCCAGCCCCGCGCGGGTTAACAAACAAAAATAAACAGCGATCGGCAACAACATGGAGCCAATAAGAAAGTAGGATCATAAACTTGTCAAAGGCGTTCATAAATCATAAGTGAAGCAATCGATAGTGTCTGTCCTTAGCACGCAAAAAAACTGCTCATTGAGCTCTGTGGATCAACTTGCCAAAGCGACCATTTCAATTACCTCTCGCTATTTCATCTAAGACATAAAAACAACACAAACCGTGTAAGTAGTGAGAATTCTGAGTTTCAGAACATGCTACAAGATGTGAACACGAAACGTGAGACACAGCAGAGCTAGGCGACTGTAATAAATAAATTGACTACGCTTACCAACACAGGTGTTTGTGATATGCCTGTCTATTGATAGGGCTGTCTCGATAAGGCACGGTTTAATAGGAATACAGTATCACACTGCACTGCTCCCGCAGCCCCCGACTCCCCGGTGAGATATGACCTAACCCTAGCCAGGCGGGTCGCTCGGCGACTGCTCCTGCTCCTGCGCCGGGGCCGGGGCAGGGGGTAGCAGCTGAACGCTGGACCGGGGTACAGTCTGTACCAGGGTCGGCGGGACGGTCTGGCCCACGATCAGCGGAGCGGCAGACGGCTCCTCCGGCCCGGGCGGGAGTGCCGAAGGACTGGACGGACTGGGAGCGGAGGACGGTACTGGGGCGGTGACCGGTGCCGCTGGGACGGAGAGGGCCGGAACTACTGGGGACGGAGAGGCGGTCACTCCAGGGACGGAGGGGACTGGCACTACGGGGGAGGGAGGGACAGGTACTACTGGGGAGGGAGGAGCGGCTTCTACAGGGGAAGAGGGGACGTTCACCACCGGAGATGAGCTGGTATGGACTACTGAGGAGGAGGGAGCAGAACCTAATGCGGTGGGAAAGTCAGAGACTGCCGGAGAAGATGCGTCAACCAATACTGAGCCGTGAGATGACACTGCCGCCGCGGCAGCGAGAGGCGGCACTGCTGGAATGGTATCGGGCGACGCAGCTGGGTCGGGCGGGGTGTGATCAGTTGAGCTGGACGGAGCGACCGACGTCATCGAGTCGGAGAGAACGGGCACTACCAGTGGCACTGCCGGACTACTGGGGAGAACGGATACTGCAGGTGACGCTACCGGGTCGGGGAGAGCGGGCACTACCGGTGCCACCACGGGGCTGCTGGGGAGAACTGATGCAGGTGGTGCCGCGGGGGCAGGGAGAACGGACTCCGCCACTGCTGCCGCTGAGGCACTTGCCGCTGGAGTGGATGATGCAGACACTGCTGTGACGGGTGGATCGCGAACGTTGGCACTGCTTGGAACGGACGACACCAATGTGTTGGGGGCGGTGGGCACCACAATGACAGGGAGCACAGGCGCCGCTGGGCTGGGGAACACGGGTGTCGCAGCTGGGCCAGAGGACACAGCTACCTCTGAGACAGTGGGCACCGGTGCCGCTGGACTATAAGGCACTGGCTGTGTCACTGAGCCGGCAGACGGAGTACCCACTGCTCTGGGCGGGACTGTCTCCGCGACAGTGGCGGGGTGCGTGCTCACTGCACTACCACACAGGGCAGTCCCCACTGGCCCGTCCGCCGGAGCCGCGGGCCCGCCGCTCACCGGCGGCGGTCCGTCGCCGGTCGGCCGGCCGTCAGACCCGCCCACTGTCCCCAGCACCGTGTGCGCCGGCCGCGGGACCGCGGGACGCACCAGCTCCTGCGGGCCCCCGTCTCCGGCGTCCAGCGGCGGCGCGGCCGCGGCGGGGTCGTATTCGGGCTGACCGTCAGCGGCCGGCGGCTGGCCGTTCCGGTCCGGCGCCGAGCCCTCGCCAGCCGCGGTGGCCCGCTCCGGGCACAGACCGTTGGTGAGCGGCGGACATAGCACCGGAGCTGAAGGGGCATTCGCCGCCTGCCAAACGGGCACAACGAATCAGTGCACCGCCCCGCAGAAGCCAGGACCAACACATGCATGGCAAAGAGACCCTAGTGTCTATTAAACGCGCTTGACATATAAGCAACACAATCTGCATAACCCAGTGCTGAGCAAACACAACATTCAACACGTAACATAGACCCTCTGTCAGAGCAGACACTGTAGGGCAGCCCCGCGGTACGGGCCCCGCCGGCGTACGTTCCACTGCAGGTGCTCCTCCCAGCAGGGGGAGCACGAGGACGTACCTTCCACTGGAGGTGCTCCTCCCAGCAGGGGGAGCACGAGGACGTACCTTCCACTGGAGGTGCTCCTCCCGGTAGGCCAACAGGGGGAGCACGAGGACGTACCTTCCACTGGAGGTGCTCCTCCCGATAGGCCAGCAGCGGGATGACGAAGACACTGATGTCGTCCACGGTGGCCGGAGAGCCGTCCGATCGGCGCCACTGGCGGTTGTCCCGCAGCTTTCCGCGCGCGGCCATCACCAGCTCCTGGGCGGCCGATATACACCTGGCGGACACAATGCTTCTATTATCGCCCGATATACACCTGGCGGACACACAGTACCTCTGTTATCGGCCAATGAATACACCTGGTGGACACATAGTACCGCTATCCGTATAGTACCGTTACCGGGTGACATACGTATTACGTACACCTGGCGGAAACACGGTACGTCTAGTGCCTAAACTACCTGAACCGGCAGTCGGCCGATATTAGCAGCGTAGCTTTGTATACCTACTTTTGGGGAAGCAGTCTGCCGCCCCAATACTCCGTTTGCCATCGCGACTTTTATCCCCCCTCCCCCCCCCCCAACACAGGCGCTTTAAGCCCAGAAAGGCGCCTGCAAGAGGGAAAAGAACCCACCGACTCATAAGGGCCTCCTCGAGTCGTTGCCATCGCCGCTCTGAGTAGTGCTTCTTATGTCGCCCCTCTTGTAAGAACAGCGCACATAAGAACTAAAACTGCTAGGTTAAGCGCCCCATTGGTTAAAAAGGCGCTCCTCAAACCAAAATTAGTGCCCCATACTAGTGAATGATGACATCTATTTTGCATAATCGTTCCATCATTTCCATCCTCAGGACAGTCAAATCATTCTCCACACCTCAGCCCCCCGTTCCGGACTGGACAGGCACCTGTATTCCATGCGGGAAGTTTCCACAGGAGCACGCCCGTAGCCGGTGCACTGAGTAACAGAGGGCTGGGTGGCCTGTCCCATTGGATGGGCTCAGCCCAGGTGGCTCACTAGGGTTCCCGCCCAGACCAATATCTCCCCCTAATTCCTATCATCCTTCCGGCCCTGAAATGGTCTCGTCAGACCTAATGGGCCTAACCCAACAAACCAATCTATTTGGCAAATCATGGCGCCCCTCGCCCGGCAGGGCGGGGCCCATTCAACATTCATTAACGCGACCCACGAGACGGTTGAAGCGCCCCTTTGGCCAATACTTTTGTCATCGCTGTTGCTAGAGCAGCACCTCTAGGCCGGCAGGTTGTCCCATTGGTTCCTGAAGGCGCCCCGCGAGCCAGTTTTGGCGCCCTTCTGCAGCGCGTGACCCTAACGATTCTAGGGTTCCCCTTCGAGTCCTTTTTTAGCTACATTTATTTATTTACCTCAGTTTATTGCACATAGCCTCCAAAACCAGACCCAAAGTCTGGGTCTGATACATGCACACTAGCACGGCCACACATAGGTACAGTCCTCTGCACACTGCGTGGCAGGCATTCTTTTTTTTCGACAAAACCGATAATGATTCGAATAATGTGCTATCGGTCACTCTGAAATCGTAACAGCAAGACGCGAGAGGCTCCGTACCTTAGATTTAGATTATCATGGTATACATTTTCCTTCCAATTTGGCAACAATGCACAAAAGTATATCTTTGCCCCCAAAACAAACTTTTGCTTTTTGTTGCCACACTAGGCGCACACTTTGTTCAGTGATAGACCCAATCGAAAGAGTGGGGCATGGCGCATCTATGTGCAATGATTTCTGACAGACTGATAACATATCCTTTGGGATATCATCGGCTTTGTCGAAAAGCGAATACCTACCACGCAGTGTGCTGAAGGCTGTACGCACGAACACACACGTACGAGTGAGACAGTGTGCGCTCAAGCAAAGTGCGAGCAGACCACGGACGACACCTCGCCGGCGTTGCAGTTGTGGCGGCCCCAGCCGTCGTAGGCGCAGCGCAGGAGGTGCGGCTCCGAGCCGTCGCAGTCCACCTCGTCCATGTAGAAGTTGGAGCCGCGGCCGTACCTCGCTCCGCCGTACCCCCTGCCCGACTCAAAGCCCAGCGAGCGGCAGAACACGGTGGCGTCCACAAGTCCCCACCCGTCGTCACACACGAAGCCCCAGTCGCCACCACTGACACGCAGCTCCACTGTGCCGACCGAGCAGTTGTGCGAGCCCGCGACGCGGAACTCGTATTGACCGTGGACGGCCGCTTTGCACTTGCATCTTCCTGATAAACATTCGAGACCGGTGCCACAGTCTGGATCGCCAGCGCACTTCCCGCCCTCTGATGACTGAGATAAGCGCCGGCAGCTAGTGTTGAGTCGATTCCAGAAGCCTGAAACACAATCGCAAACGCCATCCGCGCATACGGCGTCGGGCAAAAGACAGTCGGCGTCCTCGGCGCAGGGCTGGCTGAGCTCGGAACGGCGGCGACACTCACCGGCAGACACCTGGCGGTAGCCGGCCACGCACGCGCATACGCGCCGCTCGCCGCACTCCGTATTCGGCTGCACCTCGGAACATTCAGTATCGCTTAAACACGGCTGGCCCAGCGCTACCCTGCTGGGTGGCGATGGAGCCGCGGTGGCCGTCGTCTGGTGGCCGGCGGTGCCATTCCCGTCAGGACAGTCCACACCCCTCGAGCCGGACTCCGTGACGTCCGCGCTGTCCGGGGTGATCTCGTCAGAGCCGAGAGTGACCTCAGTCGTCACAGCCAGGTTGTCCGACCCGCCGGCCGCCGTGCCGTAGGTACCCTGCAGAGATTCCTCCAGAGAGCGCAGACGGGTGTGTGTCTCGGCGTGCGCCTGCTCCACGCGGAGCTGGAAGGCGGCGGCGGCATCCAGCCGGGACGAGATGTCCGCCAGGCTCGACTGGAGGCCGGTGAGTGCCTCGGCGACCCGCAGCAGGGGCTCGGAGGCCGCCGAGCTGACCGAGCTCTCCACGAGCCGGGCCAGCTCAGAGCTGAGCTGCTCCAGAGTGACGGCCGCCGGCACCGGCTCGGCAGCTGACGGCCCGCACAGCAGCGGGCCGAGCGTCCCCCAGAGCAGCAGGGCCCGGAGCATGACGCTACCGTGACTGGACATCGCGAGAGACTGCCCGCGAGGGACGAGAAGCGCCCGCCGCGCCAAGGACGAATCGCTGTTTATACCATGAGATACCGAGCCGTATAGCCATAACGGTCCGGAGAACGTTTATATTATCAGAAACGTATGCGGATAAAAGGATATGCCAGACGTGCTGTGTGGATTCCGTCAAATACTTTGCACTTGTGATAGGCGGAGAGCATAAACTGTTTATGAAATCATGTGTATGAGGGTCGGCATATCTCCTCTTTTTTTCTGCGCGTCGGTTTCTTGCTATCGCCCGTCCGGGTTAGGCCATATGTCATTAACATTGTAAAAAACGGCACACTTGGCTAGATTAGATGGAGCGCCCCATCACTCACCAGTTCATAAAAGTGCCTCTGCAGCCGAAGTTAGCGCTCTTCTGACCAGACTGGTGTTCGATTCACCCGTGATTGAATCGATTGGATTGAATATTGAATCAAACAAAATTTGTTGAATCAAAAAGGTTTGATTCACCGTCAGGACTGTTCGATTCACAAGCCATGATTGAATCAAACGCATTGGGAATCAGGGTTTGAATCAAAAAAGTTCATGAACTAAAAAAGTGAAGTTAACGTAGTTCATTATCAACGATACTGCCATGTGATGATAATTGCATGACAACAAAAAGAGCACAACAAACACAATACTATTCCTGAATCAGTGATTTTTTAATTGAATCGAAAAAAGAATCGTTCACTCGTTTTGGCTGAATCAAACGCGAATCATTCCTTTTTTGTTTTGTTGTTGTTTTTTTTTATAGGAGTAGCGTTATGGGTAGGGGTAGTGGTAGGGGTAGAAGTAGGAGAAGTGTGGTCCACACTGATCCAATGTGACACGAGGTAACCTTTACGACCTGGCATGACCGAAGGTGACCTGGCCTGACCCAATGTGAGAGGGATAACCACCTTGCCCTGACTTGACCCGTATCACCCAAATTTTATCCAACTTAGCCCTCCGAACAGTTCTTTCGTTCTACATTTTCCTCTCCGCGTATCCGTCTGTATCTCTGCTTACAGGCGACACATCAATTTGAAACGAACACCGTTCGAAAGCAAATTGGCTGCTGCCGCATTTTATGACCACGTCGCGGAGCAAGTGGCACAACCGCTTGTCTTGTCTACTATACTATTAACAAACTCGGGTCGCCATGGTAACGGGGCACATTTGGCATGAGTATGCATCTAATAACTCATTTTTCCTCCTGTCTCATTTCCTGTCTAACTCCTGCCATTAAATCCTGCCAACTGCTTCCTGTCTAACTCATTTATTTATATGCACTGTGCATTTTTGAACGAATTATTTCAGAAAAAAAAAACTTGTTGGACCACTCCAAGATTGACTTGCAGCTTTCATAAGCGATCCAAGTTATTATCAGACTGACCTAAATAATATCAAAATCAAGTCCTAAGCTGAACGCCCATGCTGCCATAGGTTACCTCTAACGTTCTGGCCCCCAAAATCATTACTGGCTTATCAGTTATCAGCCAATGGGCGTCAAGTATTGACTTGCGCTGATTGGAGGGATAACTGCATTTGTTGTTCGGAATGCTCACGGCACTCATGACAGCGCTAGCGCAAATGTCTCCACTTTTCGTAATGTTGAAAGGCCAGAGCGCACCCCCCCCCCCCCCCCTGCACTGCAGTAAAACGTCAACAATGAAAAACACAGAGTTACGCTCCTGGCCGACATGCAGCTGAAGAGCACACACAGCGTACCAGTCACCGCCGACACCCTACGATATACACGTCCTGACGGGATCAGTGCAGTGCATTACCCGGTCCTCCTATAAGGCAGCAGACTGGCCGGCAGGAGTGCTGAGCTGTCCCCGCCCCCGCTCACCTGTATCGGCGCATGCTCTGGTCGTGCGCCGGGAAGTGGCTGAGCGCCCGCTCGACCAGCTCGGCCATCCGCTGGTTGGAGACCACGTCCCAGAGGCCGTCGGTGGCCATCACCAGCACGTCCGACTCGGTCACGGCCGCCTCCTCCTCCAGGTTAATGATGAGCACCTGGCACCGGGAGACAGGGGACAAGGGTCATCCAGGGGTAGTGAGCTAACCGAACAGAAACCGAATCGAAATGGCAGCGTGGCGAGACGCCAAAAAAGTGAGAAGCCATGGTTGACGAGTCTCGTACCGGCGGTGTTCGGTGAACTTACCTCGGGTTGTGACAGGAGGAACGGCTTCACGTAGACGTTGGTGTTCTGAGCGCGCAGGTTGTGGTCGCCGAACCCGCGAGTCACGCCAATTGTGGCGCACACGCGGCTCTGGGGGCGGATGGGGCGCGGTCAACAGTCATGGATGCTCGCACGGCCACCGGGGGCACGACGTTCATTTTGACACATAAATAATGATTGATTGGGTGGTGCTATCAGATATAGTGCACACTGCTGACTGCACACTAACAAATGATTCGATCGATGACAGAATATCATCTACAGTCGAATAAAGCATCAGCATGATTTTCTTAGACACATAATTATCACCAATGCCGCGCTCCGAGTTCAGAATATATGCGACGTATCTGTTTCCACTTTTGTCTTCACTTACGCGTTTGCCCTCGCCGCAGACCACGGGGAACTTGATGTCGCTCTCTGTGACCGTCTTGTACGCCCAGCCGGTCATGTGGGCGTCCCGGTAGAGCACGCGCTGGCCGAGGTCGCGCCGCGTTAGCCGCCGGCAGAACTCGAGGTGCGTGAACTCGCCACCGCACAGTGACGGCTGCCGACTCGCCTGATGATATTCGGAGGATGGCACAGGAAAGGTCAGTGTCCAACGCACGGCACCTGTTTATGTAAGACGCGTACAAATTACCGGAGAATGGCAAACATAATCGAAAATACATCAGAGTATAAGCAAATATGAAACTTTCTAGAATATAGCAGCAACAGGCGGTGTCCGCCTGCTCACCGGCTACCCAGCATACTCCCATGAACCCCCGGTTGCCCACTGCCACCCTTACCCAGCTGGTTGACCCACCGACACCCTCCCCATCCGCACTGACCAGCTGTCTGACGCGCTGCCGCTCCGTCTCGGGCGTGAAGTCGTGCGAGGCGACCATGGCGCGGCCGCGGCGGCAGACGACGGCGCGCGAGTCGCCTGCGTTGGCCACATACAGCCGACCGAGCAGGAAGAGCGCCACCAGCGCCGTGCAGCCGCCGCGCATGTCGTACCGGCGGCGGTCCTCGGCAATCTGCTCGTCCTGGCGGGTGGCGGCGCCGCGAGAGTCAACAGAGCGTTAAAACAGAGGGTGCGACATGTGAGAGTGGCACGAATGAAAAAAAAATGAATAAACATGATGCGGGGCGCTGAAAGTTATGTAGTTGCTTGATGTGTTAACTTATCTCTACATAACTGATATGCTTAGAGGACAGATGTTATATTTTATGTTTTCGTCGTCACTCACCATCTCGTTGAAGGCGGCCTCGAGCGCGCCGGTGACCAGTTTGTCCACGGAGAGCTCTCTGGACGACACCCAGAAGAAGTCTGTGCGCGCGGCCGGCTCGGGCGCCCCGTCCGGCGGCAGCAGGTGCTCCACTATGTCCATCAGCCGCTCCTGCGGGACACGACGGTCAGAGGCGGTCAGAAAACGCGGAAACGGCGACAGACGGCTAGGGCAGGCCGCTGTGAATTCGGCATTTACCGGCGTCTTTGATGCGGGGACTTTCAGAAAACTATAACTCCTTTTGTAACTATATTGGTAGCACAGATAAAAGCATATCCATATCCATCAGGTGCCCAATTCCAGCACTATTAGAATCAATAACCAACTGGTATGATTTATGAATCAGAAGTATTGCAAACATTAGCTACACTACAGCCCCGTATCATTCCTAGAAACATATGAGTAAGATTGCTAGGAAACAGCCCCCTGCCAAGGGGATGTTCCATGAGCCAATTAATTCCTTTAACTGACATGCACAATGTGGTGGAGCTGGTTGGCGGCAGCCGTTGACGCCCCGTGGCCAGCATGACCATCAAACAGGCCAAAGTAGTAGTAGGGCACGGAGCGAGCGCCTGTGTCAGAGCCGCTCTCGTCCGGCCGGTGCAGTGAGCCCACGTGCAGATGTGCAGTGTCCTCATTACGCTTGCTTTTCCCAGCATTCACTGCCCTGTAAAAGAAACAGCAAATCTATGTGAACTGCCAGCCCTACATCTCATTACACCTAGCTACCAAACTGACATTATTTCAAAACTCAGCAAATCCAATTTGCCTAATCTTTTTTACCCAGCCACCTAACACTTACTTATTATGCAAAGCTCCACAAAATATCTTAACATTGGTGAAGTCATTTTTCAGAATGTATTTTTCATATTTCATGCAGCACAAGGTCCTGGTTACAAGACTTTTCATGATCACAGTGACTCACTCTGCATATCCAGCCATCCAGGGCATGCAGGAGATATCTCTGGGCACCATGATGGGTCTGATTGACCTGTCTGCCGCCACCTGGACCTCATCCTCTGAAGCCAGCCGCAGGAATGATGGCCGGCTGTAGGGAAACTTGGGCAGACGCTCATCGGCTGGTGGTCGAGGCCCCGCAGCAATTGGCTCCTCCTGTCCACCAACAGCGCTATACACTGCCACCCGCAGCTTGTTCAGCATCACTTACGCAGTAGGTATAGCTGAGACAGGACACCTGTAATTTCAAGTACCAGGGGAAGTGGAAGGTGGAGTGAACGAAATACTATCTGTACAATATACATGTTTATGCCCTAAATCTGAGGCTGTAACAAGTAATTTCATGTCATGTTGATGTTGTGCCTTGATTTGTACCTATAAGAATATCAAAAAAGCAATACAGTTGGTGACATACCAGGGAAATAAGCTAAAATTAGAGCGCTCTATTTATTGCTCCTGCCCCATGTTGAAGAGATACCCCTAAAAGCGTGATCTTTTATCGGCCCTTACGCAGCAAGGCAGTAATTCTCAGACCGGTGGATGGTATCAATAGAAAGAGAATGCGTCAAAGATTAACATGAATTAATTAAAATAACATTAAAATGTTAATTAAGCGTGGAAATTAGTCCCAAACATAAGCTAATTATTGCTCCTACCTCGGCGACGGCGCTCCCCGCAGTCAGCGGAGAAGCTTAAAATAAAAGCCACCATCCTCCTCCGTAAGTCAATTTTAGAGCGGCCGAGTGGGCCGATGCGGGGCCACCAAACTGAGGTGAGACGTGGCTAGCAATTGCAAACCGCCATAGAAATCAATATCTTAAGACGTACAATATGGGATGATTACTCTGAAGCTGGAGTGAAAGCATGAGTAGATTGCAAGAAACGAAATGCATAGATTGGTTGAATTATGTACAATAGGCACAGCTCAGATGAAGCCATTTCTATGATGTTGACATATGACATAACCCTTCCTCTCCTCGCCTATGACCTAAGTGCATTGGCAGTTACCGGCATAGTTTTTGAGCACGAGTGTAATTCGCCATCGGACCGCAATGCATGTTGCTAGGCTGCTGCAATTACAACGAACATACGAATACTGCCTTCATTAGTAGACGTTTGTTTTTTAGGCGGTCTTTGACGTGCAAGGGGGCATACCTGTCGACAACTTGAGTTTCTCCGAATTTCAAAAACTCCCAGAATTTCAATTCCTTATGCACTGTTGTAGGTACAGCTATGCTCACAAGTTTTCGTTTCCTCCTGTTCTAAAAAGGATGATATTTGTCGATTTCGTGCGTCGCTGATAGGAGGGTGCGTTTAATAATTAGGCCCAACGCTTTCTGCATCCGCGAGTACCTTCAAAAGGGAACAACAGCTTCCATTTATTACACTACAGTTGGGCAAACTAGACTTTTGGAATCAATATATGGAGGCATCAATAATTTGATTCTGGTGGGAGGAGCCATGACCAAATATGGGCATGGAATCAATTTTTTGATTCATTTGGGTACACTTTTGACTTCAAATGAATCGTTACGGTTGAAAAAAGGCCCATGACGGTGAGATTTTTCTTTTAAAAGGTAGAAAAATGTGGTAGGTTTGCAAAAAGTGTTACCTCAAAGCTAAGAAATTGTCCCTTTGGCCTTGTGAATGGAAAAAAGACAGAGCCACTGTCCATCACGTAAAAGCTGTTTTGAGGAAATCACACTGTATGTTATTTTTGTATCATGAATCACATACTAACCAATCAGTATTTGTGTAAAATGGCAAAATGAAATTTTTAAACCCCTAATTATCATTGTTGTAGTGCTTTTATATTATTTATATGGTTTTTACCTGTTGCTTCAGTTTTTGTATTCTTGACATTTAAAAATTGTGAATTGTTATCAAATGTAGTGAAGGTAAAGTACAACAATGCTATAGGTATCAGTTGTGGTGCTGAGGATACTACTAAATGAGAATAATAGCAAGATAAATGCTGTATTCTTGCGAGTCATTGTTGCCTATCTGTTAACATTACCTGTGAATCAAAATAATGATTAGCCAGCTGAATGGGAATCAATATTATGATTATCTGTTTAAAGTGAATCAATTCCTTGATTGCCTTTGACTACCTATAGAATTCAAATTGTTATGATAGGAGCAATATTATTTTGCTTAGGAGATAGTTCAAGCATTTCTGTTCAAGATCAGGCATGCTCCTTCTTGAAATACTCTCCTATTTTTATGTGATTAGTAAGTTAGAAATGGTCTGCATTTATGCCCAAAAGGAATCAATCTTTTGATGCCTCCATATTTTGATTCCAAAGGTCTAGTTTGCCCAACTGACTATGGGACATGTGACAAAATGGAACACGCATGAAACGGAGCTCATATTCCTAAAAATGTCTACAATCACTTCTTTTCTGACACTATTAGCAAATACCATCTCAAGTTAGGTGGTTGACAGACAGTCAATGGAGATCTGGGGAGACTGAGTGATGCCAATTCACCACTTAACTGATAATGAGGGCCGAGGGAAGAGAAACATGCAACATGCACAACTGACAACTTGACAAGTGACAAAACACTACCACTATTGCGCAGTGCACAACAAATTACAGCAGCCAGCCCAAGAAATGCTTTTGGTGGCTAATTGCAAAACAAGTCACTAATAAATGTCTTAGTTGCAGCTGAACACTGCACAATAATCACACTGTTCACACATTGAGTGAGATGCCACAGGTGGTTTGAATCACACTTTGGTTTAACTGCAAATCTGAAGTGCTGTCATGAGGTTCATGCCTCCATGATCACAGCACTTTGGTTGTGGTTGGCATAACACTTGTAGTCTGCAGAGTTCCACATGAACTGCAGACACCTCATCTGGTGGTCTTCATGTTGCTCAACTTCTTCAGGAGGCAAATGTCGACCACCCAGCGGAAGCATGGTCCTGCAGAAAAGAAAGGTAATGCATAAGGTACAAACATTATCTGCTGAAACAGCCCCTTCTGTTGGCTGTTATTAAACTTTTAACATAACATAACAACATGTATTCCATGTATATTACATTTGTTGAAGTAAAATACTGCTGGCTATTTCAAAACCAGAAAATGAAATTATATTGTGGCATAATTCACATGCTCAGCTATCAGTATCAAATAATAATTAATTTAATATTTGGCATATTCTATAAAACACATTCATAGAATATTCTACTTCACGTCACAAGGACTCACAATCTTTCTGTTGGGTGTTTGATTGACGCATTAACTAAGTTTGTCTTAGGTTTTATTATTGCAAAAATTCATATTGCATTATTGTATCAAAATACTGCCAGCAATAACAAAACAAGAACATGAAATGTCAATGAGCAAGCCGCCTTTCCTAAAAATGGATTACTTTGAAAGGAATTTCAGTTTCTTTTAAGGAAAAGGAGAAATGATTATCAGGTAATTATCAGAAAACCACTCAACCAGCAAGTGGCTGGGTGGTTTCACAGCAAAGATCAAGCCAAAACATATACTTACATTAATCTATCAATTGAGCCATTTGACTACTACAAGGATATGTGAGCAAAATACGAATCCAATTATCCAATATTGACTTCCTTGCAAAGTTTATGCCTTATTTTATGAAAATGTGTCACTAGAATATGATACTTATCATCGAATGTTATTTAATTTACGATTTATTTCGATCGGAATGCACAGGGAGTCCCGCGCCATTTTCGTCGACGATGAATATGATCGTGTTTCATGAAGAGATAAGGGGTTTCAATGGTCTTTCAAAGCAATAATTTGATGCAAAAATTTGTAGGAAATAATATAAAGCTGGTTCAAATGGCCATCAACCATTTAAAACACCGAAAATACTCACAACTCCGTCCCGACGACCACGCAGCACCGCGCACGCCACACTACTGGCACAATGCCAAAACTGCTGTCACAGCGGAAATGTTTTTTTTTTCTCGATTGCAATTGTGGAATTATTTATTAAACAGAAGATGATCTTTCCGAAAAACCGACTGATTTCATACACAGATGCATGGAAAATAAAAAAATCCCGGTAAGTTTATTTGTATTGTTTTGTCGATTTTGACATGCTCCTAGTTTGCAGCCATATTTCGATATGTTCTACAGGGAGTTCAGAATTATTTCAGGACCAATCTTTTCCTCATTCATTTTCCCGTCGATCATGAAATTTTTAGAGCGGAACAATTAGTTTCCAGGCGGTCCGAGCGGTTTTCGTGAGAAGGGTGCAAAAATCGGCGTCATTTTTAGAGCCTCGACACCAGCTCAACACAGGACCCTATGGGAGATGGTGAAGTAGCGGGAGCAATAAATAGAGCGCTCTAATTTTAGCTTATTTCCCTGGAGTGTCACCGACTGAATAGCGTGCATTCAAGTTGAGACCCAGGTAGACCAGGACCCAGGTTCTGAGACTGCTCTCAGAAGCTCTTAGGAATGTTAACTTACAGAAAAATATCAAAATGAAACCGCATATACCCAATACCATCTAAACACTTGCCAAATATGGCCAAAAACACCTACCCATCAAACACAACCAAAATACCTAACGACCCTGCACCATGGATGCCTGCACCATGTCCATGACCAAAATAAACACGAAAGCAGCTTGCCCTGCGTTCGGCATCTAGAAAATAAGGGATAATTATTCGGGATCACTCGGATCATTCGCTGTATGTGTCTGACGCCGTGCAAAACAGACATGAAAATGAGAGCTATTAGTGAAGCAAAATAAATATAAAAATGTGGCGAGTTGCTTCGATGGTCCCTGCAATACCAGATGATTACCAGTGATTCCGGATAATATTCCCCCATTTTTTAATTTTTAATACGCCGAACGGAGATATGGCAGCAATGAAACAAAAGACAAAAATGACAGTACATTTGCGTCGTGATTGTCGACATTATTGCTTACTTGCTGCACGAGGAGCCTTGCAAGAGGAGTAATTTTTTTGCAAATTATAGACAGATGTGCGTATTTGTGAATCATCAGTAATCTTCAAAATAAGCTTGTTGTTTTACATACAGACACTTAAACTGACCAGTCCATACCAAAGTATCTTAAAGCCACAGCTTGCCTTGCAGCTGCAAGTGTTCTGTCTTTCACCATCACCATATCAAAAATGGATATGTTATAGATGATTTCAGTTTGGATTATCAGTGGAAGATAAACATAACCATCGTAAATAGGCGAACACTTATTGCATTGGTAAGAATTCTTGGCCCAGGATATTGTGATTTGTTATTGCTGAATGATATTCACTCATCACTGGCAGATCATAACCCAAACCTGAGGAGTGAGGGATGTGGTGTGTGAGGGAGGCCTTTGGGCAAACGCCTTCTAGGCTCTAGCTGCACCATAATATGGTGAAAATTTGTTGTTTTTCAAGAATAGAAAGAATTTCAAACAAATTTTATATAGGAAAATGTGCTCGTCAGATGTTATAGTTATTTTTCTTAGTATCAAAACTAGATTGATCTATGACAAGTTTTTGCTTAGTAATTTTCATCCATGGAAATTTTGAATGGTAAAATGTGTCAATAACCTTAGTTATATGTCATGTACCTAGTGCATTTAGGTATTTAATCAGTAAATAACTGGAAGGACAATTAGTACCAGGGGCGACACTTTCCGAAAATTATAGGTAGGGCTCTAATGTAAATTTTTGCCAATTCAAAGCGATTCTTTCCACGCAACGCCATAGGCATAATGTTAAATTTCCAAAATTATTGGTAGGGCTCGGGCCCTACCATGCCTATACAAAACGACACCCATGATTAGTACATAACATACCTATGCAGTATGCTTCAGCTTAACATTCATAATTTGGTCTCTAAAAAGAATAGAAGCTTACTAGCAGAATGCACTAACATTTTAAACTAAAGTGGGGAAAAATGAGTATAGTGTATTTTCAGTGGCATTTATCTTTACTGGATATTTTCTGGTTTGGAACCAAAGCTGCACTGATTCTATAGCAATTAAGGGAATATTTAAGTGTAACATGTCCACAGGCATAGTAAGCACCTAAGTCTGTGAATGTTTGATCAACTCACAACTTAATATGGTTAGTTACTAGTACAGACTTTGGTTGTTCCTATCAGACTAGGGGCAAATGAACTACACAGAGTAGTTTGTATTACATACCCTCTAGACACTAGCTCATAGCTGGGTATGAATAATAAATATATTTGACTTCGCTGCTTTTGTTCTCTGGTGACAATTCCAATGTGAATGAGCACCACATCTGTCTGCATTAGTCTACACCTCCCTCTGATTGTAGTGTCTGTCTGGTGCATTTCAGAGGGGATGTCTGAGCAGGACCAGCAGCCGCGGGACCGGGCGGCGGCCGAGCTGCCGGCCAAGTCGGCCTGCTCCTCTGGACCGGCGCCGGACCGCAGCACGCTGCTGTTGGAGCGGCTGTTCGGCGTCACGGGCCGGCGGCTGGCGGCGGCCGGCTCCGGGCCGGCGCCGCTGCTGCTGCCCGAGCTGGCCGCCTCCGGGGCGCCGCTCTCTCTGGACACGCTGCAGGAGGCGGTCTTTGAGCGGCTCATGGTCACCGACCGGCCGGCAGACGAGGGCGACGCCTGGACCTACCTGGTGAGGTGCAGCGGCCGGGTGGCGGCCGAGACGTCCACCCAGCTGCCCGACGAACAGCGCGCCGCCGTCCGCGAGCTGATCGTGCAGAACGGCTCCACCGTGCTCCAGCAGCCGGATATTTTCGGCATGGAGAACCGGCGCAGCTTCTTCGAGTCGCTGCGCGCGCACCTGGCCATCGACGGCTGGTTCGACGACTTCCTGCGCGCGGTGGTGCTGCGGCTCGTGGAGGAGGAGGCGCCGCTGCGCGACATATTCCAGGAGACGTTCCAGTACATCCAACGGGTGGTCGGCGAGACCAAGGGCTCGCTGATGAACATGGACCGGTTCGTGTACAGCCTGGCCACGTTCATGTCGACGATGGCGCCGCTGGCCGAGACGCTGGTCTCCCTGAGCGAGGTGCCCGACACGCTGTCGCTGGGCGGCGTGCTCTACTGTCGCGTGCCGCTCGGCTCGCTGCTCTGGCCTTCGGCGCTGAACCCGGTCGGAGAGTTCTTCGACCAGCCGGTGACGCTGACCCAGCAGAGCGTCGACGTGGTCAACAGCAGCATCTGGACGTCGGAGCGGTTCATCGCCGAGACGGTGCACAAGGTGTTTGAGAACATCCTGCGCTGCGGCGGCCGGGCGCGCCAGCTGCTGCTGCGCTGGATCGCCGCCTGCCTGCGCGCCAACGCCGGCCGCGCCAAAATCTGGCACACGGACATGGACGGCAGCGGCGGCCACATGGCGCCCGACGGCTTCATGCTCAACCTGGGCTCGGTGCTGCTGCGGCTGTCGCTGCCGTTCGTTCGCGACCTGGACAGCCCCAAGCTGCTGGAGGTGGACCCGACCTACTGCGCCGCGCCGCTGCCCACCTCCGAGGAGCAGCAGGCGGCTCGGTGGCAGCACCTGGCTGACCTGGACAAGGAGACGTGCCTGGTGCCGAGGCCAGAGGACGCGCCGCCGCCCGCTCCGGGCAAGTTCAACTTCCGCACCGAGTGCTTCTACCTCTGTCATAAGACGCTCCAGCTGGGACTCAAGGTGCTGCAGGTAATGACTGACGCCGCTGTGGGATCTGTATTAGGAATTTTCGGTACTCTGCTAAACCTGGTCAATGCTTTATATAACTATTCTATTTTTTTCTAAGCCGCCACCCATTATCAGGTTATCAGCTATCATTCAATGCGTTCGTTCTTGTTCTTATGTTCTATTTGCAATCTTTTGCTAGAAAATTATTAATTTGCTGTCCGAGTGTTATATAGCTTTGCGGCCATGAATCAAGTGTTTTGTGTTGATGCCCGTGTTCCCCCGTACAGCTGCGTTGCCGGGTTAGCCCGACCGGTCACTGACCGTGCCGCCGCGGTCCGTCCGTGCCGCCAGGACAAGCTGTCGAAGCTGAACGGCGAGCTGGGCCGGATGCAGCGCGTGTACCGGGACGCGCTGACTCAGGCCGCCGGCCAGGACGCCGAGCTGGAGGGCATCAAGGGCCGCTTCGAGGGTCTGATGCAGCGCTACCTGTGCCTGAAGGCGGCGCTGACGGAGCCCAGCCGCACCGAGCACGCCTCGCAGTTCCTGACTGCCACGGCCGTGTGGCTGACGCAGCAGGCCGCCCGGCCCGCAGACGGTATGTAGTAGGTACCCGCTCTGACGGGGGCGAGCCGAGCAGCCGTGGGCACCGGGATGGGCGCGGGTACGGCGCGACAGACGTGCAGACGTCCTCCTGCCGCAATCTTCTGTGATTATCTGTTAGATTGATCGATGATATTGTAATAACTTTGCTTCCATGTGGATATCTGTTGGTTCCAGTGATTTCTTCCAATACGACTTACCTCAATCACCCGTGAACATCTGGTTGTGTTTCATATATCAGCCTCCACGGTTGTGACTCGGTCCGTTTCCGTTCGCAGACGAGCCGCTGCGGAGCCGCCGCGAGCTGACGTTCCCGCTCCCGTCCCCAGTCCACCCGAGCCTCTCCTGCATCCCCGAGATGCTGGCCGACAACCTGACCTCCCACCTGCTGGCCGTGGGCCGCTTCACCCCCGAACAGTGGAGCGTGGCGCCCGACGCCTGCCGACACATGTTCTCATTTATCCTCGTCTTTATGGGCTCCACGGAGCGGATGCGCAACCCGCACCTGCGCGCCCAGCTGGCCGCCTGTCTGGAGGTGCTGCTGCCCGACTTTGGAGAGGAGCACGGCCACGGCCTATTGTGAGTGGGGAAGGGCGAGTGTGGGGCGAAGGAGGTCGTCTGCGCGATGTCGAGGTAGATGCCGCTGTAGTGTATAGGGTTAAGTCGGTTAAACTGTGTTTGCTGACAGTTTTCACAGGGGTGATAAACCTGTTCAATGATGTCAAAGACGGCTACAGTCAGCAGTTGTATGAAACAGAAGCTCAACAACAAGCGCCTCCATTCTGTCGTACATGCAGTCCCAGCCGGTGACTTCCAGTGACCACCCCACGTCCGGCCGCAGGAGCGCCGGCTACCAGCGACAGCAGCTGTTCCTGTCGCACGAGCTGGCCGACCAGGTAGTGCCCGCCCTGCTGCACGTGTTCGTCAGCATCGAGATGACCGGCCAGAGCGTGCAGTTCGAGGAGAAGTTCAACTACCGGCGGCCCATGTACGTCATCATGAAGTACCTCTGGAGCGTCGACCGGCACCGAAACATGTTCTTGTAAGTACGCTGTATGTATTATGTATGACGCGATTCTTTTTTAGGGCAAAGCTAGGAGTCAGGAGGCTGAAGGGGGAGCGCAAGTGTGTCAGCTGAGCATTCGTACTCGCTGAATTTTTTTAAGTCTGTAATTGTTTGATTAGCTGATAAATTCGGCGTTTTTGCTGAAATTGTATTACATGCCCATAAGGCTGATATTTTACTGCTGACTATAACATTTCCCAACTGAAATGAACTCTTAACAGTTTCTAAGTTCCTTATAACTGATTTATACGCACTAGTGCTGGGTCGATCATCGCCGATTACCCTCCGATGCTCCTTGCAGCTCTCTGTCGGAGTCGGCCGAACGTGATATGGACTCGGCGACACCTCCAATCTTCCTGCGCTTCATCAACCTGCTGATGAACGACGCCGTCTTTCTGCTGGACGAGGCGCTCAGCTACATGACGCAGCTCAGGGACCAGGTAAAGACTCGATCTTAAACACAGCTACGCGACAGTATTAGCCGGCAGATTACCGGCGGGAACCCGGAATGTACGGTTTTATCAGTGTATTCAGGACTCAGGTCCTGCACCGTCAGACCGAAGAGTACAGCGAGTGCCCTGCCGGGTCCTTGAGAGCATTGAATATCCATCTCCCTTCTTACCTGGTACAACACCGTCAAACAGGGGAGTACACCGCCATGCCTGGTCTTTGGCATTGCGCATCCCCCTCTCTTCCCACCAGGTCCAGCACCGTCAGACGGAGCAGCACAGGTCCCTGACCATTCCCTTTTTTCCACCAGATGCAGCACCGTTTGACGGAGTACAGCGCCCTCCCGGGTCCCTGACCCCCCCCCCCCCCCCTCCTCTCCCACCAGGTGCAGCACCGTCAGACGGAGGAGTACGGCGCCCTGACCACCTCCCCTTCCCACGTCCAGGTCCAGCACCGTCAGACGGAGGAGTACAGCGCCCTGACCATACTCCCCCCCCATCCCCTCCCACCAGGTGCAGCACCGTCAGACGGAGGAGTACGGCGCCCTGACCACCTCCCCTTCCCACGTCCAGGTCCAGCACCGTCAGACGGAGGAGTACAGCGCCCTGACCATACTCCCCCCCCCCATCCCCTCCCACCAGGTGCAGCACCGTCAGACGGAGGAGTACAGCGCCCTGACCACCTCCCCTTCCCACCAGCTGCAGCACCGTCAGACGGAGGAGTACAGCGCCCTGACCATACTCCCCCCATCCCCTCCCACCAGGTGCAGCACCGTCAGACGGAGGAGTACAGCGCCCTGACCACCTCCCCTTCCCACGTCCAGGTCCAGCATCGTCAGACTGAGGAGTACAGCGCCCTGCCGGCCCAGCAGCGACACCAGCAGGAGGCCAACTTCCGGCACATGGGCATGCTGGCGCGCTTCCACAATATCATGGCGCGGGAGACGATCAGCGCGCTGGAGATGCTCACCTCGGGGATCCGCTCCATCTTTCTGCAGCCGGCCATCGTGGACCGCGTGGTGGCCATGCTCAACTACTTCCTGCTGCAGTTGGTCGGACCCAAACGCAGGGAGCTCAAGGTGGGCCCAAACGCGGGGAGCTCGGGGCGCGTCCAGACGTGGGGAGCTCAAGGTGGGCCCAAACGCGGGGAGCTCGGGGCGCGTCCAGACGTGGGGAGCTCGGGGTGGGCCCAAACGCGGGGTGGGCCCGGGCCCAAACACGGGGAGCTCGGGGTGGGCCGAAACACAGGGAGCTCATGGTCAGTTATAGTGAGCAGCATCCAATCCAATAGTGAGCAGCATTACGATCCAATTGAGCTGGAGCCGTGACTGAAGTTTTTTTTTCCAATTCACTCAGCTTTTTTCACACCAGTGTTTAGATGAACAATACTTGACTTACTGCCTTTCTAAATACTCTGGCGGACGCTTGCAGATGATACGTGTGCGCGTCATGAGCAAAAAGGTGTTAACATATTTTAGTCGGTAGGTAGGTTGCAGCTTTGACACTTTTCCGGTACCAAAAGACTGTCGGGGAGGGGGGATCGTGAAAGCTACTTAACGGTCGAGATGTGCAAGTGACACCCGTCTGCTCCCTCCACTGCCAGGTACGCGACACCTCTGACGACTACGACTTCAAGCCGGGCGAGCTGGTGACTGGTATCTGCAAGATCTACACCCAGCTGGAGTGTGAGCAATTCTGCGCGGCGGTGGCGGCCGACGAGCGCTCCTACTCGCCGCAGCTTTTCACAGACGCCATCCAAGTGCTCGGTGAGAGGAGGCGGCCGCTGTCACTGCTCACCGGCCCGGGGAGGGATTAGAGGGACTAGGGTGGTATCGGCCGTGGAATGCTCAATTGTTTTGTACTTCGTACTGTGAATCGGTGCGTCCCGGCAGCGCGAATCGGCCAGGGCCAGTGGATCCCGGTCGTAAGTTGAGTCGGTGGCTGTTTGTCTCTCTATGCTCAGCTGTACTGACCTTTACTGACTCTGTACCTTTTACTGACTCTGTGATTGTGTGTCCCACCAGCGCGGATCGGCCAGGGCCAGCTGATCCCTGCCGTGGAGTCGGTGGCCGCTCAGGTGGCCGGCTCGGGCGCCGCGCTCAAAGCCGAGGAGGACCTGGCCGCGCAGGCGCCCGACCACTTCCTGGACCCCATCATCTCCAGCCTGATGGCGGACCCGGTACGGCTGCCCACGTCCGGCATCATCTGCGACAGGTCCACCATCGCACGGTGAGTTTACGACAGAAGCACTATTGTCTGGTGAGTTTGTGTGACGAGTTCACCATCGCTACAGCTGTCAGGTATTTAACGCCCCATCCCGATGAGTCTGTAACCGGTTCACTGAAGTCAGTTAAATCTGACAGGTAGACCTTCGCCAGACGATAACCTTCAGAGGCTTTATGTTGCGATGAGGGAATGTCCTGCTGATGGGTTTACTCCTTAGTTATTTTCGTATCGAGACGTCCGTTCGATGCCATCTCGCAAAGCACCTACGCTTTATCACCGTGCTTTGTGTTGGTGGTATACCACGGCACCCGCCCCTCTCCGTCCGCCGCCGCAGGCACCTGCTGTCGGACCAGTCGGACCCGTTCAACCGGAAGCCGCTCACCATGGAGCAGGTGGAGCCGGCCGCCGAGCTCAAGGCGGAGATCGAGGAGTGGCGCCGACAGAAGCTGGCCGAGCGCTCCGCCGGCGACCGGTGACCTGTGACCCGTGACTGGTGAGCTGTGACCGGTGATCGGTGCGCGTACCGTGCTGCCGGCCGCTCACAGTGACCGCAGAAACATTCCAGCCTACGTGGCCTGGAAACCGAAGAGGGTCTACTAGAAAATGTATATACGGCCTGTGAGCGTAACATTCAGATTATCAGCCGGGGTGCGTGGTTTCCCGGGTTATGAGGCCAGATATTGCCATCCACCAACTCTATGTGCCGCCCGCCGCGTCTCTGAGCTGCTAGAGTACTTGTCGGAGGCCGCTGGTCGGTCCGTGTGGCAGCGCTCTGAGCGTGTGGCAGCCCTGGAGCCGGTGTTTGCGTGGGGGATCGGTTTCGCTGTGTGACGGCGGGCTCAGATCGCTGGTGCAGTCAGTTGCAGTTATGTTTTATGTTGTTTATTACGTGTGGAGTGCACATCACGTATGAAAATTGATTATCTATGAGACAATACACAACAAGTTGGTGAACAAGGCATGAAAATGGAATAATGGCGACAAAAAAGTCGATTTTACTAATATCGACATTACCCGCAAGAACACCGTGGGGACCATGCGCCGCCCCCACCGACCAGACCTCGCTGTGAGACCCACCCGGTGGCGGACGTGGTTTCTCTCCCCCCACGCCGCCGTTCTTTGTACTGCCACGGTATCACGATTCACGAATCACAGCCCCGTTCCCCTCATCCCCTGCGCCGCGGGCCGGAGCACGCCTTGTGCCGCGCGGCCCGACAGCGTGCCGGTCCGTCAATCCTCGTCAGAGTCGGGCGCTAGCACCCGCTCGTGGCCGGGTACCCGCAGCGGATCCATGGTCACGTTGAAGCACCGCTGGAAGGTGAACTTGGCCCGCTTGGCCGGCGGCGTGCCGGGAATGGCGTCATCGCCGCCCGCCGCGGCAGGGGGCGGTGACGGCGGCGGACCGTCGCCCGCGCCCGGCTCCAGGTCCAGAGGTGTGCTGGTGCACGCTGCCAGACAGACGGAGACGTCACACACAGCAAACAGCCATCATCGTGGGTGGACAGTGAGGTCAGAACACCCGGGCGTAAATGGCACGCACGCGGTTTATGCAGTCAGCTGGACGTTGATACGGCAGAATGAGGTAGCGATACAGTACAGAATTAAATATAAAAAGAGCTTTGGAGCAAGATGGAATGAGATCCAATTACACTCATTTACGGCACCTAACCTGCAAGTCCAGAATCTAAAATGCCGAGAAGAGGAATGGCCGAACATTTCACTCCCTGTCGGAGAGTGAGCACTCGCCACTGGGGAGTCTCACCTGGTTGTCCGGGGTTGAGGCGCGGGGTCGGTGTGTCCGAGACGCGTCCGTTACACCGGCTGTTGGGTCGCACAGTGCCGCTCAGAGTCCCGTTGTGGGACGTCGCGGCCGCCGACACGTGATCCTGGGAGACGGACAGGCCGACCTTCACAGGACCATCACGGCGTCATCACCATCATCACGAGTTACCACCGTCACCAGTCACTACCAAATACCAACTCATCAGTCATCACAACGTCACAACGTGGCCGAAGGAGAATAATGCATTGAATGGTCAATGCGATGTCTTGTAATTTTGATCACTTGCCACCATCACAACTCTGGGTACAACATTTAACTCGATATTTTGAAAGCAATTTAATTTCGAACCCTACCTTATCCGCAAGTGACGCTGAGCTGTAACATAAGACACCGTATTCGGCAATCGGAGCACACTCGGGCCGTTGGACTCACCCCGTTCCCCGTGTGGGCTGTGACGCCGGCGGCCGGCGCCGGCTGGGAGCCCGCCTGCGACTCGGTCCGCTCGGCCAGGGTGGCCAGTACAAAGTGCGCCTCTAGGGTGGACGGCACCGAGCAGCAGAACACGATGGGCCTGACGGAGCGACGGGACGGTCAGAAAGAGAGGGGTGTCAGTAGCCGGGGCAGAGGTCAGAAGGAAAAGGTCGGCCTGGACAGCCGGTTACTGGGAGATGGGTCTGACGGGATGATCCGAAGAAGAGTCCCCCTCCAGCTCTCCCGTTACTACTCACTTCCCCCTCCCTCTCTACCCGTACCACGTCCCCCTCTCTCCCTTTCTAACTCTCAGTCCGATCCTCCGCATCACCCCTCCCTCCCCTTCTCACCGTCCTGGTCCGTCGAAGTTGACTGTGAGGGGCGCCGCCAGTGGCTCACTGAAGAGCAGCACAGCGCGCAGCTCGCGCAGGCAGAAGGTGACCTCACACTCCGCGCCGATCGAGTAGCCGTCGAACTCGGCTGGGTTCAGAGCCAGCGCCGTGCGGATCGCCTTCCCCGGGTCTGCCGGACGGACACACGAGGTCAGAATCCGTGACGGTTTGGTGCGACAATCAGTATGGGTGACCGCTGTGGATGGATCTGCGGCACATCTTGTTTGTTTGTTTGTTTGTTGGGGGTAAGGGGATCTGGGGCACATCAACGGAAGAGTACGGTCGTTTGCTGCGGTTAACAGCTTCAAGTCCCGAGTGCCATTACAGCTCCAATCACGGAAGCTAAGTCATTATTAAACCTATCGTATCGTGGTTACAACAGAGACAGCGCTTCCAATACTCAATCCAATGTAACCCAGCCCCCAACACCATGCGGCTCGAGGTCCGCCTCTGATGCGCCGTGTCTATCGTTATGGAGTGTATAGTACCTGTACCCCACCCGCGGTGACCGGCGCAGCGGTCGTACCCGGTTCGTCGTCGGTGTAGTTGCGGAGGCCGAGCTGCCGGTGGGAGACGGCTAGCGTCACCTCCTCCTGGCCGGTGAGGAAGTTGGCCGCCGCGTCCACCAGCAGGCGCGGCGCCGCCGTCAGACGGTTGGACGCCTCGCTCGGCGAGTACACCGCCTGCGGAGACGGACGGGACCGTCGGACCAGCAAACGGCTCGGCGGGATGGTGGACTCGGCGCCATCAGAGCAACGGTAAAACTCGCCGACAGATGCCAGACACCGCGGAAACAGACTGATAGCACTGTGTTAGCATGGTGCTACGACGCCTAAATATTGTTAGTGCGCGTATTTTCCAGTCACAGATGACTGTAGCAATCCATCCAATCCAGTATTTTACATACCTGCAGTGTTTCACATTCTATGAAGGCGATGTGATAGGTTTTCTTTATTTTGTGTTTGCATTCCAGCTGCACGACCATGCGGGAGTTGCTCTCTTCCAGGGCTATTCTGCAACGCTCCACTGACTTGTCCAGCGATGCCAGAGACCGAAAAACCGACAAACATGCCTGACAACAGTGGCGAATATTGCCGTCAGGCCCAACACCGAAAAACACGCCTAGAAATAACAAACACCAGTGTTTCACATTTCATTTATCCTAGGATGTCCACTAGATTCAAATACAAGACCATTCAATAGTTAGGAAAATGTAGATTATTCTGACATGTGTACCTCATAGAAATGTTTTCAAATGCCATGGACTGGCGCATCTATCCAGACTGACCAACTGGGTTCATAGGTGATAGTTAGGACACCCGACCTGGTCCTAGAGTATATCTTACCTTGAGGGCCACCTTGCACTTCACGGGCTCCTGGCCGCCGGCACCAGCGCCGCACTGGTACTGCGCGAAGAAGGTCGGCTGGAACTCGACCGACGCGTACGCCGATCGTGACGAGTTGACGGTGCGCAGCGAGACGGCCGTCCGCTCCGGGTCCACGTACAGCTCGTCACCGATCCTGGCCAGCGCGTGCACGGCGCGGCCAAACACTGCCGGACGGCGGCGGAACCGGCAGAGGCGCCGGGCCGTCAGCCAAGTGCTATTAGAGGCTAGAGCAGGACTACCTACATCCGTGATGATGTTCTAAGCGAAACTATCATGAGCACTGGACATCACAGTAATAACATGCATCTGAGAGACATCACATAGTTCACAAAGTTTAGCAATGAAAGATACCCAAGAGACATCAAAATGCTTTCAGACGCTGAAAAGAAATGGGTGAAAAATATTAACACTATAAAGAACAACTTGGCTTAAACAGGGAAAAAGAAAAAGAATAAATAATAAACATAACATACTATGTGTTTCTAGATAGTAGCATTTAAAGGGACCCTCCCACCTTAACATTAGTTTTGAGTTGAGATAGCCAAGTTTGCGGCCAGGCTCAGAAACCACCATTTATCCTGGTCGCAACCCCCGCAGCTTTATGGTGTTCAAGAAATTTCTTCCCTTTACTTGCAGGGTGGGACCAGCGTGGTCCCTATCTCTTAACCATTACGGGAATCTGATGACGTCATCAGGCTTTCGAACGTCCGTTAAATGTTTGACTAAAACGTTTTGTAGCACGCGGTGGTATATGCTGCTTTGCGCGCAACAAATGCCGCACTTTCAAATAAAGTCGCTAGGAACAGCGGAGATCCCAAAAAGTAAACAAAAGTAAAAGTCTAATATCTTGAAAACTGGTGAATATTTTTCGATGAAATTTGGTAGATATTCGTTTTTGCTCTTTCTGAACCGAGCGACATCACTTTCATGCCAATTCATTAACTTTTTTGAAGGTGGGAGGGTCCCTTTAACTCACCTTTGATGTTTGATCCCGGTATAATACACTGCATTGTCAATGCTCTCTGCAGACAAACTGATGGCAGAAGTGATAACAATGAAGGAGAAATTACACTAAAAAGATGGATAAGTCTGAAAGGTCATTAGCAAATATAACTTACTTACAAGTAAACCTAAGGTAAAGCTTGGTATTAGTATGCAAAAAGTGTTAAACTTGAGGTAACATGCCAATTACAACTTATCTTTGACATTTACAACACAAAAGGGGAACAAGAGCACATGTAAAAAATTACTCCTTAAGTTTAGGTTGATTAGCAAGTAGATAGGTACTAAGATAGCTAGCCTGCCATTTGCCAATGTTCCTTTAACAGTTTCAGCTTCACAGCATTACACCAGCACAGAGTCACAGACTCACAAGCTTAGGGCCTAAGAGGTATTGTGCAATTTTAGGTGTAAAAGACAGACCTCAAACTTCAAAGCAAGTTTGTCATTCAGTATTTTCACTGGACATACAATGTAAAAAAGGTCATACCATTATTACAACAAAATACAGAACAAATAGTATAGCACATAAATAAATTGGCTGAATTGGCTGAGTTGAGGGCATAAGGCAGACCGTCCTCTGGTTACGTATGTCTGTTTGAATACTGAATAGGTACAATGCCTTTACAGAATATAGGCTGCGGGCCAACTGCAGTTTCAGTGCCAAATGTGTGCATTGAAATCCAGTATGAAAAGAGTATGGCCATGGCCCCGTGAAAAATGGTCAAAAATGGCCAGGTAAGATTACGGCCAGTTAGATTTGGTTAGGTCAGGTGAGGAAGGTTATGTTGTTTTTGGGACCATGCTCTTTTTGTACTGATTGCAAATTTGCAACATATTGATATGTGTGCCAAGCCAATGCCAAATGGATGATAAGGCACTATCAGCTAATTATTCAGCACCTGGTTCTAGTTGACTGCAAATCACACACCATCTCAAACAAATCTACTGTTAACGCCAGACCCCTTGAGACCCTAATTTTTCGCGATTACTTTTAAATGCGTGAAGGAATTTCAACCAAGCTCAGGACATGGCCGTTTCAAGACAGGCCGAAACTTTTACAATTTAGATATTTTATCGCCATTTCAATATTTCAGGCACTTGTCATTGACTTGAATGTTAAATTTCGAGCAAGATTTTCATCCGGTGTGTAGAGGCTATCACCAGTCAGTCTGTGATACGTTATGACGTCACAGCTAAGCCCCGCCTCTGTGGTCTTGGCCTGCGGCGGTTTCGGGCCGGCGCGCGGTCACTCTCGCTGTGGCGGGGAGCGGGGACGGGCGACGGTCGAGCGGTGCCGAAAGCCGGCGGAGTTGTGCGTAGCGTCTTGGCTGACAGTGCCCAGAGAGCGACATGATGACTAAGGAGTCATAAATGCTCAATGCGCATTGCTTCTACAATGCTGATATGTTCGCTGATATATTTTTTTATAAGCTGCAAATGACGGGCAGATGGCATATAACTGACATAAGGTTAGGAAATATTCACCTGTATTTAAAGCCTATGGCGTTGCAGATAATGCGATAATGGGATGTCGGATGTCACCAAGTAGCTGCCGATTTGTACATCGCTATGCAACCATCGAACAACGCAATAATAAGTTAATTGCCTGAGCTTCACATCATACGGCTCGCTCGTATTTCAAACAGATACCCTACATCGAAAATCGTATTTGTTAGGAATCGTTAACGTTTGTTCGAAGCACGACTGAGTAGTAGGTTGAGGAGTGATGGTCCTCATGGTCCTATATACAAGAGTCAACAAGAGCCTAACATTTACTTGACCGTCTGCTGCAATTGACTCATAGCACGTGAAGCGTCAGCGAAATTCATAGTCCTTCACAGATGGCAGGGGTGTCGTTTGTACAGAGGTCGCTGATGGGCACGGGTCAATGCGCAGTCGTGGGTGGAGCCTAATGTCATATGACGTAGAAAGCCTCTATCCAGGATGGAAAAACAGTTAACATTACGAGTCAATGACAAGTGCCTGAAATATTGAAATGGCGATAAAATATCTAAATTGTAAAAGTTTCGGCCTGTCTTGAAACGGCCATGTCCTGAGCTTGGTTGAAATTCCTTCACGCATTTAAAAGTAATCGCGAAAAATTAGGGTCTCAAGGGGTCTGGCATTAACAGTAGGTATTTGATATCAGGTTGATATCAAAATCACGTCTAAATCAGGGAGCAATATTAAGTGCTCAGCAATTATATGCAGAATATGCTTCTCATCAGATGGCAGCCACTTCTACATTGAGCAAATTTGAGTTAGGTATACTAATTCCTTTCTGCTTTCAAACCTGAATAATTCCATTTATACCAATATGCGGCACCTGTAACAGAGATTGATTACCGTGTAGTGTAGGTACCCTATATTGATATTGTTCATAGAGTGCATAGTAAGTATACAGTTTGAGTTTATCATGGAATAAGCACTTTATAGGCACCGTGGAAAATCACAAAAAAATGAGCATAAAAACGCGTCGCACCATATCTAAAAAATAGAAAATACTCCAAAGTTACCGCACTAACCGAACACAGCAAAGCCAAACTTGGGACGACGGTGAAAACAGGGCGCCTGGGGCGATTTGATCAAGGTTCGTGAAATTTACACGTGACGTTTGGCATGTAAAAGGCCCACAAAGGGGGAGAAGCTCCAAATGTCACGTGACTAATATGCCCTCCGGCGCCCTGTTTTCACCGGCGTCCCAAACTTGAACTCACAGCCTGCTCACAGCAAGCAATCATCGAAAGAAATTGCAGAAAAATGACGTACAGTATTATTCCGTACATTCAAGGCTTGAAGCACCGAAGCACAAGCATTACATTTTGAAATTTCAAATAACGCTCTTGCAAAGAATGTGTATTTTGTTGCCTCAAAATGATTCTAAATGTCAAGATTATCACTGAAAATTTGTGCATGTATATTCATATACGTCAAATATTCACTATATTTTTGCAACTTCATCAAGTTAGTTTGTCTTTGCAGCGCCATTATTTGGAAAATTTGGTACCTTCTGTTACGCTGCCATATCCTTTCGATAAGGCACTACAAAGAAATCAAAATATCATTCGTTCACGCTTGCGTGCATGAACGTATTCATTCGATCGATGCGCTCTCTGATGCCCTTCGCAGTTCAAGCAATTCGATCGCAGCCGTGCAGGACACGCGAAACGTAAGCAAATATCGACACCCCTGCTTGCGCCTCCATGGTCCATGGAAACCGAAGGCTAATACCCGGTGGCATCGAGTAGTAAAGGAATCTTGGGTGGCGTCAGGCGGCGGAGTGTCGTGAAACAGGGCCCAGGTCCCAGTCGGTCCGGTGGACGCATGCCAACCGAGTCGCTCCCCTGAAGTCTTAAAATCCACGCTTCAAACACAAATTTGCCGAAGACATTTTATTAACATCGAATTCAAATGATAGTGACGATACCACTGACCACTCGGTGAGCTCGGTGAGGTGATAGAAAAGACCGTCCGGTGGGTGGTCGGAGGCGTCTCCATTAGTCCGATCACCGATGGACGGTCGGAAGTGTTTCCATCAGTCCGATGGGTGGTCGGAAGTGTTTCCATCAGTACGATGGAGGCGGTGGCACACCGGCCGGCTCGGTCAGTTGGTGAAGCAGCGGTGAGCCTTGGAGTGGCCTCGACTGCTCGCTGCGCCACTGAAGCCGCTTATGGAGTCGGGTATGGAGCGCGGCACTCGGCGTGAGAGCCCAGCGGCGACGACCCTACTTGCCGCCGAAGAAGGCGTCTGGCCCGCTCAGCGGCCACTTAATGAAACGCTCCGACTGCATGTAGGCCTTGATGGCGGGCAGCGCCTCGAAACGGGCCCTGAACTGCTGTAGGTTCGGCAGCTCGTCCAGCAGGTCCTTCTCCAGCTCCAGCCAGTTGGAGAGCACGTCGTACAGCAGGAAGTCGACGTAGCTGATCTTGTCGCCGAGCAGCCACTGTTTGGAGCCGAGCGAGGCGCTCAGCTGTTTGATGACGGGCGTGACGCGCTCCCTCATGACGGGCCGCTGGGCGCTGAAGCTGGCCTCGTCCCGGCAGCCGTAGCAGAGCCACGCGAACGTCATCCGCACGTCACCCAGCTGGAACGAGCGGCAGAGAGGCGCATAGTGAGCATACAGAAGCTGCAGCGGTCAGGGTGCCGTTAAATACTGGGCAACCACACCACAAGGAGGAGAAAGTAAAGCATTAATTCGTCGTACGAAGAGACGGCATTGTATTATGACGAATCACGAACCATTCGAGGTTTTGAGAAAAGACAGCACATATAATCAGAGAGCCTTTCAGGCTCGGCACTGAACCAGCATCCGATGTCGGGACCGTATCGGGACAAGACGACGCATTTAGCGCTGCAGCCACAGCTAGAGATGAATATACAGCCGTCCGCCGTGTTGAGCGGAGAGTCCGAGACACACCGGGTCCCGCCTCCGACCGATGTGCGGCGAGCGACCCCCGACCCCTCCCTCCGCTGCAGCACTCACCACGCCCTCGAGCAAGTCGAGGCGGCGCCACTCCTCCTCTGTGTTGGCACCGGCCAGGCCGTGCTTCTTGGCCAGGTGATGCAGGATGGCGGCGCTCTGGGTCAGCTTGATGTCGCCGTCCACGTAGAACGGCAGGTTGGGAAACTCGAGTCCGTGCGGGTTCTTGGTCTTCTCCTCCTGCCATTTCTCTTTGGCGTTAATCTGCAAATTACAGAAACAGATCACACGTTACTTGCTATGACAGGTGGCGAACAATCAACAATGGATATATCACCGTACCCAAAAAAAGGATAGAAATGACGTGTTGTGCACGCTTTTTTCTATGATACAAAAAAAAACTTACAGACGATATGCATCAACGCAAAACGCAACCATTCACTATACCTACGGGTGCGTTTTTCATCATTTCGTTTAAAAAGTGGTAAGTGACATGTCTGATAGTGACTAGTGACCCGATAAATATCAGCAGGGAGGCACCGGTTCTGACGTCACACGAAAATATCAGTCGGCTGGTTGTGGCACTGCCCCCTGCCGGCGCGACTGTGCTGCCACCTAGCTAAGCCTAGTCAGCCTAGGAGGGGACGGTTTTACTTTTTCTCGTCGAGTGGGGCAGCTTGCGACGACACTCGGTCGACATAGCTGTGCTGCAACATACCCCAGGTTCGGAGTCTCTCGGACGGCCAATCCTGTTCCATAACCACAGCTAAGTCCCCGCTGACCTTAACCAGGATTGGCCGGACGACGTTGAATCTTCGTAGTTCGAGAGACACCGAACCCGCGGATAGTCTGTCGAAGCCTTGGCGGCTGAAGAAAGGCTAGACATATCTCACTTGATTTTGGCGTGGCCAGCCTCACTTCTGTAGTTTTGCTTCACAGCATTCCACGTCCTATTGAGTTTCCGGTTACGTAGTACACGACCACGTCCAGAAACTTGATGTCTTTTAGATACATCACGCAATGACAAACTTTTGGCAGCATTTACATTTGTTGCCTGCATATTTTGGTGAGGAAAAATCACTATCGCAGTAGTACAATCAAGACATACCTACCACAAAGAATCAGAGCTGAAGCAGCATTATTAATCAAAAGTGTATTGCATTGATCACCAGCATGTTCGTAAAATAAAATAAATCACGAATAAAGATGACAACCAAGCCGGACCAGGACACTTATGACAAACATGAACGCTAAAGTGGCAACACAAATGAAAGAGAGAAGATGAATCTGCCCTTCGCAATCGTCAACCTAAAATAAAACTTCAAATATACAACAGACTTCTGTGCATTAAAAGAACATGAATATAATCGCTTTGTCGTCGACACATAATGGGAACATCCTGCCGGCCCAGCCAAACAGCGCGCCCGCTTTCGAGTAGGAAATGGCAGCGGCCGCAGAAGTGGCCAACAGATGCATTGTTCGTCACGCCACCTGCACTGAAACGTACCAGCTATTTAATCGTGAAATGTAGCTAGCCATCCAAAAATGTTGCACTACACCAGCACTACCGCGCAGTTAGCAGATAGGTACGGACCGCAGGTCCTGGTCTCTGTCTCTTCCGAGTACGGTCTCCGGACCGGTCACCAGCGCCACCATCTCCGCGCGGTAGCTATAGCACAGCTCTCCGGCCGGGGCCCGCAGTTCCTCGACCTCTTCGTCCAGCCAGACCAGCACGGCTCCCGCCCAGCGCCTGAAGACTCCGCCCTCCACAGATCCGTCCGTCCAAAGCCGGACAGCACACAGGGGCAGGAACGCGAGGTGCAGCGTAGCCACGCTTTCCCTTTCCGCCGCCGTGGCCCCAGCCCGGATCGGGCACACGTCCAACCGGAAGGTGACGCCAGCCGTCTGTTGCCACGGTGGGATTCTCGCTCTCGCCCAGGCCTGGCGGCCTCGCAATCTCCAGCCTCGGACCGAATGCAGGCGCGCCGGTGCCGAGACCTCGGCGGTCGCGCGCAGGGGGTCCCCTGATGGCAGACCCAGCGCCCTCCCCAGCAGCCTGGCAGCCAGCGTCCAGCTTCTCTCCTCCATCGGAGAAAGTCGGGCTTCCGCCATTAGTGCGTGGCACGGTGTTGAGCGCGGACACAGGTGATGATGCGGCCGCCTCCCGCAGTCCTCGCTCCAGGAGATTCACGTGCGAGGGGGCGGCCGCCGGCAGCCACGCGACGGCAGCGTGTTCGAGCGCCCCTCGGACGTAACCGATTGACCACCGTACTAAGGGCACCCTCGTCCAGGCCCCAGAGCTATTCAACCAGGTCGACGGCGCCGTAGCCGTCAGAACCTGGTGATCACTCGAGCCACGCCACAGAGCTCACGCCTCAAAGCGGTTGGCTCTCCGGTCCTTGGCATCCGGCATCCGCAGTGATTTGGCGTAGCCAGGACACGTGAGATGCTGGCCTCAGTCATAACCGGAAAGCCTGTAAAAAAAATATGTGATTGACAAATGGAAATATATTGTATGCATAGAGTTGAGAAATCATGACGCACACTGCATTGTGACAGTAGATAGTTTAGTGTGATTGGCAGAGGAGGGACTTATTGTAATAAAACAATAAACAATTGAGGCATTGATTTGATTTTGTAGGTAGCTACCTACCCTTCTCATATGAATCTGGATGATTTGTACCATTAAGAAAAAAACATAGGCCTAGGATGGGGGGGGGGGATGTCCCCACTTTTCAGCTATGCTAATTTTTAAAGTAAAATATTTATTTTTTCATTTAAATTCAAAACTAAGAGCAAGAAATTGTTCGGCAAGGTGAGATAAGCACGAAACTGCAAAGAATTTGTTCATAGGGGTATTGGGGTTCCCACAAAGTGACATTGAAGTTCTCTGCCCCCCTCCCCCCCCCCACACTTTACGTGAGGTTCCTGCGCCCATGGAAAAAACACATTGCATTATGTGCATCAACACTTAACCCTTGCACTTAGAGAGGGCCACAAAGCCCACTATAAAGCCCACAGGACACCACCTGAAATAAAAGCATGACAAATGATAGCATGTAGATTGTAGGCACCTGACCTACTATAACCTACTGAACCAAACATACCCCATATATCGATATGTATGTGTAGATAAAGTATGAATGGTAGGTTGATACCAAGGCTGTTTAGTAGGTTATATGCATGCTGAAAGGATGAAAGATGGGTATTTTGTTCAAAAAATATATGATCTACAGTTCATATGAATATGCAACATGGGGTCCAGACTGGAAAAAAATACACGTTAAGCCGAATATGTCCGGCGTAGTGGCGGGAATGCGCCGAAAATTTAAGCGCACGTCCGGCGTAACTTCGCATGCGCCGAATTCAGCGCATGGCGGCGGACGAATTTTTCGGTGCAGGGCGGTCGCATAATTTTTTGGCGAAAGACAGTCACCGAATTTATGCGGTGCGCTGGTCAATCTAGCAGCAGATTCGCCCCGTGGGCAGCTCTGGAGATGTTGCGGGACGAGACGTCCCCGCCCCGGTCGTCGCGTGCTCGAGCTGGCGAGCCGCCCTGAGTCTACTCAACGGAGGAACGGCCGCCCAGGTGAGGCTTCAACCTTCGGCGTAGAGATAGGCATGGAAAACCTTGTTGAACGTCGCTAAGCGTCGTTAAGCAATAGCAGTGGGTTCCTGCCCACTGCAGTATCGAGGGGAATGAGAGCGTAGACGATCTGGCAAAACTGGCGGCCGCCCTGCCCTCAAACGCCCGATCGCTGACCAGGGCGGTTCATTGTGCGGCCTCGCATCAGTGGCGCGACAACTGCTCAGAATCACTATTCAAGCCACTCCTCGGGAGCACGCCGCCGCTCGGCGCTCCCTCTCCCCGGAGAGGACCGAGAGGATGTCATTTCGGTGCACCAGATGAGGGCGGGCCACCGGGGCAGCTCGCTCCAATACGGCACCGAATCGGCTGTCTCCACTCCGCCGCGTGTCAGCAGTGCCCAGACAAGCGGTGCCCAGCGGCGCTCTGCACCGTGAGCCGAGAAGAGGCTGATGTGCCGGAGCACGTGCTGCTCCGCTGCCGGGCCCTCGCTGGCTCCCACCGAGGTATTGGGTTTACGTGGAAATAAAAACTAATTCGGACGCTCAAACATGGGATAGCGTACAAAGCCCCGAAACACTCTGCCTGGTTGATATAGCCTTGATCAGTATATGTGCACATGTGCTTTATATGAAAAGGGCTTAATTTTCGCAGAAATAGGCACCTAATTTTTGGCGCAAATCACTCAGAAATTTCGGCGCAAAATCGCTTGCGCCGAATTTCGGCGCAAGATGGTCTCACGGGCATCCGGCGTAGTGTATGGATGTTTTCCAGTCTGGCATGGGGTTAGGTAAGGTTTGATTTTTGTTTTGTATTTGTATCACATGTAAATATCATATCTGGATTCAGGATGTCAAATAGTGCAAGAATGTACAAAATGTATGCCTGAAAAGTGAATCACTCTTTCTGAACATTTACCAAAAGTGGTAGTTTAGTACGCAAAGGTTAGGCTAGGGTAGATGATGTTTTTTATCTTCACCATAGTTTATCTACACAGTAACCGAGAAACCCTCGTCCAGACATAGCAATAGGTAGGCATGACAAATCGTCAAAAAGTTAATATTTCTCTGCTCATCAGCATTTGACCAAAATAAGGGTTCTAGCATGTCTGGTTATTTCAGGTTATGTTAGGTTATATGTAGGTGAGGTTAAAACTTTAACAAGCTCTAAGACATATATACGGGCTTCATCTGAGATTAATATTGAGCTGGGGGTCTTGGTACCCACCTTCGTGTCAGGCCATGATACTTGACACACCATCCTGCTATCTGAGGCGGCCCAGGAATCAGCTCAAGCAATTACAATGAAAGTCAACTTGTAATGCCCGCACAAATATTTAGTGCGGGCATTACACACCACTCCCCATTATGATATATCAAGTACTAAGTTAATGACGATAATCCCGCCACCACAAATCTTATGAAACACATCAACATTGACCTCTGATATAGGGCCTTGCCTCTGATATTCCGAAAAGAAAAATCATAATGATTTAAAGCGAACGTGTTCTTACGCAGCTGTGACATAAGCTGCGCATACGAAAAACACCCGCTAGACCAATTGATGGCGAATAAACCTGTTGATGAAGAAATACTTGTCTCCCATTGGTTTGTGAACACAATCTGCAGGAAACGCAGCTTAAACTACAGTAAAATTTTGCAGGAAAATCTGCAGAAAGTAAGAAAAATGCAATTTAAACATATTTAGCCAGTGAGTCTGGCCAATCTGTTGATATATTCCGATAGATATTGAGCACGATCAGTCATTTTGAAAGAATTACGGTCCGACTCTCTTTATTTTTAAAGCAATGACGCATAATATGATTATTGAAAAATTGACAAATATATTTTCTTGGAGGGAAAAGTGGGACTAGCGTTAAAGGGACCATCCCACCTTAACATTAGTTTTGAGTTGAGATAGCCAAGTTTGCGGCCAGGCTCAGAAACCACCATTTATCCTGGTCGCAACCCCCGCAGCTTTATGGTGTTCAAGAAATTTCTTCCCTTTACTTGCAGGGTGGGACCAGCTTAGTCCCTATCTCTTAACCATTAGCGGTTTCTTGATGACGTCAGCAGTCATTTCAACGCCCGCCATTCCTTGAACCCGAATTTTGCTGACCTTGAGCTCCCTTTGTTATCAACGTGAAATCCGTCGTCGGCGCTGAGAAAGCCTATTGCTTTTCATTTTAATTTGAATATTAGAAGATACCCACCACTGGAACTTGGACTGATATTATACCAAGGCCAAAGATGATCAAGCTGCCTGCTATATCTGGAGCTTGGTGTCCAACTTCAACATGGAATAAAAAACAAAATATCAAAGCAAACTGGATATGGTACTCCAAGTTAAAGTCCAAAGAAATTTTGAAGAGCTGACAATTGACATTAATTCTTTTCCTGCAAGGTTTCCATATGGAGATCACACCATGAAGAAATATTTTTGATGTTAACAGTTGAAAGGGGATTGATCATCCAGTTTTGACGAAAGACGCTGCTGACTGTCTTTGGTAAAGGATGTCGGCATGAGGTGCAATTGTGCTTGTGAAGTGGTTATAACTGGTTTTTTCACAGTATTAAATTAAATGTGCCATTGCAGCCAAGTGTGTTATCATGTAAGGTAAAATCAAAACCACAATGTTGGTTTTACGAGCATTGAGAAGGCTGGTAGGTCAAGGTAACACCTGCCTGTGCTCGTAAATCATGCTGCCAAAGTTTTCTAAATTAATTTTATCATACACTTTTGTTATCCAGAATGGTTGCACTATTGTTTGGTATCATATTATTCCATGTAAATATGGTAGTGTAAAGTCCGACCAACATGTTACCAGATTTGAAGCTGTTACGTTACCTAAGTACCTGTTTTTTTACTGGCGTGGTGAATGTCACCTGGATTTTGTTTTGAGGTGCAGACCTAGTAACTCTGACTACATGGGTTTGAAGCTATTATCTATTCTGTTTTTACTGGCCTGGTGAATGGCGACTGATGTTGTCCGTGGATGGCACTGAAACAAATTTTGAGTGTCATGTACAGTGTTTTAATACAATGCTGAGGGCTGAAAGTTGTCTTGTTTAGAGTGGTGAAAGTTCAGGATATGCCAGCCACCATGGTGGGTCAGAGTTAATGTGTTGCAGTCAGTTCGGCTTCGGCAAGCACACGGATGGGCATACGCATCAAGACCTGCTCTGCCATACTTTCAGCCAATTTTACCTAGGTAAGTCTTTTCTTTTTTTTTCTGCCAAAAGCTATGACATTGTGAATTTCAGTACTGTGGCCTGTGTGTAGCTTTTAGGAAAGCAATTCTAAATAAAGCTCTGATAAAGTGCATCAGCAATGCAGCCCTCTATTACATTTTCTACAACATCTTACTTGTTCCTTGCATGGAGAGAAAAATGCAATGTTATGAATTCGTTTATTCACATAATTTGACAAGCATGCAGTTACCTGCTACTATCACTGCACAAAACAGCAGAAAACATCAGTTGATCAAACACAAGACACAACAGAAGTTTACAACATATAGGGCTGCCGAACCTGCTTCCTCCCACCACAGTTGATGCCATTTCCTAGCCTGGCTTGATGTGAGCACTGAATAGCTGCTTTGTCTAATTACAGCTCACTACCATTCAACTTAAACTACTCTCTTCAAAGTAAGAGTGAGAGCGTTCAGTGTTCATAGCAGCTCGACAGACGACAGACAACAAACATCTTGACAAACCAACCAGTATTTGATTTGGCTAATGATTTATGTGCTTGTTGTATCATGGCCAAACTACTTTAACAGCAATAATCCCTGTTTCATCTTGATCTTGCTTTTATTTCCATTTGAACTCAGATCTTGAAATGGAAACAATCATCTGAAGTGATATCAGATACTGGCTTCCGTTTCTCTTGAAAGCAAGTTAAAACAACAATGATAAACTAAGGCAGGAGATGTGAGTTGTGGCAGTAGATTTTTGATTCAACATATGTAAACCTTATATTGCTTGAGACCTCTGTGACAGACAAACAAATATTTATAGTTTTTTGATAGTTTGGATTCTTGGCTTGATTTAGCAGATCAGCTGTGAACCTTGACTTTGAAATCACATAAATGTCATGGTACCCGAACGAATCCTCGCATGACATTTCTTCGTAGCACAATTTTTCGTCCGCATTTCTTCGTCTACAAATCTTCGTCGGTGCATTTATTTGTCCCTCAATGCTTACTCTTGCATATATTTGCGTTGAAGAAGAAATGCGAGCCGATTTTCATATACCCTGGTGCGAGACAAAGTAATGCGATAGGTACGAATAAATGCCCTGACGAAGATTTGCAGACGAAGAATTGCGATACGAAGAAATGCCACAAGAATTGTCCTGGAATCCTTTATTGGCCATCATATATTGACCTTGATAAGATAAACGCATCATTCGCGCAATATTTGTCGCACTTTGATACCAAATTATTGCTTCCAAATGCCGACGTAAAGAAAACCTTTATGTGACGTCATAGAAACAGCGGAGTTCCCAAAAAGTAAACAAAAATAAAAGTCTTATATCTCGAAAACGGGTGAATATTTTCCGGTAAAATTTGGTAGATGTTCATTTTCGCTCTTTGTGATTCACGCTACATCACTTTTATGCCAATTCATTAACTTTTTTGAAGGTGGGAGGGTCCCTTTAAGTTAAAAATCAAAACTAATACACTGATCGAGACCTCGCTATCAAAAGTATATATCAGTGCATTTTCGCATCGAATCTCTCTCAATCATGAACGAATTTGGGCAAAAACAGCAAGATTGCCTGTTTTGTCAATTCACACATTTTCATATTTGGGGGCAATTTTAAAGTTGATGGCCAATGTTTTCAAAATCAACATTTCCACAGGAAAAAATACAGCTATTTTTCTTCCAAATACATTCATTTGTAGAGTCCGACTCTCTCTTGTTTTCTCGCAGTTTCCGTTGTGCTCTGAGAGAAACGATCATGTGTATCATAAGCGTTTGGCTCACTTCAAGACGGCAGAATTTGCACTTGCATTTTCTGCCGTGTGGAAGACCAGAGGGAGTCAGCTAATTTATGACAGAATGTGCTTAAAAAATGACTGGTGAATAATATCTTTTGTCAGTGCCTGACAAATATTTATATTTTAAATCACGCTCTTCAGCTGTCAAGTGAGCTCAAAATGGCCTAAATTGTCAGCTGTTTATCATCCTAGGTCAGCTCAAGGTCACAGACGTCAGCTGAAGAAAGTGGTGACCATTGGCCCTGTGTTGAGCGGACAAACCGGTGTTACCTAGTATTCTATGTACCGTGAATATCAGCCGTCGACACTTCGACAGTGAAATTTTAGTCGCAGATTGAGCCAAACGCTCAACCCGAAAGATTATCTGAAGCAGCCCTCTCTCAAATCGTTTTTGTTGGAATATTCCGCGTGAATCAGTCGCAGGGATAAAACACATCATTTCTGGATACGGATTTAATCCCCATTTCCATGCTTCCCTGCGTCGTCTGTTCGTTCCACTAACCCGACCAAAGCCCCTCCCCCGACAGAGCGCCCGCGTTCTACGGACACCGGTTGTCCCTGGGCCCCATTCCGGATTCCAGCGGCCACCGCTGTACTCCGTCGCTGCCGCTCGGCTGGCAAGGTGACCCCAGTCCCGGCCCCAGCGATCTGCCACCGCGGGGATCCCTCGTCGGTGCACAACACAACAGACCATTTCCGCTGCGGGGCGAGGGGAGAGGTGAAGGGGAGGGGAGAGGTGTGCGTACAAACACGGCTATTGCCACGGGGACGCAGGACGAGCTCGGCAGGTGTCACCCAGTCATGGTATCGATTAGATGGCCTGCCTCACCATAATCGTAAGCGCCGTTCCCCGGTTCGAATAGCGCCATGACGTGGCAATAGCCTGTCGTAGGTGGAATGGATATCGCTTATTTTTTGTCGCCTTTGGTAATTACGGGACAGCAACACGATAATGAAAATAAGCGTTGGAGATGCAATATCACGCTGGAGGAACCATGAACATTCAGGTATGGAGTGCAAAGATGGGAAATTCAGTCTTACAACTGTTCCTGTTCCTGGTTTAGGGATGGGTCAGCAGCCCGGCAGAATCGTAAGCGCGCCGCGCCGGGCCCGCGGTACCCACCCGGGCACACGGGTGCTACTCACCGCGTCGAAGCGGACATCCTGGTACTCCTCGCCAGTGTACTCGAGGATGAAGCGACTGGCCTGGCCGAGTCCCCTCAGAGTCCAGTAGCCGAAAATGGACGGCATGGCGACAGCTCCTGGCGCTGACTGGGTCGGTCGGGCGGGCGGCTGGCCGGTCGGCTCCGGTCGGACTGGGCCGCGTCGCGGCGGCACACCTCCGATCGCTCTCCTGCGCCGAGCCGCTGGCCCCGCCCCCTGACGACGCGCCGGCACTCCAAACGTGCTGACTCACGGGCGGGACGCGCGGCGGCGGCGGTCATCGCACCTCCCTAGCGCCAGCACCAAGGCCACGCCGTCGCCGCCTCCCCGGTTTTTGTCCGCGCCGCCCGCTTATAAATGATACCGGGGTCCAAGCACTGCGAGCCGGCGGGAATACCAATTCAAGCGTCTTCAGCCCTCCCGGGGTTAGCATTCAATTTCAAACGAAATAAGAATCGCAGCCCGAGTTCACGGCTGTGATTGCAGATTGGCTGACTCAGTCGGGCAATAATGGCAATCGCCTTGCAGTTATACCGTACATCACTGACACAAATATCGATGACAAAATAGATCCGGGAGGGCCACACTTCAAACGCATAACTCCGAGGGTCGTCGACTATCATATCTTTGCTAACCATAGCAGAAGCGCTTTCTTCACAAGCTTGCCTATGTGCCATAGCTATGTACACACGTCAGTACAGCACCACCGAAACATTCTCCTATTGCGGCAGTTTAACACGCGCCAGTCTGGTGAACCGCGTAACACGACCGGCTCTCAATCAGAACTTGTTTTGGGTTACAAATTCGGTGTCATCTGATCGATACATATGTCGATGTAAGCGATGTCTAAGCCTCGCCGACCTTGGTACTAGGCGAATATCGGCATCAGCTTGCATCAGCAACACAGAACATTCCGCGGTATGTTAAGCAGCTGCCTGTGCGGCGGGTTCCGCAATGTTTGCACGTCTGTGAGCGATCAGTGGCGGTGTAGTCAGAGGTGATGGCGTATGTACAGCCCACCGCTAAAGTAATGTGCGGTTTTACCAATCCCAACGGATGGCTTTGACTGTCGATTTTTTAATGCGGAGTGATCGAAAAGAAGACGCCAAAAAATAAAGTTCAAGCTGCAAGGGTGACGATACATGTAAGCTACATTCAAAGTTTCATTATAGTCTGGCTAATCTTTCCCAAGCTTCAGAAGCAGAACATACCCATGACTGAAACCGCACATTACTTCTGCTATGGACTGTACACCCGCCGTGTCCGGGAGTGCCGAGCGGTGTACCGAGCAGGTACCGAGAGCCGTCCCGTCACCAGGCCAATCATTAGAGCCCGGATACCCCTGTACGGCTACCGATACGAACATGCTGTCACTGTGTCGTGTCCGCCATTGTGGTCACGGAGTTAGAGTGTGATGAGGAATGCTACGTGAAGGTCTCGCGAGTGTAAGTGGCCGCATCAGTGTATCGTGCCGAGCAGCACAAGACGTGTTCGCTTATTCAACGCTGTTACTGTGCGGAAGTTCTAAATGTTTTCGAATTTTATCCGATCGCTACCCGCCATTAAAACCGCGATGTGTAGAATTCTTCCTTCACCAACAGTGCCACCTTTATCTCATTCCAGGAGCGCTTGACTTGGCTGTGCGGCCCTTTGCAATAGTGATGCAATATGCTCAAACGTAAGGGTAGATTAGTAAAAGGTATACCTGCTATATTTTCATCCCAATCTCATTCATACTGGAAAGCATGAGAACGAATATCACGGCTTCATTCGCGAAAATACGAAGCCTATGGAAAAAGAACCATAACGCTTCAGGACAGGCAGTGAAGAGGCGACATCCGGTATTTCCACACCCACAAACACTTCAATCGGTACACAATGTAACTATACACACATGGCTGGCTGGGGAGATACCCTGTCCGTGAGAGCACGGCGCTTACCGCTCACGGAGTGCTCCCCACAGGGACGGAACTCGCCCACCGTCTGAGCAAGACGTCACTCCTCAGCCGGTGCCAGGGACGGTGCCCCGTCCGACGGTCCCGGCGCGGTCCGTCCGCCCCATCTGTCCGCCCCCGGCGCGTCACGTCTCGGCCAGGAGCCGTTTGTACTCGTCGAGCAGCCAGTCCTCGGTACGGGGCGCCGCGGCCGCCGTCAGGCACTCGTTCAGGTAGACGGGCTGCAGGCAGGGCAGCCGGCGCTCGGCCAGCTCGCGCCACAGCTCGGCCGTCAGCTGGCGCTTGTCGGCGCGCGCCGGCTCGATGAACACGTGGGTGACGTCCGTGGGCCGGCGGCGCAGCTGGTCCAGGGAGGCGGCGCGGCCGCCGCCGGCCGTCACCAGCCGCTCGAACGCCCGACTGCGCTCCCTGGCCGTCAGCAGCACCGCCACCATCGAGTGGAACGCGCCCGGGATACCTGCCAGACGTCAGGGCAGGTCAGGTCAGGTCACTATCGAATGGAGCGCGACCAGGATACCTGCCAAAGGTCAGGACAGGCCACTATCGAGTGGAACGCGCCCGGGATAGCTGGCAACGGTCAGGGCAGGTCACTTTGAATGGAACATTCGGGACACGACAGGTCGGTTAAGAGTCTGAAGCTGCAGCGCAATAGTCCCAACCATTAGTTAGCGATTGTAATAACTAATACGAGGCTTATAAAACGAGAGACGATTATCGCGTGTTCACGAGGATCCTCCTGACACTCAGTTACCTTCGTCCTGGATTTTCCGTCGCCACCTGTAGGCGGCGGTGGAGAGTTTGTACTCGGTGGAGTCCTTTGAGAGCCCGGCCGCCCGCAGACACTCCGGGTCTCCCCACTCGAACCCGTCCTCCTGTGGCGGGCAAACGGAGCGATCAGAACAGGTCAGCTCAGGGCCCTAAAAACGGCATAGGGTCAGCTGTGTGCGTTTACTAAACACCAAGGGGTGCCTGCCTCCACGCCGAAGTCAGCAAGGCGTCAGACTTATCCTTTCCGGTTGTTTAAATGGTGATCGGAACATTCTTGCAAGTTCCAGCTGGCAAACGAGTGACTACGCAAGTGAAGACATTCATCACTCCTACTCCGCCTCTCCTAAGCACACTCAGTGTCCCTCGAGGTAAGTACAGCGCCCCATCAGCCTGACAAGTGACTCCACATCCTTCCCTGCGCGGCGCCCGCCAGTCCCGCCCGCCAGTCCCACCTTGAGGAAGCGTCCGGCGCGCTCGCACGCGTCCAGGTAGCCGGGCTGCAGGAGCCAGCGTCCGGAGGCCACGGCGGCCAGGTGTTTCTCGCTGCGGTTTGGCCGCGCCGTCACCAGGTGTGTGGCACTCGGCTCCAGGGTGGCCGAGTCCAGCACGGAGCCGCCCAGACGCTCGGCCAGCGCCGTGTAGCGGCTCCGCTCCGCCGGCTCCAGGCCCGAGAACACCAGCACCGGAGCCACCGGACACTTGGCGGCAGCGGCGGCCGGCGCCGCCGGAACGTTGGGAGACACGTTCTCGGCATCCTGGCGGGCGGCCTCCTCTTGCATGAGATTGTTACGAGCCTGCCGTTCGCGCGGGTCGTCCCAGGTCACTGCTGTTCCCTGCGTGTTGAGCTCCATGGCCTCTGGAACACCATGGTCAGCCCAGGTCACGGCCATGGGATATGCGTTGAGCCCCGTTTCATAAGTTGAAACGACACGGGCTGGGAGGAAGGATGACGCATATAAATACAGAAGCGTGAACGAAACAGCACACTGTTGACTGTTGACATAACCCGAACCTCCAACGCGACAATCAAACAGCTTTGATAAATGGGCAAACATACCACAGTACCGCGAACAAACACCCTTTCACCTTAGTTTACACAGCGACAGAATAGCCGATCTTGAGATCCGCCTAGCCTCCTCGGCAGCAGTAGGACGGGACAACGGCACACAGTTCTGACACGCGGAGTGGCCACCGTTTTTGACACCGATTGCCTTTAATAGTGTGCTGATCATAAGCTTATGTGATGTGCTTTGTTTCGTGGTCACAAAAACTTGCTTTTAATTCCCAATAGCGGTCCCGTAGCTCAGTCGGTACAGCGTTGGACTCCGCGTGGTGAGAGCACGCGTTTCCGGTCACAACAGTCCGGGTTCGAAGCGCGACGGGCGCTTGACGTTTATGGGCCTCTTGACAGGTATGGTTGCGGTTGATGGCAGGCCGTAGCCAGGCGAAGTCAGTTAGGGGACCGGCCGTGCGCGACTACATGCGCACGTTCAACTTTGGACTCCAAATTCTGCCACAGAACCGGATTTGCGCGATCGTATGGAACGGGATTGGCCGGACGACGTAGAATATTCCTCGTCCAAGAGAACGCGGGTAAATTGATAAAAAAAGCAAATAGGGCAACATATAATGCTCGTGGGAAGTCACTGAATTGTTTCCTATAATCATTCGTTTGTAGCGGAATACGCAGGGCCTAATTACAAATGTGTACAACAAACACTACAAAAACCAAACAAATGTACAAACACGATTCTCATCAAAGTAATTCAGCACCAGCTCTGATCTTACTATACAAGAGCAACGTGTCAAAGACAAGCAGAGAAGAGACCGGATGAGCCAGCTGGTACGTACTCGATTGATCAAGTCGTTTTCTGATGTGGGTATCAGTCCAAGGACCGAGGCTTTGGTCTGTCAATAAATAGATAAGCTCTCTACAACCTAAAGACCCGACGTGGCGGCGAGCACCTCCCGCTATCAGACCTATCAGGACCGGATGGCCATTGACGGAAATCGTCGCCCTAGGACTGGAAGCTTGTGGTCCAAGGACAGGCTGTGGCATATTAGCCTAAACGGTGGGCCTACAGCTGCGACTAAATATCCAGCGTAACCTCAATGGGCTAAGTGGTGTTCATTAATAGGCGAGGCTTATGGGTCTTGTCCTTCGTCGATGAATGGCTGGAATAGGTGTTGACCAGCTTGTTTTTAGCTCCTAGTACGGACCGGACACTTGGTACCGCATCCACCATATGCACACCACGGCAGCATGCAGTGTCGGTAAAAGATACAGCTCGGAAAGTGTTCTGGCCTTTCCGAGCCGGATCGTGCCGACCGACACGGTCTATCGCGCTGGCGGAGTCGGTGACACGACCAGCCGACCGGCACGAATTACACGGCACAGAGGCCAGACACGATATCAGGTAACCGGACACGGACGGATCGACAGAGGACAGACACGATATCAGGTAACCGGACACGGCATAGACCGGCAGGGAACAGCGCGCCGTGACTAGCGACTAGCGTGACTACAGTAGTAGAGCGGACGGTGGAGCCACGGACCCCCGCCCCGGCAGACGGTGCAGCCAGAGACCCCCACCCCGGCAGACGGTGCAGCCAGGGGCCTCACAGCGGCGGTGGGCCGAGGAACCCCGATGGCGGGCTGGGCTGGAACCATACCCTCCCCCGGGTGGTGGGTCAGGGACTCCGACTCTCCCCTGGCGGTGGGGCAGGGACCCCAGCCTCTCCCCGGGCGGTGGGGCAGGGACCCCGGCCTCTCCCCCGGCGGTGGGACAGGGACCCCGGCCTCTCCCCTGCCGGTGGGTCAGGGAGGAGCAGACGGGGTACTGACGTGGCGCCGACTCGGAGCCGCCCACGGCCGGCGGCGGGTCCAGCAGGCCGGCCGGCATGCGGTGCTCGCCGCTGGCGCCGCTGCCGTCGGCGCTGCGCCGCGACACCATTCGGTTCAGCTCGGCCAGCTGACGGCTGACGTCGCCGGCCGCCTCCCCCTCCTCTGTGACGGTGCGGTCGGCGGCCGGCGGCCCGGCGGTCGCGCCCCGGTCCCGGACCGAGCCTGTCGGACAGGGCAGCCGTCAGCTGTGGCGCCACGCCGGCGAGGACACAACCAACCAGCCACTCACAGACAGTGACTCAGCGCCAAGTGGTGGTTAATGAACGACGAAACGAAGCCAAGTGGCTCAATAAACAGAATTACTGAAAGTCGCGTCCCCTCTGCCTCTCCCCAATAAACAGAATTACAGACAGCGCCACCCTCTGCCTCTCCCCAGCCGCCGCTCACCGTTCCCCAGACAGGGACTGCTGCCCAGCTCAGCCGCCGGCGGACGGCCCCGTTTGGGCAGCGTTCGAGGCGCCGTGCCCGTCGACGGGCCCGGTTTGGAGCTCTTCACGGCAGAGGCAGGGGTACCGGATCCGGCCGCCTCAGACTGCAGCGCCGCCTGGCGGGACGGCAGCAAACTGCATGTCAACACAGTGCGGCTGGGCAGAACACGAACAATGACGTGGAACTCTGCAATAAATCAATCAAAACTCCTCAGATACAAGGTTTAAACGAAAGCAGACTGACCTAACAATTATACAACCATGGATGAGAAACACTAAATTTTCAACCATGTTTACAAGAGGCCATCAACATACTGATAATGATACAGTGCTGTTTATATGTCTTCAAATTTCGAGCCATGTTGCCGAGTACCTACAGTTCTGAGTGAGAAAAACAAAATGTTAATAATTGTCATCAACCGAAATATCGGGTGATTTCACGGTCTTACGTTGACATCTTCCGAGTTGACGACGGGACTGTTTTCAGTGGACGCACTGGGGTCGGCCTGGCTGTCCCTCTGACTGAAGTTTGTTTTGAAGTACTGTACCACCAGCTGGGACATGGGCTGTAAACACAGGCATCGTTAGACGGTGTGTTGCTCAACCAGCACCCCAAAAAAGCGAAATTGTTATCCAATATCATTTCATCCCACATACGGAAGGTCGTTCGATCATCCCACCTAATCGTCCCATTATCATACCAACTCATCCCACTGCCAGCTGTTGCCCCATCGTTCCCATTCCCGGACGTCTTACCCCGTCCCACTCCCGGTTCCTACCCGTCCCATCTCGTCCCTCCGCCAGCCCCGGTTCACTCTGCCCCGCTCCCCGGCCCTGTCCCTCCCCTCGCCGTACCGTGCTGACGCGCCGTCGTTTGTTCTCGGGCGTCTCCTCCATGGCGTCCACCCAGCGTTTCCAGGCCTTCCGTGTCGATCTGCTGGGGTTGGCGCCGGCCACCAGCGCTCCGTACGGGGTCTGCGGCGTGGCCATGTCCGCCGTGCCGTCCGCCGCCGCCGCGCGCGCCACCGAGTCGGCCGGCGGCAGCTGCGGCGGCCGCACCGGCGTCAGCTCCACCGGCGGCTGCATGAAGCTGGGCAGGCAGCCGGCCGGGGCGGCGGCGGCGGCGGGGGCGGGCGGCGCCGGCGCCGGGGTGTGGGCCGGCGCCGCCGACACGGCGCTGGAAGTCACAGACGCCACCGTCGACTCGGCGCCGCCCTCCACGGCGTACTCGTCGGTGGGCAGCCGGCGGCCGGCGGCGGCGCACGCTCGCAGCCACTCGCGGCTGACGGCCGGCAGGCCCCACTTGCGGGCGGCGGCGTACTTGTGGCCCTCGGCCGCCTGGCACACCAGGTGGGTGGAGGCGCGCGCGTGCTTGGACGGGTTGTCGCGGCGGGCAAACACCTCCTGGAACCTGCGGACGCGGGCAGTATCGACGTCACACACAGACCATCCGACACGGTCAGATGGCATGGCGATGACCATCAGACGCCACTATCATGCTGTTTCATATCTGCTTAGCAAAACACGACACAGCTAAACTGAAATCCACACAGATATCCCGTCCCTAGTAAGCCCGTGAGTGTCACGTGCGACACCACTTGCATCCCCATTCCCCTGCTGCCATCTACGAGTATGTTTCAGCGTCTGCGCCATGACTCACTCTGCGCCCATGCTCTCGCCGAGCAGCGCCAGGTACTGCCTCTCGCGGCCGCTGTAGGAGCTGATGCCCAGCACACAGCCGGTGAGTATGTCATGCTCGGTGGTGCTGATCGGCCGGTGGAAGTACTCCGGCTCCAGCAGCTGGCAACACAGCGCGCAGACGCATTCATTAGACAGCGGTCGTGCGCGCCGGCGCCCACAGAACTCTGGTCGACCAGCACAGTAACGAAAATAGAGGACAACACAAAGAGATACGCGAACCGTTAACCCTCGCATGTGTGCGGCGTTTGCCAGCTTCTAATGTGTAGGGGGGGGGGGGGTCGGTTGGACCCCCCCCCCCTTGCCGTTTGGCCCCTGATCGAGCTAGAGCTTCGCGGAAAAACGAGCGTGTTGCCCGTGACGAGAGGAAGCCGATGATACCCAATTTTAAGGTCCTAGGTCATTGGTTGACCTTCCAGGTCAGGTCAATGACCCAAAGTCGGGAAAATCGGGACCTATTAGAAAGTCGTAAATTGTGGCTGCTAAGGGGGTTTTCGGGGTGCTGATCACGAATATCGCGTTAGTTTTGATCACAGATGATGTCTTTAAGCATTTAGACCAGGTCGGGTCAGGTCAGGTCAGGTCAACCAGTAGGCGTCGTGACGGGTATTCGTAGTACGTGTCAACCGCCTCTGACAGCTTCGTAGCATGTTACGAAGGCACCAAAACTACTTCGTAAATGTTCAAAAGGTTGCTAAATTCGAATTCAGCTCAAAAACTAGCCTAGAAACATGTAAAACTCGAAAAAGTGAACCGAGGTCACCCGAGGTCACCAAAGGTCAATGACCTGACCTGACCTTCAGGTGACCTTGACACCCACCGTAATGCATGGGAGCAACATCAAATCACATGTTTGAACGTTTGAAACCACGAAAAGCTTGCAAACGCGCGGCTAATACGTGCCGACATACGCGAAATCGCGATTCCGGCCAAACATGGTCTCGGAAAAGAGGTCACAGGTCAAAGGTCATTTGGGTCAGGGTCATGAAATTTTCAGGGTAGGTGTAAAATTGATCAATGCGAGGGTACTGAAAGTTTCGTCGCGATCGGCCGCTTTTTACGCGAGTTATTCGCGAAAAACCATGGGGGGGGGTCCATCCGACCCCCCCCCCCCCTACACATGCGAGGGTTAAAACATCACGTTAAAACTGGTTACGACCATTACACATTAGTCAGGAACCCGGGAGAAAAAAAGGTTGAAGACATTATCAACCATTGCCATCTCGCTCAGCTATGCCCATGTTTAATCATGAACGCAGGCAGCGGGACCCACCTTATCGGCCTCGACGCAGTGCTGTAGGTAGGCCAGTGTAACCAGAGCGTCGGGTTCGGGGTCGTCTGGCGAGGCCGGGTGGACCAGCGGTACCACGGTGAACCGGGCCGCGGTCGGCTCCGGCACCTGGCGGCCGCCATGCTCCTCCAGAATGTACACCGCCTCCTGGAGCGACTGGTCGTCCAGGTGGCGGCTCAGGTGGAACCGCAGCCCTGCAACAGTCGCAGTCACAGTCAGTCACATTCACCCGCCGCAGTCACAGTCAGCCACAGTCTGACTGTGGCTACATACTGAGCCGGTCTGCGTGCCCGCCCGCACCTCCCCCGACCAAACTAGCACCTCCGAACAAAGTGCGCGTGACCTACAAACGCCTCCCAACGGGCTCTCTACGCCCATTGCCCACCCACCTCCAAACAGAGTCTGCGTGGCCTCGAGCATGGTATCCTCGCCGGCGGCGGTGGTCTCGGCGCCCGGCAGCACCGTCTCCTCTCCGGCCGGGTCCGGCTCCGGCTCCGGGCCCGGCTGACCGGCTCCGGAGCCACCCCCGGCCGGCGGCTCGGGCGGCGCCACCCCCGGCGGCAGAAACTCGGCCTCCGGCAGCGGCCGGCCGGCGCGCCAGCTGGCCAGTACCCAGCGCAAGGTGACCAGGTGCGGGCGCCAGGCGGCGGCCGCCGCCGCCTCCGGCACGCCCGCGCCGCCCGCCACCACCACATGCGTCACAGAGGGCAGCAGCTGGGAGAAGCGCATGGCGCCCGAGGTGTTGAGCAGCCGGCGCAGCTTGTCGTCCCGGCGCGCGTCCAAGCCGATACAGTGCACCTGCGAGTCGGGGAGGGAAGGACGGTTAGCCAGGGACCTAACACCTCAGACCGATACAGTCCACCTGCGGGATAGGAGGGAGGGTAATCACTGCTCAGCAAAGGCCAAAGGGTGCTGAGCTGACGTCCCCACCGATACACACGACTCCTGTGGGTGATCCTGTGGACCATTAGACGCAGTCAGAGGCAAACACATTTCTATGGAGACGGGTTTTTAATTTGTGATTTTCACTTTCACCCGTAGATGCCAAACGCAGCTGTCACAAGCTGAAAGATGAATGCCATGCCATACTGAAGTTGAAACTTGTCTACCTAGCCCACTTCGCAGCGCTCTAGCTTCTATGGCATACAAGAATAACGGTACATTTTGGTGAGCTCCCCAAGATGTGTAAGTCACTGTAATTACGTCTAACCAAAGGCAAAATTTCCGACAATGCAGATTCCAAATGGAGCCCGCACAACACATACGTCCATAACAAAGGCAAAATGTGAAAAACGAAATATGAAAACGACCAGATGATACCGTGATAGCCGCGACGATTGGTCTGGTAACCCCAAGAATTGAAAAGATCTGCGCAGCCGACAGGATTCGAACCTGTGCGGGGAGACCCCATCAGATTTCGAGTCTGACGCCTTAACCACTCGGCCACGACTGCCACAAATACAGGACAGAAAAGCGTTATCGAGGACGGAGGGAGGATCCTCCTAAAACGATGTGTTGAGAGCCCACTCCCCCCCCCCTCCTAATGCATCAAACATACGTGAAGACCACGATTAGCATAGCTGAACATGAGACAGTTTGCTTACCTTGCATCCGTCCAGGAACTCGCCTGCCTTGGCCACCTCCTGCAGGTCGACCCTGTCCAGCTCAGCCAGTTCCTCCTCTGCAGATAATCAAACATAAATGAGCTTTTGTAATGCATTTCTTACAACGTATGACAATCATCACCGTTCCGTGCTTCTATCCTCAGGATACATAAATCCTTCTCCTCCACGCCGCAACCCCACTCCGGGCTGGACAGGCACCTTTATCTCATACGGGCTGCTCCCTTGGAGTGGCACCGCTGCTCCCGAGGGAGCGCACCCCGTAGCCGGGTGCAGAGAGTGCTTGGGGGGCTGGTCGGCCTGTCCATTCGGACGGGCTCAGCCCCGGCGACTCTCTATGGTGCTTGCCCAGACCAATGTCTCCCCCTAATTCCTATCATCCTTCCGGCTCTGCAATGGTCTTGTCAGACCGAAAGGGCCTAACCCAAAAAAACAAAAAAAAAAAACAAAACGGCAATCAACGACCCGCTGGTTAGACGAACAACAGGTTTCTGTTCAGTGTTAGGCTTCAGCCACAAACTATGAAAAATGAGGCAAACACTCCAGCAAGCGCAGCACTACGTGAGTCTACGGTGAAATAACGGCACATTTAGCAATCAGCAAACATCAACTACAACCGAGAGCGTGTGTTTGATTAGGCGGGCGGACTCACGGGCGGGCGAGGGCGCCGGTGCCGGCACGGCGAACGACGCCGTCTCGTTCATCAACGTCTCGTTGACGGGGTTCAACCGACTCTCGTTGGAACCCACTATGGTGCTCATGGTGAGGTCAGCAAGCTCGCCTGCCGAGGGGGACCAGCGATCAGTCAGCCGTCAGGCGGGCACCAGCAGACAGAAATCAGACCGGTGCTCTTTGTGCCGATGCGATACGGAACTTGTAACAAGCTCCGAATGTGTACTCTTCACGCAGCACATCGTTGGGCAATCACATGCTATGTTACAATGTTTGAGAATCAGGTTTACTAACAAACTATCACCACCTATGCATCCGCTTACTTTGCCCGAAAAGGTGTCATGTTGTACAAATTTACACAGATATATTATCCTGCATTAATATCACTCGCTAACATCGTGTGTGACTTCTCTATTACTTCTTTCAACTGGCAAAGAAAGCAAAACAATATTAATTTAAGTCGGTTCTGACAAGCGAGACCTACCGCTCGCCATGGTGTGGTTCTTGGTGGGCGTGGAGGAACGCTTGGCCATCTTGTCCGATGTCGTGTACTGCTCCATCGGGAGGCAGGAGCCGCGCTCCACGCTGTCATACAGCCACTCGGGAAGCACACACGGAATCTGACGGAGACCGGAGACACTGTCACACGGCAACTCCGGAGTCCGGTACAACACACGGCGACAGCCACTCGGGAGCCACGCACGGTATCTGGAGGACTGAGGAGACAGGAGAATATGCCGTTATACAGTTACTCGGGAGGAAGTCAACATGACAAGCACACTGCCTCAAACAGCTCAGCCAGCCACCGTGAACTACAATAATAAGCTGAGCTACACACGTGGAAGGTGAGCAAGTGTTGTCCTCTCACCTTCCAGCGTCTGGCGAAAGTGACCTTCTCACCCTCGACTGAAGGTGAGATCAGCACATTGGTCTTCTCACACTCCAGCTGAGTCATGTAGTTGCCACCTGTAGCAAGACAGGGACGAATGGCGAATGCTTAGCGATTTGCTGGTCGACATACTATAAGCGTAACAATCAAGAACAGTCATGCAAGCTGAGGAAGCACGCTAGCATCGTTATCACCTTCCCATGCCCGGTCCGGTCGAATCCCAATCATCTGGTTCTACCCCATTATCCCCCCCCCCCAAAAAAAAAACACGCGCACCAGTCGTGCGCACGAGGAACCACACGGCCCACCGAACGTCGTTCAACCCCAGCCGGAGCACCGAGAGTCCCCACGACGCACCGTTGGTCTCGATGAGCCGCTTGATGGCCTCCTTGTCCCGGCGGCTGATCTGGCTGACACACACGAACAGGCCTTGGAAGGGCGGGCAGGCGAGGTCGGCGAATTGCGGGTCCGTGGCCGAGACGGTCTGCTGCCGGCTGGCCTCCCACACCCGGTCCACCCAGGCGGCGCGCATCACCGGCACGTCGCGCGCCACCGCCACCTGTCGGCGACACCCGGGAACTGAGCTTACGGCGGACACCAGAAAACTGAGCTTACGGCGGACACCGGAAAATTGAGCTTACGGCGGACACCGCCACCTGTCGGCGACACAGAGGAACTGAGCAACGGTCCATACCGCCACCTGTCAGCGACACCGGATAACTGAGCTTACGGCTGACCCCGCCAAATGCCGCCGACACCGGCAAGCTGAGCTTACGGTGGACGCCACCAGCGGTAACCGGACAAAAAGTCAAAAGGAATAAAGTCAAAAGACGAATAGTCAAAAGACAAAAAGTCAAATGCAAAAAGTCAAACGGGATAAAAGTCAAAAAGATAAAAGTCAAAACGGATAAAAGTCAAAAGACAAAAAGTCAAATGACAAAAAGTCAAAAATGCAAAAAGTCAAAAGCAAAAAGTCAAAACGTGTAAAAGTCAAAAGACAAAAAGTCAAAAATGCAAAAAGTCAAAAGGATAAAAGTCAAAACGAAAAAAAGTCAAAAGACAAAAAGTCAAAAATGCAAAAAGTCAAAAGGATGAAAGTCAAAACGGAAAAAAGTCAAAAGACAAAAAGTCAAAACGTGTAAAAGTCAAAAGACAAAAAAGTCAAATGGAAAAAAGTCAAAAGACAAAAAGTCAAAAGCAAAAAGTCAAAACGGGTAAAAGTCAAAAGACAAAAAGTCAAAAAATGAAAAAAGTATAAAATAGAAAAGTCGAAGTCAAAGTCTGAAATAAAAAGTCAAAAGGATAAAAGTCGAAGCATCGATCTTTTCATCTTTTGAAAAATATACAGCGCAACGTACCCTACCCACTGAAGTTGTAAGGAACATGTGAGTACGCGAGGGATTCTGACAGGTACCGGGGTCCGCAGCAGCGGGGCAGGGACGCTGGCTGCGGTGGTGGGGCCCACGCTCACATAATACGCGTTGAGCGCTTCCGGCGTGCACGCTGGCGCAGCAGCAGTGGCACTCTTCCCCGCCCCGATCACCGGCCGCAGCACTGTCCACATCCTCGCCGGTCCTGCCTCACGCAGCTGGTCAGCATAGTATGCCGCGTGGTCACGTCTGATGGCCGCTCGACACTGCCGGTTCACCACCGTATACTCGGCGCGCGGGCCGAGCAGTGCGCGCCGCCGCGCCAGCAGCGCTCGCGTGGCGTCCGTGGTGCGCGGAGCACCGGGCGGCGGCAGCCCCTCCCCCATGGGAGCGAGTGAAAAGCAGTGCCTTCTCTAAGCAGTTTTGACTGGGGGGCCCGATCACGGGCAATGACTAAGGTAACCCCTATCAAAAACGTCTAAGACTAAAAAATGACTAAGGTACTCCTCAGTGACCAGTTTGGAGGATGACTGCGGGGGCTGCAGCTCCCGCAGTTAACATGTTAGAGGAGCCAGGAGGCCCTGGTGAAAAGCCAAAACCTCAAAATAAAAAAATACCATGTGATTAACGCTTATATGACGTCAATGGACTTAAAGTAAAAAATACAAAAGACGAGATAATTTCAAAATTTTGAGTTGCAATTTTTGTCCCCTCAACTTTCAACCTACCCCATCAACTTTTCAAACGTTCCCGGGTCACCACTGCCCCATCGTGCAATTCCAGTGCTATGGCAAAGTTTTATCTGAAAGTTTAAACGTGCCCGATAGACTGGACGCGGTCCCCTCCGTCCACTCACGCTCTCTGGTCTCTGTACGGTCATCGCTGACTGGTCCAGCATCCAACGCGCTGGGTTTATAGAAATTTGGTTAAAAGAAATGAACATATTTTAATTGACGAATCCATTAAGTAATAAAATGAAAATGATTCACAGGTTATTATTACATGTGGGAGCACTGGCGCTGGAACTTTCTCAATGTTGGAGCCGGGCTCGAGGCAGTTTGAACTCATTTCTTTCCATGCAACGCCATAGGGTTAAATACGAGCGAGCGGCGTCTTATGGTTTTTTAGATGCCTATATGACTTTTTACTTTTGACTTTTTCTTCTTTGACTTTTTCCATTTGATTTTTATCATTTTGACTTTTTTGCCATTTTTTCATTTTTTGTCTTTTGACTTTTCGCGTTTTTTTTTTTACTTTTTGCCATTTGACTTTTTGCTTTTGACTTTTTGTGTTTTTGACTTTTCGCCATTTTGACTTTTTGCCATTTGACTTTTTTCGTTTTTGACTTTTCGCCATTTTGACTTTTTGCCATTTGACTTTTTGCTTTTGACTTTTTGCGTTTTTGACTTTTTGCCATTTTGACTTTTCGCCATTTGACTTTTTGCTTTTGACTTTTTGCGTTTTTGACTTTTCGCCATTTTGACTTTTTGCCATTTGACTTTTTGCATTTTGACTTTTGGACGTTTTGACTTTTTGCCATTTGACTTTTTGTCTTTTGACTTTTATCCGTTTTGACTTTTATCCATTTGACTTTTTTCCATTTGACTTTTATCCATTTTGACTTTTTGCATTTGACTTTTTGTCTTTTGACATTTTGTCTTTTGACTTTTTGTCCTGGAATCGCCACCAGCTGTCCGTTATATCGGGAAATTGGTATTATGGGGGATACAGCCATTTGTCGCGAACATCAGCGAACTGGGATTTACCGAAACACCAACCCTTCCGATGGCACAGTGAACGCCAGGTTACGACGGACACTGCAGTAACGGTAACACCAGACGAGGTAGCTTTCTCCACCTGACTGACCTGGTACTTGGGGCTGGCCACGACGCCTGCCACTAGGTGGGTGATGCCCTCGTGGAAGTCGGACGAGTAGACGCCCGACATCTGCCGCACCAGCCGCTGCAGACGGTTCTGAAACGGGTGGTCGGAGAGTGTGAGAATTACACCTTATTGAACAGTATGAAGGCAAACAATAGGAAATACAATGACAGTAGGCAGACGAAATCAGAGCTGTGGCTTGTAACCTCGGCTCAGAGCCGGATCTGGTACTAAGAAATCCATTGATTCTGATCACTGACTAAAAAACATCAAACTCAGCTATTAGCAATCAAATATCAACAGCTTCTATTGAAGCATCAGCTTATGGTGAAGCTGAGAACATGCATTTTAAAAACAGGCTGACACAATAAACAACAATTGCAAGTCCATTTCTCACCTTTTCTGTTTTTTGGAATCCAGTTGAAGTGACCACCATGCCTCTCATGGCGGCTGTGTAGAGGGGATAGGGATGCTCTGGCACTGGTTCGCTGCGACTCAGACAGGCCAGCAGGCATGGTGGGCCCAGCACTCTGCTGGACAGCCAACACCATAAACCCAGTCAGTACTGACAAGTGACAACATAGATGTGTTAACACTTGTGTGCTTAGAGCACAATGTCTGCCCGACATGACAGCCACCCTGTCATTAGCTGGCTACTTAACCTACTTACACAATTATACACATACTTCATAACAGTGGAACCATAATGTTCATTCTTGCATTGGTGTCATTTGGTGGTTAATGATGGCTATTACATCCCCTTGTCAAACATTCCAATGGTAGCATTGTCAAACAGATCCCAGCACACAAACACTCACAAACACACATCATACTTGACATATCAAAAGCTGCTGGAGAAGAATGACTGGACAGCAGACAATCAACACTTACACACACTTGAATTTTCCAGATGATAAGTGGTCAAAACCTAGTCCTTCAAATGGGTCACAGATGAACACATCTTGCTTGACTGGTTGCATTTTTAGCACATCTTCTTCTTTTATCCACTGACTTGGAAAACCAACATCCAGACATGCCTGTGGGTCATTTAGAAAATCAGTTAATTCACAGTCAGGATATACTCACATTAAATGTGGCAAAGTGTAAACATGTGTAAAAAGATTTCAGCAAACAGTAAGTACTAAGTACATCATAATCATAAAACCTTACCTGATAGGATGATGCCAACTTTTCACTGCAAGTAGTTTCTGTAGTGTCCTTAGGAAGAACAAAATAGAGATTTACTTGATCCTGGGTTTCTTGAGACAAGAGAGACTCCATTTCTGAAAAAAGAAGACATTGATATTATTTTTTCAAGAAACAAACTAAGAAGTCATTTAGAAATATTGCAAAAAAGCACAACATTGTCATCCAGAGACAGTTTAAAATTTTAAAATCACTAAAATCAATAATGTAGTTAGCTGGCACGCATTTCTCATTTTTTATTGGTGGAATTGGTGTGTGAACTACAAAAAATGCAAAATGTGAAACTGTTCCTTACACATAAACAGACAAAATTTGTATTCTCAGCCCTGCATTCATGCTTTTTTAACTTTTTTATTGGGTCAATCAAACTATCTTTGGTATGTATGGTAAGGTTAATTTACAATATTTAAATTGGGCAGCCTAGATTAGTTAAGGCCAGGTTAGGTCATCTTTTGTTTATTCCATTTTATCTGCTTGAACATACTCGTACAAAAAAAAATGCTAGAACAAAGATTTGCCATGGAATTTTTCCAATGCAGTGGACAAACAATGAGGTCATGAAATATCAGCAAGTTCAAGTTGTATTCACATAGGTTGGTGACTGGTAAAACATGTCAGTATGGGAAAAACTGTTTATATAACCTTGAGAACACCTATGGCATGCTCGTACAACTGACCCCTGAATGGCACCTAGCCGCCTACCATTCACATCTTGCAGGCTGGGCATACTGAATGAAAGCTAAATGAAAACTTACACATTCTGATTCAGCAATCAGCATCAGGTACTTATTGATATTGAAATTGAAACTTGAGGGCTGTTCACAGGCACCGCACACTGCTGAGTGTGGTGTGTGCAGGAGGCGTGGGGGTAGGGGAGGGGTAGTCGGTGTGACGTGTCACACACTACACAGTTACGTGCAGTGGACCGTACACAGCCAATGCTGTGGCCAGTCCCACAGCGGTTGCTGTGTGCGGTGACGGAAGGTTGAAGTAGGGACACAGTGGGCGGAGCTTAGAATCTGTGTAACTGTACAGTCCTACTGTAACCGCAGTACCGCACATAGGGCTCATGAACAGCCCTCAGATTTCCGAAATAATCACTACATAGGTCAAGGTAATTCGCATAACGGAACCACTTACACTATTACTGTCAAGGTCAAAATAAGCTTCACAGGCAAAGAACGATTTATTGACGCCTCTATTATGATGCCTTAATTAATAGTGCCAACACCAAGACCCAATGCTATTTATATTTCAATTTTAGCTTTATCCGACCCCAACAACATTCGTCGGCAGTGGCACAACCCTTGGGCACAACATTTCAATTTGCATTTGTGGTTACTGGTTACTGGTAAATAGTTTCATTATAATCGGTTCCGTAGTGGTAGAAATTTGAGATTTGTAGTAACAAAGCCATTATGTTTGTTTTGATGTATTTTTGACCTTGAAAAACATCAAAAAAATATTCTATTGAAAAATTAAAAACTTAATTCCCAAGTTAGCTAACATCATGGGAAAAAGGCTGTTAAAAAAAGTCATACCACTAGGATTATCACAACTTCTTCATCCAAGGTCCTTGGAATTGCCGCCAAATGTAATACTTGTGGCGCAATTGCTTCATTCCTGCCGCACTTGAAATATGAGAAAAAAAAATCAAGAAACAAATGAAAAAAACGTTTGCGGTGTTCGTTGTTAGTTATCTAGGATCTTAGTTATTACCTAAGGTTATTACGGATTTCAATGCATTTCAATTTTGCCGGTATATAGGGTCTTCATTTTGCCAATGGTCAGTGCCCGCCAGAATTAATGGATTAATGATTTTGACACATTGTTCCTCATGAATTGTCAAGTGACCCCATTTTAATCTTGCTTTCATTTTATTTCTTTTCCTGTGGAGTGTGTCGGTAGCCCAACGGTAGCCCCACTTGCATGGTAGGGATTGCTGCGTTAAGAAGTGCAACAATGATCGTTCAGGCACTTTTACCTGAAATTCAGCTTTCCAAAAGCAGAATGAAAAGATGGATTGTATGTTAGGTATCTTGTCTTTCCTTATGCTATCAGGTTTTTAGGCTTATGAAGGCATAAGATCTGTGGAAGTGAAGTGCATGTGTGGGACGCCGGTGAAAACAGGGCGCCGGAGGGCATATTAGTCACGTGACATTTGGAACTTTCCCGCTTCATGGGCCTTCTATATCCCAAACATCACGTGTAAATTTAACGAACCTTGATCAAATCGCCCCAGGCGCCCTGTTTTCACCGTCGTCCCATGTGTGGTGCCATAGGTCTTTGCTGACATGACATTAATCATACCTGTTCTATGATCATGTCCTTGATTTCCTTGAGAGCTTAAAGAAGATAAACTGCTTGCTCATCTATTACAGAGCACTTTAAAGCAAGATTCACAAATGACATTGCATAGGCTGGTTCAAGCAATTTTGCCCATATTGCATCATGTCAATGGTTGTGGAGGTTTGCATGTGTTTGAAATTCCCCCTTTTCCTTTATCAGTCAGTGAAACTGGCAAATTCATAAATTGCCTGAATCCATTGATTTAATCCCTTTGAGAAACTTTTAATCCTATAGTGAACTAAAAATGTATGGATGGTATTTGTTTTTTCATAATTTCCACTTTTTATTACAGTTATGCTATACCTCACAATGAGCGTTCACATGCATTTGAAGAAAAAGCATATTTTATTGGCAAAACTATTTAGAAGCAATCATGAATTTTATGAAACCTATATTATGTTCTATGTTATGTTTTAAGCTGTAGGTATAGGTACCATAATGCTTCAAGTTTGCTGATGCCTGACCCTGATACACTTGGGTGATGTGGTAATTATGTCAGTTGTGAAATATAATGATAGTAATTACTAACTATTAATTATGTACCTAATTTTCACTCAAACATGTGGCATGTGGATAATCATGTGGATAATCAAACATGTGGATAATCACAAATCACGCGTGGCGCGGCGCGGCGTGGCGGATAGCGAACCCCCGCTTTTAATTAGAGTTCAAAGCGAATTTAAGTAGATAAGCTGGTATTGATATTTGATTTGATATTTGATAATGTCGGGGAGAGGCAGACCCCGAGGCGGCGGAGGAAGACCAAGGCGAGGCTCAAAATCGCAGGCCTCCGATAACCGCGGCGAGGATGACGCAGCGTGGACGTGTGAGGGGTGCAAGGTGAAATTCACAAAGGATGACAGCAAGCTCCTGGTTTGTGATTACTGTGATCTCTATTTTTGCACCGATTGTGTCAACCTGTCAGATGAGCAATATGAGATCATCTCTGCTGTACCTGGAACATGTTGGTTCTGCGCTGCCTGTCAGAGAAAGGCCAGGGACTGCATAAAAACAGAAAAGCAGATAGAAGAACGTTGTGCAGAGTACTGCAAGAAAATAGAGGCTAGATTAACAGCAGCAGAAAATAAGATCGAGGAAAAGGTGTCCACAGAGGAAGTTCGGGTTCTCATCAAGGAGGAACTCTCGACTCTGGACCGTCGATGCTCTGAACAAGAAGACCTCAAGAAGGTCACCATGGCTCTAGCCGAACATCAGAAATACCTAGAAAGCCTTGAAGCCCAGAAAAGAGCCTCAAACTTGATCATAACTGGGGTCCCAGAAGGTGAGATGGTAGTGAACGGTGACACTCTTGCCTCGGATCTGGAAAAGTGCTCGGCTCTGCTCCGCTTAGTCGATGAAGACAGGTCAGTCATCAAAGACTTGTCTCGGTTAGGGAAAGAGCCTGCCCCAGCTGGCTCGGGTGAAGCAAGACACCCAAGGATCATCAAGGTCCAACTGAACAATCCTGAGTGTCGCACAAGGATTCTGAGGAAGAGTAGTAACCTGAAAGAGGCAGGCCCCTCCTTCAACAAGATCTACATGAAGAAGGACATGCACCCCATGGTGTCCAGGGAATTCCAGAGGCTAAAGAAAGTCACTAGAGAAGAGAAAGATAAGCCCGAGAACCAGGGTCGCCAAGTGACCTATGACCCAGCAAAGCGTCAAGTGCTGGTGGACAACGTGGTGGTTGATGAGTTTCGCCCAACCTTTTTCTGAGACAGTGGGGTGAGTCACAGTCTGTCTTTCTTTGCCTGGAACATAAATGGTAATGTGTCCAAACTCGAACTCAATTCTGTGTTCAGCGCTTTCAGCCCATGTGATATTGTGATTCTCAGCGAGCTCAAAACAGAGTACAAAGTAGAGGCACCTGGTTTTGTATCAGTGCGCAGCAGTGTAGTCAAGGATGAAAGTGCTAGGGGTGGCGTGCTGGTGCTTTTTAAGAATTACCTCTGGCCGAGAGTTCAGATTAGGCATGTGCTGAAGGACCAGGTGTGGTTCCAGGTCCACCCTTTCAACATTACATTTGGTGCATGCTACATTGCTCCATCCGATTCACTGTTCTTTGATCCAGCTGCACTGAGCCACATCCAAGAAGTGTGTTTAGAAGGCGAACATGATGTGCTGATTCTTGGTGACTTAAATGCTCGGCTTGGTGATCTGTCCCCTCATGCTGCCCTGCATCGATACTCCCATACGACAAACCCTGATTTGCTTGTTAACAGCAACGGCAGGCAACTGGTCAACCTCTGTAAGAGTTGTAATATCGTCCCAGTGAATCACCTTGTGTGTCCACATGTTGTGTGTGATGGCGGCCTCACATTCAGGCGAGGCGGTAACTGGGTCTCTCAGCTCGATTGGGCACTCATCTCAGACACACTAGTGAACTCTATCAAGGGGTTTAAAATCCTGAGAGATGCAAACTTGCCCTCAGACCATGCGCCAATCATTCTGCAACTGAGCCTCCCTACCCACCTGACTTCAGCAGTGCTGCAGAGGGCCCAGAGACTGAACGACGACCGGGACGAGGCAGTCGCGAGGAGTACTCACGAGGGTCGCAAACCAATTCGATTTCACAGCGTTAATGTAGCCACATTCTCGGGGATCTTGCCCGACCCCACCGCTCTCATGACCACGTTGGAGGATTGTCCGGCAGACATGTGTGCCGCAATCTCAGACGCGCTGTACAGCGCGTGCAGATCAGCCAGACAGTCCCCCCGCTCACAAACCCAACCTCGGGGCCCACACAACGCCCACGAGCGATGGCTCAGGCTTTTGGATCAGAAGGACCACCAGGGGTTATGGAACGCCATTAACTGGAAAGGAGGACTCGTTTATAGATCTTCTCAGCCGTCGGCCACCCCCTCAGAGCGTGATTTTGTTGTACACTACAGGGCGCTTCTGAACAGCGATTTCACGGAGAGTGACGAACTGGTCTGCCCCGATGAGGGAACTTACTGTCCCGTCCTGGATGACCAGATCACTGAGACCGAAGTCTGTCGGAGCATCAGTAGACTGCGCACAGATAAAGCTCCGGGTCCGGACGGGATCCCTCCGGGCATCCTGAAGTTCGTCCCCCCTGCCTGGGTACCCCTGTTGGTTTGCCTCTTCAACGTGATCTTCAGTGGCTCCTACCCGGCTCAGTGGCACCTGGCCAAGCTGTGTAATATCTTCAAAAAGGGAGACTCTCGCAACCCAGCCAATTACAGAGGCATATCAATTCTTGACGCCATGTATAAAGTGTACGACGGCATTCTCTCAGAGCGTTTTAACTTATGGTTTAAACCGGATGTAGAGCAGGCGGGGGCGCAGGCGGGAAGAGGCTGCCAAGAGCAGCTTCTGACCCTTCGCCTTTTGATCGACATCGCAAGAAAATCCAAACAAACCTTGTATATTGTGTTCGTAGACTACCGCACCGCTTACGATAAGGTGAACAGACAGTTGCTGGTCGATAAACTTGCAGCGGCCGGTTGCGGTCTCAGATATCTTCGAGCAATCACACAGACTCTTAACCAGACCATAAACATGATAGGGGATGATAGTTTCCGAGCCACTACGGGTGTTAGACAGGGTGGTCTGACTAGCTGCTCCCTGTTCACGTTCTATATTAACGATACGATCAGAAAATTGAAAGAGCTGGGTCCCGATGGATTCTTAGGAAACCTCCACTCTCTGCTACTGATGGATGACACTGTAATTTTTGCGACCTCCCGCTGCAACATGCTACGTAAATTAGACATTCTCATCAGCACTTGTAACGAGCTGAACATGCAGCTACATCCAGATAAGTCCAAATTCATGACGGTACACACTAGAGACACAGAGCCACTCGTGGTTCACAACATTGCCATCCAGCATACCAGATCATATGTGTACCTCGGTTCTCCGATTTCGAACGCCTCGATTCACAAACAGGTCAGCGAGCAGATGGAGCTAAAGCAGTGTCAGGTTAGGAAGTTCCGCAGTTTTCTCCGGAAGAACAATGAGGCCCCGTTCACCGTAAAGAAGGCCGTGTGGGACAGCGCTCTTAACGCCAGCATTCTGTACAGCTGCGAGACGTGGATGACGGGCTCCCTTAAGCCGGTGGATCAGATGTACCAGCACACGCTGAAGGATCTGGTCGGGGTACGGTATCAGACCCCGTCTGATCTGATTTATGTCGAGACCGGCATCCCACCTCTCTCTGCTAGGGTAGGCCAGATGCAGCGAAACTTTCTGTTGAAGCTCCAAGCCAGCACACACTTTGAGGGTAGCCCTGTGCAGAAGGCCATCGAGCTCGCGCGCGTGCATGCCTGCCCCATGGGCCAGTATATTGAGAAGCTTCTGGGCTCCCCGCACCTGAGCTCACCCGTGGCCGCTCTATCCGAGGTGAAGGCGCGCATCAGGGGTGCGACAAACTCCAGAGCAGTCGCGTACAAATCGATAAATCCCTCACTAGATGCGCAAATTATCTACCAAACAAAAACGTCTTCACACTCGCACACATTCGAACCACACCGGCTGGCGTTCTCTCGCCTCAGGCTGGGCTCACACCGCCTCCGGGTCGAGACGGGGAGATGGTCTCACACGCCGAGAGACCTACGCCTATGTTCGTGTGGTCCGTTCGTACAGGATGAGGATCATGTCATACGACAATGTAGGCTGACACGCAACGTCTCAAGCTTTAACGAGGCCGATTCCCTCCCCGACGTTCTATCAATGTACACGAATGTTAATGCCCCGAAACTCTGTTACGACGTCCTTAGAGCCTTCATGTAGTGTCCGCCGTTTGCCGAACGTTTCGTCTGTACTCATCGATTGCCGATAGCGCGTTATATGTTGCTTACAAATATCTAGGCCCGGAGTCGAGATGGTTCCGACTTCCGAGGTCCCACGGGCGGTTAGCCCGCGCCGCGCCGAATCGCTAGAGATCATTGATGGACTGAGGGTTGTTTTTTTAATGTATTTTATCCTGTCTTGCTTGCATCGTTTTAATGTGCCATGTTTGCGTTTGTGTCTCTCCCCCCCCCCCCCCCCCGATACCCAAGGTCAATAAACGAATGAATGAATGAATGGCACTAGTTTTCTAATGACATCAATTTGTCAAATCACTTATCTAACCTTGGTTCCATGGTATGATTGCTTATACCAAACATGTACTTTTGACATGTCATGCTTCGAATCCTGCTGCTCCATCCCCATACATCACATGTGTTTCCATGTTGCAGGAGATGCTGAGTCCGCACCTGCGCTGAGTGATGGCTGGTCCGATCCCAGCTGCGGCCTTCTACGGTCGCCGGTCGGCCGCGGCGCCGGCGCCCGCCCAGCCGGGGCGCCCGGCGCGCACCCTGTGCCGGCCGCCGCGGCCCTCGCTGCTCGGCCCGCCCGCCGCCTGGCAGGTGTTCCGGCAGCAGGCGGCGGCGCTGCAGGCCGCCGCCGCCAGCCCCGGACTCGGGCTCATGGTGTTCGGCTGTGAGGAGAAGGTGCCCGACGGCGGCGGAAGGCGCAGCTACCTCGTCTGCCACCCCAGCGTGTTTTGGCACTGCGACGAACAGAAGAGCCCCGACGAGCGCTGTTCGTATGAGGTGATTCGCCAGGGAGCGCCCTGTAAACTGTACTTTGATCTGGAGTATGACAAGACTCTGAACCCGGACAGAGACGGCGACGCAATGGTGGAAACGCTCATTGAAGTGGTAACAAGTGCCGTAGGATGCCTGTTTGCGGTGAAATGTTCAAGATGTGATATCATTGACATGTGCGCTTCGTCGGAGACGAAATTTAGCAGACATTTGATATTTTGCTGCAAGGGTCTAGTGTTTTGTGACAATGTTGCGGTGGGTAATGTAGTCAGAGATATCTGTGATGCTATCAGAGCCTTCGTGAATCGTGGTGAAACAAGTGACCTTCAGCGATTGGGACTTCAGAGATTCGGCAAAGATGAACTGAAAGCGCTCATGGTGAACTCCAAGGATGGGAGCAGCATGTTTTGCGACGAGGCTGTGTATACGAAGAACCGAAACTTCCGGACATATAAATCTTCAAAATTTGGAAAGCGGCGACCGCTTGTCAAATCCGCTCATAACTCGTTCGCTCCAGAAAGCAGAACCGATCGGAAAAATTGTCATGGCTCCGCTGAAGAAGCATTTTTCCTGGCGTCTCTGGTATCGTACATTGAGAGCGTCGCCGAGCCTCTGCAGTACGGCGCTCCGCCACCGCGAGAAGGCGCCTCGGTCTGCACCGCCATGTCCGGTATGAAGAGACTCCACGTGCCGAGGGGAGCTCTGACCGCCTCACCGTACCCTGATGTAGACGCGTTCGTGCGCGAGCTCGTCTCTCCTGGCGGCATCCGCTGCTGGAACTACTTCGACACCTCCGAGCTGCTCGTCTACGACATCGTCGGGTTCCGCTTCTGCCGCAACATCGGCCGCTGGCACCGCAGCAACAACATCATCATCGTGGTGAGCCTGCGCGACGCCTGCTTCTACCAGAAGTGCCACGACCCGGCGTGTCGCGCGTTCCGCTCGGACAGCCTGCCGCTGCCGCCCGAGCTGCTCGCCTGGCGGGAGCTGGCCGACGACTGGGAGCCCGATGGCGGCGGCGGCCAGTTCCCCGAGTGTGGTGCCAGTGACGCTGAGATGCTGTCCGCCGCCGCGCTGGCTGAGCCGGCCACCGAGCTCAGCCCGGTGCCGTCTGCCCAGCGGAGAGGCACAGACGGGGGAGCGGACCCCGAGCTCGGACGGACCGGCGAACTGTCCGACGATGAGTTCACATCCGCGCTGGCGGCGGTCGAGCCTAGCCAGCCGGACCTGTTTCCGGACTGCGGAGTGGAGGACGGGGAGCTGGCTGCTGTGCCCACCTCAGTGGCACTATCTCAGCACTGCCGTGACGGGCGGGAGCCCAGACTATCGCCGGACGATCCCGCGCCGACCGGTGACGACGCCTTCCCAGACTGCGGCATGGGGGACAGCGAGATACTGGCAGAGGTGTCCACGGAGCCCCTGTCGATCCAAGGCGACGGGCCCGAAGATGATCAGTCGACAGAGTCCATGCCGCTCGAGGGTTTCGAGGACGAATGGCTGTGGGACGCCGGGTCGGACCCGTTCCCGGACTGCGGGGTGGCAGACTCCCAGCTGCCGCCGGGACCGTGCAGCGGCACTCGGAGTCGCCCACAGCCGACCGGAACACCCTACCGGGACCGGGACCGGCTCCGGGCGGACCGCGGGTCCCAGAGGGGTCCGGACTCGGCCGACGCGTTCCCCGACTGCGGCGTCGGCGACTGGGAGCTGCTCGAGGTGGGTGGGCCGGCCGGCGCCGCCGCCAGTCCCCGCCCCGCCGACACCGCCGACAATGGCACCGAGGCGCACACGGCCCCCACCCCGGGCACAGACTCTGACCAGCTGTACCACACGGCGCATTCACCCAGCTGCAACTTTGAGGTCTGGGAGTGGGACCAGCTGGCAGAGGCAGATTTACTCGCGTCTGACTGGGAGTTCACCGATGAGTATTAGCTGCCCAGCTCTTCTGCCCGACAATGATTGTTGTACATCACCTTAAATAGCGAGCTAGGTATTCAGAACCATTCCATTATTAGGATATCCACATTGTTTTACCGGTTCCCTTTTATATTGCGAAATTCCGAGATTCTTATAGATCGAAATTCCACATTTCATGCGTACACATTGGATATAGATTTCATAAGCGCTACGGTATAGAACCATATATTTTTTAGTTAGTTGATCACTGTTTCCTTGACTCTATGATGTCACGTTATTTTAATCATTTTAGTTATTTATTAGATTATTATCAGCGTGTTTGGTTATTTCTTGTAAACGTGAACGATTATGTTGTTGTGGTTTGCTGAACTCTATTGTTCAATTTCAGTGATCGTTGTCTTCAACAGAAATGTCGGGCTTTCATCGATAGACAGAAAATATATATTGCATACATCGTCAACAGTACACCGCTTATCTATCATAGAATAGTCACATGACGCATACCGTCTGCGCTTTTAGCAGCGCATCTCATAACGCCGTCGGTTCCCGTGTGCTCGCCGCACCAATAACGCAATAGCGCTATTACACAATGACGCTCACTTCCACTCTCCGCACTCGCTGGAGGGATAACACGCTCCTCTTACTTCCGTCCTCTACTGCAAGTTAACTTAATCATCACGCACACAACGCTCTCGTGCACGCCCTCCCACACATATGTAATGATTAATGTACACCGCTCGGCCGGGAGACGAGCGGAATGGTCCACACCGTGCCATGATCACTAGTCACTACCTAAGTCGCGGCGGCCCGGACGCCCAGAGTCGTGTATGGCTCGGAGCTGCCGGGCCCAGTGCGGCGCGCCTGGCGCCCACTCAGTTCTGTCTCGGCTGGCGCCGCTCCGGCGGCCGCGCGCGGCTCTCTGTGGTGCGGGCCGCGGGGACGCGGCTCTGGGCGCGGCGCGGAGCACCGCCTGGTTCCAGCTGACTGGCCGGCGGGCTGTCCTCACTGGAAACCGAGCTGGTTCCGGTGGCTGTCCACCTCCGGCAGCGCGCGGAACGCGAACGCGCACTGCACCTTACACACGTGGTCGTTGAGGATGTCCTCGGGCGAGTAGCTGTTCGCCAGGTGGAAGCAGTTGTCGATCTTGAGCGACTGACACACCGGCTGAGGATGAAACGGCGAACACACTGGTTAGCCCACTGTTCAGTATTGAAAAATGGTCACCCAATAACAGACGTATAACAAAACTACCAATGGTCACCCAATAGCAGAATCTACTGAGACATTGCATCAAAGCTGATCGCTGTTGACAGCACATTGCAGTGCAGACTGCAGTGGGGGCGCGGCGGTGCCGGTACTTACGCCCTCCTTGGTGCAGGTGCACATGACGCAGGGCGAGACGCGCTCCGCCGAGCCGATGTCGATGGTGAGGCTGCCCACAGAGCAGCTCACCCGCTCCTTCCACAGGTCCAGGTCCAGGCTCTTCATGCTGTCACATTTGACACGCGGGTTCCTGTAGCATGGCGACGGTCACACGCAAGTCGGGGCTCCCGGAATCGCAGGCAACTCGCTACTTATGGATATTTGTCAAGTTTTTTTATTGGCTGTATTTGTTGTAAGTTTCGGATAAGTTTTGCAAGCCCTTTCAAGCTGTTGCTTCCTAACCATGGTGGATGTAACGAACTCATCATCTGCGTGCGATCGGTTGGTTCAAGCTGCTAACTGCAAAGCGCTGGTGTGTGCTTTCCGGAACAGCCTTCTTCCAGGCGTTCACTACTAACTCCATCTAGCGGCAAATGGGTGAAGTAGCACTGCCTCTGAGGTCGAGCTACCGTAGCTCAAAACGCACACCCTAGATTGTCTGTCAGAGGCGGCGCGGTGGCACTCACAGGAAGGGGTCGGGCAGGTCAAACAGCGACCGCTGCACCACGTCCACCTGGTCGCAGTTGTCGCACACCATCTTGGAGAGGGTCGACTTCCGGATCTCGGCCAGCTGGGCCTCGGTGAAGCGCACCAGCGGGTCGTCATTCTCGTACCTGTCGGGAGGAGCAGGTCATCGGTCAAGACAGCAGGTGACGGGATAGGTCGTGTAATTATCGTCCATCGGGTACTGTCGGCTGCGAAATGTCGACAAAAACAATTCCGATAGAAGGTCTCTGGGTTGATTGTTGTTGGGTGAGAGCTCCAGACATTTCAGTGGATATCATCCATTTAAAAGAATGTCAGCTGTGTTATAAGAATATGTCGCAGAGGGCGCTGAACGGCATGGTTCACTCACCAGAACCTGTCGCAGCGTTTGAGCGCGCGGAACTGGATGCCGATGATGCAGCCGAAGGTGGGTCCGACGAGTCCTCCGTGCAGCGGCGTCTCGGCCAGGCCGCCGGTGAACAGGTCTGCGGCGGAGGTAGTCGGCGTCAGGTCGGGTCGGACACAGCTCGAACGACACGTAACGAGGCCTTTACTTCTATTCAGTGAAATTGAAGATATACGCGCTCGGCTACGTCTGAAGAACGCAGCGAGGTTAAATAACAGTGGCATGGTACAAGACCCATCAATGAACAGAAAAGCTCACGATTCAAACCTGAACGCTTGTGCGTACAGATGGTCGTTTGCGTCGAATGACGAGCAATTTTTTCCGTTTCGCAACTTACAGTGCTTGGTATGCGACTTCAACAAACTGCAACAAAAACTAATGACGCTCTGGCCTGGAGGTGCAGTTATCTCTACCGGTCAGCGGACTCACCAATGTCGTTGACGCTGGAGTAGGTCCTGCGCAGGCGCTCCAGGATCGGTGGGGAGATCTCCCGCGTCAGGTCGTTGAAGTCGCGCGCGTACGTCAGGTTACACAGTGAGCGGTACTGGTTGTACGGCGCCAGGCCGTGGTCGCGTCCTGCGCAGAGGGGTCGCATGTCAGATGTCAGACAATGCACATTGGCAATTACACTCCCAGCTCAGACATCGGGACGTGTTTTGGTACGGCTGTGGTGTGGAAAACACAACCTTGCGAACCATTCTACTTTGAGATAAATGTTTACCAGTATCGTAATTGACAACGTTTATGGATTCGCAATCAGCAGAACAACTGAATAGTTTTCTTCCAGTACACTGAGATGAAGACCGGTCCGTACACTTTACCGCGTCAGGGCCGTGGAATCGTCTGCTCGAGGCTCGCCACCCATCCGTTTGGCTCACCTCGCTGCAGGTTGAGCGCCACCAGGTCGAGTCCGGAGAAGGGCACCTTTTTGTCCTCGAACAGGTGGTTGGTGACCTCCTCGGTGATGAACTGGTCGAGCGTCTCCATGGAGGTGGTGGCCAGGCCGCGGATCACCTGGTCGATCATACCCGGCTCGTACAGCGGGTCCGGGTTGAAGAACGTGTCCTTCAGCTGCGAACGGTGTGGGCGGGGGCGGGCGTTAGCAGACGACCACAAAGTACAACGTGGAAGGAGAGCTGAGGCACGCGGCTCCCGCAGATCTGTGTGATAAGACGGTTGCACGTGTTATGCATAATGCAAGCACAACCGCAAAATTGATCAATACACATACATACATACACATTTATTTTCAACATTACAAATGAGCAAAACATACACAAAAATATTATAAGATTGGTGCAAAAGAATAAAAATTCTTAAATTAAAGCACCTCTCTTAATCAATCAGTATAAAATAAACATGAGTATTACATAAAAAACACAACATAATATGAAAACAAGTCTGTTTGACCACCGCCAAGCCGCGCCACACCCACCGCTCGCTGGTTGAAATTAAACTTGCTACCCCCAGGCGACACGACGAACCGTCCGGCCCGCCGTCCGCCGCTGGATGCTATTGGTTCTGGAATCTTTTAGTTTTGATAATATAATTTTGGAATAATTTCGCTACTTTGATCTGATCGTTTTTGTTGAGGCCTCTACCATACAGCAATAAGTTAAGTTTAGATACGCTGTTACAGTTGTTAAATATGGGTATAATTATTGAAACTTGTCCGAAAAGTTCAGAGCGTAGCACTTGGAAACGGGGACAATTTAGAACGAAATGTGCTACAGTCTCTTTTGGGCTCCCACACTCACAGCAGGGAGAAGAAGATTTTTGGATTTGGTAGAGATGAGCTTTTAGGACAGTTGCGTTCAACCTAAGTCTTGCATGCTGAATGTTTCCAAACTTTGATCCAGTATTATTATATGGTGGGACGGTCCCTGCACAAAGTCTGGTCTCTATCGCTCGTTGGAAGGATTTGAGGCTGGGATCGGTTCTGATGGATTCTGGTAAAATGTTCCAATCTCTGGTCGTCTTAGGAATAAAAGATTGTTTAAAAAGTGATGTTCTGTTGTTTGGGAGTGTGAGATTGGTGGCATTGCGAAGAGCACGACCCGTGTTGTCTTGTCTGGTTTGTGGTAGTATGTCCCTTATGTATTGCGGCAAGTCAGCGAAATGATTTATCAGCTTGTTGTAAAATATCAGTCGGTGTTTTTTTCGTCGTGTTTCTAAGGTGTCCCAGCCTAGGTCTAAAAGGAGCTTGTTATGAGATGTGTTAAATAACGCACCCGTCACTAGACGTGCTGCCCTTGCGTGTAGTCGTTCTAGTCGTAGTTTGTCTTTGGTCGTTATTAGTCCGTCGTATACAATGTCACTGTAGTCAAATATTGGAAGTATATAGGTGCTGTATATCTGGTTTAGGATGTCACGTGGTAAATATTTAGCGATTGGATATAGGGGACTTAGCGCAGTATTTACCTTTTTAATTATGATATTGATGTGGTTGTGAAATCTCAGATCCGTCGATAGTGTAAGACCGAGGTGAGTGTGACTACTTGACAGAGGTATGCAACTGTCATCGAATGACAACGATGGTGGGTGAGAAGACGTCACGTGACTAAAAATTACCTGTTTGGTTTTAGCCGCACTAAAGCTGATGAGCCAATCTGTACCAAAGTTAGAAATTATATTAAGGTCACAATGCACAATGGCAATTACATAATGCCTGTGTTTACGTTACAATAGCGGGCTTTTTCTCTGTGGTCTGGTTTGGATGGTCTCCATTCGTTTCATACAGACTCTGTAGTCGCACAGCCTTGGATATAACGATACACAGTGGTCTCAGCCTCACGACCTCACGGGGTCTCATACATACCTTGATATCAGGCCCGGTGTGCTGGTATGCGTTGTCCATGCGGACCAGCTTTGGCTTCAGCAGCGAGTGGCCGAAGCGGAAGGCGGCCGTCGCGAACTCGTTCAGAATGGAGGCGTCACAGTACGGGTCGTAGCCTGCGGGCGTCGGGAAACGTCAGACCTATATACTCTGCGTCAGACGACGTGAGAAGCATCGCTCGGCTCCGCTGTCCGTTGTATTTTATATAGGCGAAAGTCATTTTTCGTTTTCATACGTTAGTAGTCCACTGCATTTCTAACAAGTCGATTGACTTTTCTATTGGTTTTATAACGAACATTCAAGGTAATGTCGAATTAAGACAATAAGGCAAGGAATAAAGGCAATACTCTGCCGATAACAGGTCGCTGCACACCGCCAAGCGACCGCTCCTGTCCAGCGCTTACCGTTGAAATAGCCCTCGCTGTCGAGGTTGAGACCGTACAGGTTGATGGCGTTCCAGCCGAGGACGCGCGGCAGGAACTCGTTGTAGGTGATGTGCTGGTTGACAGCCGACAGGATGCGCCGGCCGTTCTGGAACAGCTGCTCGTCGTTCCAGTGCGGGTTGATGCGCTTCAGGTAGTCGACCATGCGGTTGTGCTCGCGCATCAGCAGTGTGTGCATCACTGCCAGGCCCGGCTGCTCAGAGGCGCGCGTGTCGCCTGCGCACGGAGAGGGGTGGTCGGTTAGGCGGGTGCTGGTGCAACTTTGCAATGATTGGGCTGGTGTGTGTTATTTAACTAGTCTTCTAGGTGCGTAATAAAATATGCATGCACGAATGAAGTAAATGTTACGCAAGGCTGCTAGTGAAATTCCATCCACTGAACATCATTCACATCCGCACTATAGGAACTCTGAGCAAATCCGGGCTGATAGAGAAATAGCACCCAGAGTTTTCACGGCTCTGCCCGAATCACGACGCTGACCTCCGGTGAAGCAGACGCCCGAGCTGGACTTGCACTCCTCGTTATCGTGCGCGGTCTCCTGGGGCAGGAGGTCCTTGCCGCGCGTGGGGTGGCGCGTGGCGTTGAGCCGGCCGCCGATGAACGTGCGCAGCTGGCGCTGCTCGCACTTGTCCGAGCCGTACGTGTGAGACGCGTCCACGTACGCTGTCACCTGGTTCATCTGCTCACGGTAGCCTGAGAGAGGGAGGGACAGCGTCAGCGTTCAACAGCGTCTAAAGTCGGGGATCCAGCGTTCCGGTAGTCTTTAGGCCCTCGGATATAACTTTATCTATATTGTAGTGATTGAATGAGTTGTGGACTGTGTCTCGTTTACCGTACATTCGAACTAGAATATTGCAGTAAAGAACAGAAATCAACTGACATGAAGAATTAACCAGCTCCTGAAGTCTGCGGTAACTTACCGAGTGTGAGCTGTCCGGGCATGGAGCGGGTGAAGGGCAGGCAGAAGAGCTGGCCGCTGGTAACGTTCCTCCGCGGGAAGAACGGGTCGTTCTCGGGCACCGGGATCGGCAGACACTCGGGGTGGATGGTCAGCGCAGAGTCACACCGCCGGCAGTCCAGGATACTGACGGATACAGAGAGATCATGTCATTGAATGCCGACCGGCACAGGGAGATTTCAACACAAAGAAAATACGCCGGTACAAACGGCGTCACAGCCGCAGGAATAATGACCGATGTGTACAAAGGCGACGCTACCGGAAACGGGAAACAAACATGTATGCCTCCGTGGCGCAGCGGAAGTCGGAACAGATGTTTGGTAAACAATAGCCTGTAGAAATGGACCGCCAGTGACACCGTGAACTCTCCTTATTGGGGACCTCAGACAGTGTTTGGTCAAACAATGACGCTGTGGTTTCCGTGCATTTTACAAACACGAATTCACCACACGCTAAGCCATCGGAAGTCTCTTATCACATTCTCTGCGTGTTCTGGTGTGGCACGTCAACGGTTCAGCCAAACAGGTCCGCGCGGCTCGCGGTCTCTCACCTGTCTCCGAAGCCCTTGTTGACGGGCGTGAACGTGATGTCGTGGTCGATGAACTGTCCCCACTGCATCACCATCAGGTTGTAGCGCACGTGCGGCGCCGAGACGTCGTTGTGGATGTTGACCGAGATGAGTCGCGGCGAGGGCAGGGGGTTGCCGGCGACGGAGCGGTCGCGCGGTGACATTAGACCTGGGGGCACGGCGTCAGTGGGTGAAGGGAAGTGGCAGATACTGCGTCAGCGGTTGATGAGAACTGAAAAACATGGTGCGAATGGATGACGGAACTGACCGACATAGTGACAGCGGATGACGGAGCCTATACATGGCATGTCACAGAGCTGACTTCACCACTGGCGATTGCGAGCCGCGCCCTCGCCGCTGACCACCGAGCGGTGTCAATATCACGTCCCGGCCTTGCGGGACGCGGACTGGTGAGTCACCGATAGGTGACTGACCGCTCGTACCCGGAACGGAACACCCGAGTCCATTAGGATGATATCATTCATCCGCGATCACTAACCACAGTTCCGCAAAGTATGGAACGCTAAACCGGAATCGGAACGATTGCAACGATTAGTCGCTAGGTCGCTCGCCCAGACTAGTTATATCGCGAAACTGTCTTGGGTCTGCATCTGGTGGATGAGATGCTATCTCGCCTGCCCTTGCAGTTGACCGTTACTGTGTGGTCAGATGATCAGTTGAGCATGACATATGGGGGCATTGCAGCCCGTCGAACTCCCAGCTTGAAAACATGAACATGCAGTAAATAGTTCAATTTAGACATTTATATAACCTAGTCGAGACCTGGAGAGGTCGGCACGATCGCTACGATAGGAAGCATGAGAACATGAAACCGATGTCTATTGCATGAATGCTGATTAGTGCTGCACTTCACCTTTGGCTCCAATAAATTAGCGTCTAATTAGGGTGTCGACGCTATCGATCCGGTCCGATCGCGGCGAGAGGCCGGCCTTGTTAGCCGCTCACGCTCCTCTCGGCGGCACACTTTCACGGCGGAGAGTCGTGCCGACTCACGGGCCGCGGAGCGCCGACCCATCCCCGGGCGTCTCGTGTTGTAACACGGCTGCAGCCGTGACAGCTGCAGCCGGGGGCCGTGTTTAGCAAATAGGGCCGGGACGGCCAGTGTAGGCACAACGTGGGACTGAGGGTACCCAGCTCCGCGGGATGGCAGAGCGCGAAACTGAGGGCACCGAGCCGACCTTAAACGCAGACGCCCGAGCGATGTTTGATGGGAATGTACCGTGAACGCTCTGAAATGCGGCCGCACGACATGAGTGGTGTCGCCAAGCCGTGGGGCGTGAAACAGCGGCCGTTTGCGTCAGATGAGCGCGTCTCGGGACTGGGGCAATCCACTACCTACTGTCGAACTCAATTGTCGCAGGGCGGACAGCTGCGGTACACTCAGTTCTGCCCAACACGGCCAGCGGTTATTACATAATGACAAGCCGTCCGAGTGCAACGCCGTCCCAGTGGTTAGAGCGTTCAATGCACCTGAAAAATGGGGTTGGTCGGACGAAGCATGGATGACTACAAGCTCCACCTTTTTGCGATTATTTTCCACCGCTCGGATTAATACCTAAATTGGCCATTGACATGCACAGCTGGCACATGCCACTCTAGGTAAGGTAACACACCATCTGGCACAGATTGTTACGTCACTCGACTACCCCGCGTCCTCTCCCCGTCCTCTCCCTCCACTCACCGTCGCCGTAGTGGGGGCGCACCAGCCGGTTGAGGGCGCGCACCGCCTTGCCGAAGCCGGGGTTGTTGAGGTTGTTGCACCAGCCGGTGGCGGTGCGGAACTTGGACGTGTGGTCGCAGGGCAGCGTCTGGTCGTCGCACTCGAACACGCTCGGGATCTCCATCACGTCAGAGACGTCGATGTTGGGCAGCACCTGAACCAGCTCGTGGATGTCGCGCGGCGCCACGCTGCCCGACTCGCGGTCCTTCAGAGCGTTACTGCGGCGAGAAGGACGAGCGGGGTCAGGCATCAGGCTTACTCACACGAGGCAGTCTTCCAAGGACAAAGTATATCAAGTGCACTCCTCTACTCTCTATCCATTGCAGTTTTGCGACGTCATTCGGTCTGAGCGCTTTCGATCGCAGGCAAACATCAAAGGAAAATGCTCGTGGCTGCTCAATAACGCACTACCTCGAAGGCTTACCCGTTGAGGAAGTTGTTGACGAATCTCTGCGAGGCGAACTGCAGCACCATGGACGTGTTGGAGATATCCTGCGCCTGCCGCTTGGGTCTCATGAAGGCGTAAGCAGAGCCGATGGCCGATTTCGGGTCGGCGGCCAGGTCTGTGAACGGCCGGACGTGTCGACGAACCGCGGACACGAATTCGTACACGGATCTACATATATGAACGATTTATCTATGTCGTCATATGACCCCCACTCTAAATGAACACCTCAGTAGCGTTTCTTTAGGGCCTAATGAGATTCGAATCAGCTGCGACAAATGCTGACGAATGCAGTTTGTAAATGGCACGATATGTTCTAACCGGTTATCGCTTCCAGAAAATAACCGGCACTTGTTACATAAGCACTAATCAAGCGAACGTTCACGTGATGAGCTTATGATGCCGTATGTTGAGATACGAGGCATGCTGTGTGCACGCATGAGCGGGAGGAGGATGACCGTGCCATGCGTGCTTGTTTGACCCGCCACCTGAGCCGTGTCACCTCCACTCACAACTCCCTAGCGTGTAGCCGTCACCGCGGGGCTCGGAAATTGGCATTGGGCGCTAAGAATGCCACGGCTTTGTGGACGACTCTGTATTACACGAGTGACCCGTCATGGATCTGATAAATCAGCCACCGGTGCCACCGGACCTGCCGCTTGGTCTGGATCTGGTGATAGCGCTTTAATAATCTGGTGAAGAAGCGGAAGCGTTAGCATGCAATACTAGATCTATAATCACCGGCTGGGATCATGCTTGCGATATTGTGGCTGAAACGAAGCTGGTCAGAGTGTGAAACGTTAATGTCAGACATGTGAAAGGTCCACAAGTTGGAAGCTGGTCAAAATACAAAGGAGTGCCGGAAGACAGTTTCAGAAGGTTGCTCAGACGGGTGTGAGTATTGAGTAAGACCTAGGTCGTTGGCTGTGACGTCGTTGCGGGGTCGGTCAGGTGAGGTCACGCGTGTGTCGGAGGTCTCCCGGGACCTCGGTCACCGAGTCTGTGTCAGCTCGGTCCCGGTGTCAGAGTGTCGCCGTCCCTACTCACGGTCGTTGTACAGTTTCTCCTCGTGGTGTCGGAGGGTGCTCCAGGCCGCCTGGCCCACCTCAACAGAGTCAAAGAGTAGCGCCAGCGCCTCCTGGAACACTCGAGAGTCGGCGTCGCCGGCCTGCCGCGGCCGGCGCACCAGAGCCCGCAGCAGCTCGGGCGCCGCTGCAACGTCCCCGTCACACGTCACACGGCGTCACGGCTCGTCACGTCGGCGTGCGTCACGTCTCGGTTAGTAGGTTACTGGGACTAACAGTCGACTGGGTGGCGACGAGAGCAGTCGCCGTTTATCGAGTATTGTCGGTGACTACATTCTGGTTTTAATGGGGCTGGGTCGGTGACGTGGCATGCCTGGCTACGTGGTGTTATTTACATATATATGGTTAGCAAGCTTTTACACAAAACATATAAAGCCAAGCAGTTATCTTGTCAGCTACAAGTATCTTATTTATGCAGAGCATTTCCGACTACTTTATGGGGGATCCCGTCTTTCAACGGGATGCGCTGGGTGAGCCTTCCTGCAGACCCTGGCTCTCGGTCCCGGCTGCGTCCGTCTCCTATCCCGGCACCAGGCCGAGCCCACCTGGCCGGCACCGGGGGCGGTACTCACGGTGCTCGTGCAGGTTCCACTCGGTGTGGCGCATCTCGCCCAGGTCGCGCTTGGCGCGCTCGATCGACTCGTGCAGCATCTCGTCGGGCACGACAAAGTTGGGCGACAGCTGCCGCCACCGGTCCAGGTTCACCCGGCCGATCATGTCTTTCGAGCAGTCCATGCGCGCGTTCCTGGAGGATAGAAATGGATAGATGTCGGAAAAAGAAGACAACGGCAGTGCAATGGGAACAAAGTGTTAAAGTAAAAGTGAAAACAAGCTGTAGTGGTTTTGGACAAGTGAGGCGAATGTTGGCCGATTGCATTCCACAAGCTTGTTTCATCATCTGGTAAGCGATTATCTGATACAAGAGACCAGTCACGATGATACGAATAACCTTGCAAGGTCGAAGTGTAAAACGGTGCCTCTGTGACAATAAAAAGCTGTGGGATTATATACGGTGCTCCCATGGAAGCCACGCACTCTGCACCTTGCACTGAACCTCGCAAAGTTGAAACTCAGGAGCGAACTCCGGTGCTCCCACGGACCCTCGGTGCTAACTCACAGGAACTCGTCTGTCTGCAGCAGCACCGTCGGCTGCATGAACTCGATGGCGTCGGCGTTGTCGCAGATGATGCGCGCCAGCGATGTCTTCCTGATCTCGGCCAGCTGGTCTGTGGTGGACAAGGAGATCGCATTCGCGATGGCACTCGATAGCACGCGCATCCACGTTCACGCTTCCCCATATAAGGACACGAGCTGTCGCGTGTTGGGGCGTCATATGAAGCTGACCTCCCGTGTCGCACCTCATCGGCGCTAGCAATTTGGTCGCATGATGGGATGGCTGAACCTGCGTGCTTACCGCTAATGCTAATAATTTTCAAAACTACCGCAGTACATATCATCGCCAAGGGTATGAATTACCAAACGCCGCTAAGGAATGTCAACGTTGCAATATATCAAAGTGGCTTGTATGGATAGAGCCGTTTCGAATCTCAGTAATGCATGTAAGCAACGCAACGTCGCAAATGCTTTAGTCAGAAATGAGAGCACCTGCGGTATAACAAACCCAAATACGAATTGCTTGCCGGCAGACCGATACGAACTGAATGTGTGTACTGGGCATGACCGCTGACTACCAAACCGCCCTGTATCCTGCGCCCGTGACGACGAACTGTCCCGAGATGATACTGACCTCTGCTGAAGGAGGACGGCGGCACGTCGTTCTCGTACCAGTACCGGTCGCCGCGCTTCAGGTAGTGGAACTGACGGCCGATCAGGCAGCCGAACGTCGGTCCGACCAGCGCGCCGATGTTGGCCGTCTCGGCCAGGCCACCCGTGAACAGGTCAATGTCGTCCACGTGACTGTTGGAGGAGACGCGGTCAGGGGGTGGTCTTGGGTGCGCGACAGGAAGTGAGTCAGTCAGCACTGGTCCAGGGTCCGACAGGCATGGAACTCCGTCATAGGATTGACTGCACAGGGAGACGCTGCCGAGAGTCCGACACGGTTCGATAGGCAGATATTGCCACTGATCAGCAGCTGTGCTGCTGGCATGCAGATGCCAGGGAGATATTGCCAAAAGTCTGACAGGGAGAAACGCGGCAAAGACAGAGCCCACCGGTCACCAGGAGGAAAACAAACGGCCATGGCGGGTTCGCTTTCACCCGTAGACAAACGGTGGGCTGAGTGACTATCTGGATCTCGACACAAGCACCAGCTGTCTTTGCAGAGCCGCACTGGAGCTGCGAGCACAGCGTGGCATGATGGGCGAGTCATGCACATGGGCTGGCGGCGAGTGTTACACTGAACGCCATTTGTTAGAGTGGCAGTGCAACAGCCACAGTCAAAGGTGTCACTATGCACTATGCAGTTTCGTCTGGCGGGATGAACATGAAACACCGGCCCTGAGACGTGAGTTTAGAGATGAGGCTGCGATTGTGATTGAGACTTTCACTGCGGCTAAAGCCACCCGGATGCAACAAGGCCGACACATTCGTCCGTGGCGTGCCATCATGAATAATTCAGCGGCTGATTAACCAAATCAGGCTCGTCAAGATCGTCATGCTCTCATCACGCTGAGTTGACTCGAGTACATCAGATCGCAGCCACCCTCTGACAAACAGCCACCTGAAGTGCAGCGTTCTAGGTCACGCCTACAAACCCAGACACCTAGGGCTTAACGGCAAAGTGGTGGACTAGTCAAAAGACCCAATGGAGTCCCATAATACTGAACACTTTTTTCCCGCCAAATGGCTATCATCCGCAGAACCGTAAGACGAACACGATATGTGTAGAATGACTGTTGAATTAAAAGTCCCACAACAAGCAGGTCTACGAGCCTGTTTTACGGAGACCTACATCACATCGAGTGCAAAGTGCGTGGTGTTCTCACTTGTAAACGCGCTGGAGCGCCTCGATGACCGATGCCTCCATGGTGTCGGTGAGGTCGCGGAAGGACTTGGCCCGCTCCAGGCCGCAGAACTTGCGCCACTCGTTGTAGCCGGCCACACCGTGGTCGCGGCCCTGCTGGATCAGCTGCGCGGCTAGATCCAGACCGAAACCTGCGGCACAGACACCGAGGAAGGCGTGGGTGTCACGGGCGACGGAAACATAAGCGTGATCATTACTCGTGCCATGTTGGTTTTGCGGCCAATTTCCACCCCAGTCCTGCTTTACGATCCTTATGAAGACAGAAGCCCTTCTTCATGGTCTACCCTAGATCCGAGATGTCCCGTTTTCCTTACCATCGGCCGAGTCCTCGAACAGTTTGTTGGTCATCGCCTCCGAGATGAAGACGTCCTCGGCCATGGCCTTCTCGTGGACCAGGCCCTCCAGCACCTGGTCCATCTTGCCCTTGGCGTACAGGTCGAACGGCGCGTAGAAGGTGCGCGTCAGGTCGAGCTCGCCCGTCACGCGGTCCTGCGACACGAAACAGACAGCCCGGATTCCGGAATGTTATGTGTACTGAGGGTAAGGGGCTAATAGAATGTGGTAAGCCTGAAGCGATAAGTGATTTTATCACATGATTTTAATTAGGTACCACAGATGTCCGTGAAGTTAGCGTCAGCAACAGCAACGAATACAGCGTCGGATTCAGAATCGCTTAAAAAACTCATATTAGGGCATTTGGGGGACGGGGAGCAAGAATATGACCTTTATTTGGCCCTAGCTCTTACCCCTTACCCCTTAATCGGCCCTTAAAGGAAGGGGCGCGTAAAAAGTGCCTCAAGGGTTCGTCTGATCGCCAAAATAAGGGTCGCAATCGATTCCCCGGGTCAATATCTAGTCGCAGCCTCGGGTTCCAGATGTGTGCAACTTACCCCTTACCCCTTAATCGGCCCTTAAAGGAAGGGGCGCGTCAAAAGTGCCTCAAGGAATCGTCTGATCGCCAAAATAAGGGTCGCAATCGATTCCCCGGGTCGATATCTAGCCGCAGCCTCGGGTTCCAGATGTGTGCAACTTACCCCTTACCCCTTAATCGGCCCTTAAAGGAAGGGGCGCGTCAAAAGTGCCTCAAGGGTTCGTCTGATCGCCAAAATAAGGGTCGCAATCGATTCCCCGGGTCAATATCTAGCCGCAGCCTCGGGTTCCAGATGTGTGCAACTTACCCCTTACCCCTTAATCGGCCCTTAAAAAGACGGGCGCGTCAAAAGTGCCTCAAGGGTTCGTCTGATCGCCAAAATAAGGGTTGCAATCAATTCCCCGGGTCAATATCTAGCCGCAGCCTCGGGTTCCAGATGTGTGCAACTTACCCCTTACCCCTTAATCGGCCCTTAAAGGAAGGGGCGCGTCAAAAGTGCCTCAAGGAATCGTCTGATCGCCAAAATAAGGGTCGCAATCGATTCCCCGGGTCGATATCTAGCCGCAGCCTCGGGTTCCAGATGTGTGCAACTTACCCCTTACCCCTTAATCGGCCCTTAAAGGAAGGGGCGCGTCAAAAGTGCCTCAAGGGTTCGTCTGATCGCCAAAATAAGGGCTGCAATCGATTCCCCGGGTCAATATCTAGCCGCAGCCTCGGGTTCCAGATGTGTGCAACTTACCCCTTACCCCTTAATCGGCCCTTAAAGGAAGGGGCGCGTCAAAAGTGCCTCAAGGGTTCGTCTGATCGCCAAAATAAGGGTCGTAATCGATTCCCCGGGTCAATATCTAGCCGCAGCCTCGGGTTCCAGATGTGTGCAACTTACCCCTTACCCCTTAATCGGCCCTTAAAGGAAGGGGCGCGTCAAAAGTGCCTCAAGGGTTCGTCTGATCGCCAAAATAAGGGTTGCAATCGATTCCCCGGGTCAATATCTAGCCGCAGCCTCGGGTTCCAGATGTGTGCAACTTACCCCTTACCCCTTAATCGGCCCTTAAAGGAAGGGGCGCGTCAAAAGTGCCTCAAGGGTTCGTCTGATCGCCAAAATAAGGGTCGCAATCGATTCCCCGGGTCAATATCTAGCCGCAGCCTCGGGTTCCAGATGTGTGCAACTTACCCCTTACCCCTTAATCGGCCCTTAAAGGAAGGGGCGCGTCAAAAGTGCCTCAAGGAATCGTCTGATCGCCAAAATAAGGGTCGCAATCGATTCCCCGGGTCGATATCTAGCCGCAGCCTCGGGTTCCAGATGTGTGCAACTTACCCCTTACCCCTTAATCGGCCCTTAAAGGAAGGGGCGCGTCAAAAGTGCCTCAAGGGTTCGTCTGATCGCCAAAATAAGGGCTGCAATCGATTCCCCGGGTCAATATCTAGCCGCAGCCTCGGGTTCCAGATGTGTGCAACTTACCCCTTACCCCTTAATCGGCCCTTAAAGGAAGGGGCGCGTCAAAAGTCCCTCAAGGGTTCGTCTGATCGCCAAAATAAGGGTCGCAATCGATTCCCCGGGTCAATATCTAGCCGCAGCCTCGGGTTCCAGATGTGTGCAACTTACCCCTTACCCCTTAATCGGCCCTTAAAGGAAGGGGCGCGTCAAAAGTGCCTCAAGGGTTCGTCTGATCGCCAAAATAAGGGTTGCAATCGATTCCCCGGGTCAATATCTAGCCGCAGCCTCGGGTTCCAAATGTGTGCAACTTACCCCTTACCCCTTAATCGGCCCTTAAAGGAAGGGGCGCGTCAAAAGTGCCTCAAGGGTTCGTCTGATCGCCAAAATAAGGGTCGCAATCGATTCCCCGGGTCAATATCTAGCCGCAGCCTCGGGTTCCAGATGTGTGCAACTTACCCCTTACCCCTTAATCGGCCCGTAAAGGAAGGGGCGCGTCAAAAGTGCCTCAAGGGTTCGTCTGATCGCCAAAATAAGGGTCGCAATCGATTCCTCGGGTCAATATCTAGCCGCAGCCTCGGGTTCCAGATGTGTGCAACTTACCCCTTACCCCTTAATCGGCCCTTAAAGGAAGGGGCACGTCAAAAATGCCTCAAGGGTTCGTCTGATCGCCAAAATAAGGGTCGCAATCGATTCCCCGGGTCAATATCTAGCCGCAGCCTCGGGTTCCAGATATGTGCAACTTACCCCTTACCCCTTAATCGACCCTTAAAGGAAGGGGCGCGTCAAAAGTGCCTCAAGGGTTCGTCTAATCGCCAAAATAAGGGTTGCAATCGATTCCCCGGGTCAATATCTAGCCGCAGCCTCGGGTTCCAGATGTGTGCAACTTACCCCTTAACCCTTAATCGGCCCTTAAAGGAAGGGGCGCGTCAAAAGTGCCTCAAGGGTTCGTCTGATCGCCAAAATAAGGGTCGCAATCGATTCCCCGGGTCAATATCTAGCCGCAGCCTCGGGTTCCAGATGTGTGCAACTTACCCCTTACCCCTTAATCGGCCCTTAAAGGAAGGGACGCGTCAAAAGTGCCTCAAGGGTTCGTCTGATCGCCAAAATAAGGGTTGCAATCGATTCCCCGGGTCAATATCTAGCCGCAGCCTCGGGTTCCAGATGTGTGCAACTTACCCCTTACCCCTTTATCGGCCCTTAAAGGAAGGGGCGCGTCAAAAGTGCCTCAAGGGTTCGTCTGATCGCCAAAATAAGGGTCGCAATCGATTCCCCGGGTCAATATCTAGCCGCAGCCTCGGGTTCCAGATGTGTGCAACTTACCCCTTACCCCTTAATCGGCCCTTAAAGGAAGGGGCGCGTCAAAAGTGCCTCAAGGGTTCGTCTGATCGCCAAAATAAGGGTTGATATTGACCCGAGGAATCGATTGCGACCCTTATTTTGGCGATCAGACGAACCCTTGAGGCACTTTTGACGCGCCCCTTCCTTTAAGGGCCGATTAAGGGGTAAGGGGTAAGTTGCACACATCTGGAACCCAAGGCTGCGGCTAGATATTGACCCGAGGAATCGATTGCGACCCTTATTTTGGCGATCAGACGAACCCTTGAGGCACTTTTGACGCGCCCCTTCCTTTAAGGGCCGATTAAGGGGTAAGGGGTAAGTTGCACACATCTGAAAACCGAGGCTGCGGCTAGATATCGACCCGGGGAATCGATTGCGACCCTTATTTTGGCGATCAGACGAACCCTTGAGGCACTTTTGACGCGCCCCGTCCTTTAAGGGCCGATTAAGGGGTAAGGGGTAAGTTGCACACATCTGGTACCCGAGGCTGCGGCTAGATATTGACCCGGGGAATCGATTGCGACCCTTATTTTGGCGATCAGACGAACCCTTGAGGCACTTTAGACGCGCCCCTTCCTTTAAGGGCCGATTAAGGGGTAAGGGGTAAGTTGCACACATCTGGAACCCGAGGCTGCGGCTAGATATTGACCCGAGGAATCGATTGCGACCCTTATTTTGGCGATCAGACGAACCCTTGAGGCACTTTTGACGCGCCCCTTCCTTTAAGGGCCGATTAAGGGGTAAGGGGTAAGTTGCACACATCTGGAACCCGAGGCTGCGGCTAGATATTGACCCGGGGAATCGATTGCGACCCTTATTTTGGCGATCAGACGAACCCTTGAGGCACTTTTGACGCGCCTCTTCCTTTAAGGGCCAATTAAGGGGTAAGGGGTAAGTTGCACACATCTGGAACCCGAGGCTGCGGCTAGATATTGACCCGGGGAATCGATTGCGACCCTTATTTTGGCGATCAGACGAACCCTTGAGGCACTTTTGACGCGCCCCTTCCTTTAAGGGCCGATTAAGGGGTAAGGGGTAAGTTGCACACATCTGGAACCCGAGGCTGCGGCTAGATATTGACCCGAGGAATCGATTGCGACCCTTATTTTGGCGATCAGACGAACCCTTGAGGCACTTTTGACGCGCCCCTTCCTTTAAGGGCCGATTAAGGGGTAAGGGGTAAGTTGCACACATCTGGAACCCGAGGCTGCGGCTAGATATTGACCCGAGGAATCGATTGCGACCCTTATTTTTGCGATCAGACGAACCCTTGAGGCACTTTTGACGCGCCCCTTCCTTTAAGGGCCGATTAAGGGGTAAGGGGTAAGTTGCACACATCTGGAACCCGAGGCTGCGGCTAGATATCGACCCGGGGAATCGATTGCGACCCTTATTTTGGCGATCAGACGAACCCTTGAGGCACTTTTGACGCGCCCCTTCCTTTAAGGGCCGATTCAGGGGTAAGGGGTAAGTTGCACACATCTGGAACCCGAGGCTGCGGCTAGATATTGACCCGAGGAATCGATTGCGACCCTGATTTTGGCGATCAGACGAACCCTTGAGGCACTTTTGTTGCGCCCCTTCCTTTAAGGGCCGATTAAGGGGTAAGGGGTAAGTTGCACACATCTGGAACCCGAGGCTACGGCTAGATATTGACCCGAGGAATCGATTGCGACTCTTATTTTGGCGATCAGACGAACCATTGAGGAACTTTTGACGCGCCCCTTCCTTTAAGGGCCGATTAAGGGGTAAGGGGTAAGTTGCACACATCTGGAACCCGAGGCTGCGGCTAGATATTGACCCGAGGAATCGATTGCGACCCTTATTTTGGCGATCAGACGAACCCTTGAGGCACTTTTGACGCGCCCCTTCCTTTAAGGGCCGATTAAGGGGTAAGGGGTAAGTTGCACACATCTGGAACCCGAGGCTGCGGCTAGATATTGACCCGGGGAATCGATTGCGACCCTTATTTTGGCGATCAGACGAACCCTTGAGGCACTTTTGACGCGCCCCTTCCTTTAAGGGCCGATTAAGGGGTAAGGGGTAAGTTGCACACATCTGGAACCCGAGGCTGCGGCTAGATATTGACCCGGGGAATCGATTGCGACCCTTATTTTGGCGATCAGACGAACCCTTGAGGCACTTTTGACGCGCCCCTTTCCTTTAAGGGCCGATTAAGGGGTAAGGGGTAAGTTGCACACATCTGGAACCCGAGGCTGCGGCTAGATATTGACCCGAGGAATCGATTGCGACCCTTATTTTGGCGATCAGACGGACCCTTGAGGCACTTTTGACGCGCCCCTTCCTTTAAGGGCCGATTAAGGGGTAAGGGGTAAGTTGCACACATCTGGAACCCGAGGCTGCGGCTAGATATTGACCCGGGGAATCGATTGCGACCCTTATTTTGGCGATCAGACGAACCCTTGAGGCACTTTTGACGCGCCCCTTCCTTTAAGGGCCGATTAAGGGGTAAGGGGTAAGTTGCACACATCTGGAACCCGAGGCTGCGGCTAGATATTGACCCGGGGAATCGATTGCGACCCTTATTTTGGCGATCAGACGAACCCTTGAGGCACTTTTGACGCGCCCCTTCCTTTAAGGGCCGATTAAGGGGTAAGGGGTAAGTTGCACACATCTGGAACCCGAGGCTGCGGCTAGATATTGACCCGAGGAATCTATTGCGACCCTTATTTTGGCGATCAGACGAACCCTTGAGGCACTTTTGACGCACCCCTTCCCTTAAGGGCCGATGAAGGGGTAAGGGGTAAGTTGCACACATCTGGAACCCGAGGCTGCGGCTAGATATTGACCCGAGGAATCGATTGCGACCCTTATTTTGGCGATCAGACGAACCCTTGAGGCACTTTTGACGCGCCCCTTCCTTAAAGCGCCGATTAAGGGGTAAGGGGTAAGTTGCACACATCTGAAAACCGAGGCTGCGGCTAGATATCGACCCGGGGAATCAATTGCGACCCTTATTTTGGCGATCAGACGAACCCTTGAGGCACTTTTGACGCGCCCCTTCCTTTAAGGGCCGATTCAGGGGTAAGGGGTAAGTTGCACACATCTGGAACCCGAGGCTGCGGCTAGATATTGACCCGAGGAATCGATTGCGACCCTGATTTTGGCGATCAGACGAACCCTTGAGGCACTTTTGTTGCGCCCCTTCCTTTAAGGGCCGATTAAGGGGTAAGGGGTAAGTTGCACACATCTGGAACCCGAGGCTGCGGCTAGATATTGACCCGAGGAATCGATTGCGACTCTTATTTTGGCGATCAGACGAACCCTTGAGGCACTTTTGACGCGCCCCTTCCTTTAAGGGCCGATTAAGGGGTAAGGGGTAAGTTGCACACATCTGGAACCCGAGGCTGCGGCTAGATATTGACCCGAGGAATCGATTGCGACCCTTATTTTGGCGATCAGACGAACCCTTGAGGCACTTTTGACGCGCCCCTTCCTTTAAGGGCCGATTAAGGGGTAAGGGGTAAAATGCACACATCTGGAACCCGAGGCTGCGGCTAGATATTGACCCGGGGAATCTATTGCGACCCTTATTTTGGCGATCAGACGAACCCTTGAGGCACTTTTGACGCACCCCTTCCTTTAAGGGCCGATTAAGGGGTAAGGGGTAAGTTGCACACATCTGGAACCCGAGGCTGCGGCTAGATATTGACCCGAGGAATCGATTGCGACCCTTATTTTGGCGATCAGACGAACCCTTGAGGCACTTTTGACGCGCCCCTTCCTTTAAGGGCCGATTAAGGGGTAAGGGGTAAGTTGCACACATCTGAAAACCGAGGCTGCGGCTAGATATCGACCCGGGGAATCGATTGCGACCCTTATTTTGGCGATCAGACGAACCCTTGAGGCACTTTTGACGCGCCCCGTCCTTTAAGGGCCGATTAAGGGGTAAGGGGTAAGTTGCACACATCTGGTACCCGAGGCTGCGGCTAGATATTGACCCGGGGAATCGATTGCGACCCTTATTTTGGCGATCAGACGAACCCTTGAGGCACTTTAGACGCGCCCCTTCCTTTAAGGGCCGATTAAGGGGTAAGGGGTAAGTTGCACACATCTGGAACCCGAGGCTGCGGCTAGATATTGACCCGAGGAATCGATTGCGACCCTTATTTTGGCGATCAGACGAACCCTTGAGGCACTTTTGACGCGCCCCTTCCTTTAAGGGCCGATTAAGGGGTAAGGGGTAAGTTGCACACATCTGGAACCCGAGGCTGCGGCTAGATATTGACCCGGGGAATCGATTGCGACCCTTATTTTGGCGATCAGACGAACCCTTGAGGCACTTTTGACGCGCCCCTTCCTTTAAGGGCCAATTAAGGGGTAAGGGGTAAGTTGCACACATCTGGAACCCGAGGCTGCGGCTAGATATTGACCCGAGGAATCGATTGCGACTCTTATTTTGGCGATCAGACGAACCCTTGAGGCACTTTTGACGCGCCCCTTCCTTTAAGGGCCGATTAAGGGGTAAGGGGTAAGTTGCACACATCTGGAACCCGAGGCTGCGGCTAGATATTGACCCGAGGAATCGATTGCGACCCTTATTTTGGCGATCAGACGAACCCTTGAGGCACTTTTGACGCGCCCCTTCCTTTAAGGGCCGATTAAGGGGTAAGGGGTAAGTTGCACACATCTGGAACCCGAGGCTGCGGCTAGATATTGACCCGGGGAATCGATTGCGACCCTTATTTTGGCGATCAGACGAACCCTTGAGGCACTTTTGACGCGCCCCTTCCTTTAAGGGCCGATTAAGGGGTAAGGGGTAAGTTGCACACATCTGGAACCCGAGGCTGCGGCTAGATATTGACCCGGGGAATCGATTGCGACCCTTATTTTGGCGATCAGACGAACCCTTGGGGCACTTTTGACGCGCCCCTTCCTTTAAGGGCCGATTAAGGGGTAAGGGGTAAGTTGCACACATCTGGAACCCGAGGCTGCGGCTAGATATTGACCCGAGGAATCGATTGCGACCCTTATTTTGGCGATCAGACGAACCCTTGAGGCACTTTTGACGCGCCCCTTCCTTTAAGGGCCGATTAAGGGGTAAGGGGTAAGTTGCACACATCTGGAACCCGAGGCTGCGGCTAGATATTGACCCGGGGAATCGATTGCGACCCTTATTTTGGCGATCAGACGAACCCTTGAGGCACTTTTGACGCGCCCCGTCCTTTAAGGGCCGATTAAGGGGTAAGGGGTAAGAGCTAGGGCCAAATAAAGGTCATATTCTTGCTCCCCGTCCCCCAATTGCCCTAATATGAGTTTTTTAAGCGATTCTGAATCCGACGCTGTATTCGTTGCTGTTGCTGACGCTAACTTCACGGACATGTACCACAGAGATATTTGGGGGGTTGACGTTGATGCACGTAACAATTTGGTCTCGAGCATTTTTTGGCGATGTGGGTAGGTGAAGAGGTACGGGGCGGGGATGGGCTTCGGTCGGTGAATAAGAAGAACGTCATATTTCCTATAAGCGCATCGCTCCTGACATAATGCCTTAACATATTCTACAAATGTTCACGTTAAGAATAATGTTACATTGAATAGCGCGGAAAGGCACTGTGCACTGTACAGCCTATAAAAAGCTCTTTATGCTACAATCTACTGTGTGTCTGACTGATGTTTTGAGGTCAGCAGGAGCCTTTATCATGACTCATCAGATCTAAATTTAAAATCTGCTGGCGACATCATTTTCCAGCCGTGGGATCAGTAAGTCATCCTGCTGATGCGTCTACAGGCGCGTGGATGACTACACGATGTCGCAATAATTCTTACCAGGTAATTAATTGTAACTACAGTACCACATTTACGTAGCTATTCATCAATTCATGACACATTTAAAACAGCAGGGCATGCATGCCTCATAGCATAACTATGAAATATCTCTGGCCAATTAGGCCGTTCCAGCACTGAGCTCGGTGAGCCGGGTACCGGGAAAGTGCGAGCGGTGGGGCGGTGTGCGCTGATGGAAAGGGTGTGAACGATCTGGGCGGTCCTCCTTCCGCAGAGTCACGACCTGGGCCGCACGCGCCGCCGAGGGCACCAGGTCACCGGCGCCCCCACCCCACGGCAGCGAGCCCGCGGCCCCCGCGGTGGGAGTGGCTTCTAGCCAACTCTCCAACGATGCGTGCAGGACGGGACTGGGTTTGGCGATCACAACTGATTCAAAAATCGCCAGCTCGGAAACTGAAGACGAGCGGATGCTTGGCTCAACTTGTCATGGTCATTTGCCCCCCACTGTAGCGTGGCGCCGGCGCTAAAATGTAATGAATGTATAACGGCCTCTGTTCTGTGTAATTACACAGTTGTGCAGCAATATGCATCGTTAAGTAAACCATAACTGGCGCGATGCGGAACGTTGAGCACACGCTGCGTTTCGGGCCGCCGCTGCCGAGTGCAGTACCACTGGATACCGTGTGAGTGGCACGAGGCCCAGCCCGGCCGGCCCCATCCCCTTCTCCCCGTGCACCAACTCACGCCGTTGCGGAGCGCGATGCTGCTGCCCATCATGGAGGCGACGAAGCGGAGCGCGGCGGTGGCCACGCTGTTGGCCACGCCCGGGTCGATGTTGATGTCGTAGCCGGTGAAGTAGCCGGCCTTCTCCGCCTCCAGGCCGTACTTGGAGACGATGCCCTGCGGCAGCGGCGGTCACGGGCGCGGTCAACCGAGAGCGGACGGATGGTCATAGTCATAGTACCTACAGATATTACAGGGATAGGTAGATGGGAAGATGATAACCTATCTGGCTTGTGAGCATTGCACCATTGAATGTTAGACGGTGAAATATGCCTGACTAATTAAAGCCCGGGTAATGGAACCAGTTTTCCTCGTCTTTGTAACAAAAACGTGCTAATCTGGTTCGCGAATCGAGTTTCAAGGCACTCGTTGAGGTCACCGTAAATGTTACACATGATCCCAAAAAGAAGGTAATCTTCCCTTTTACAATAAAAAACATTTTTGCTTGTTAAGATTCGTGGACAATGAGCGAATGCTCATATTTGGTCAATGGCCTGCGTTACGACACGCATTTAATAGGGGAGAGTGGGGAAAGATGCCCAGGGTTTTGCTATGTCATATGTTATTCGAAAATGACGATGGGAAAGCAAAAACTTGGAATTTCAACGGAAGCCGACATCATTTTTCTCCAAAAATATCACACTTTCGTGCCTGAAATATTATAACTTTTTTGCTATTAAGCATTTTCCTGAAGAAGTGAAAGGGGGCATCTTACCCCACAGGGTGGGAAAGACACCCCCTGACGTTGGGAAAGATGCCCCCTGCACTATAAGTGACATAAATGGGCACGTGAATCGCCTGAACGAATCAGTAGTCCCTTCGAGCCTGCAGTAGACACCAAACGTCATCATAAGGGTCCTCGAAAGTAGTCGTAAGGGGCTTCAGAGGTCATCGTTAGGGCCATCATAGTCCAGCGCGGCCAAACAAGCCTCCGTGGTGGCGTTCGGAGACCACTGTGGGGCTCTTATAGGTCTTCATGATGCTCGAGGGCCCTCGAGCCCATCGTGGGGTCCTCCGATGCCAGCGCGGCCCGTGGGGCCAACGTGAGAGCCCTCAAAGGATGTCGTGAGGGGCCCTGGAGCCAATAATGGGGCCCACAGAGGCCGTCGTGAGGGCTCTCAGAGTCAGATGCCGCCCAAAAAGTCGCTATGTGGGCCGAGAGACCGGCATGGGGAGCACCCGACCGTACTGGACTCTCAATAGTCCCAGATCGGCTTTTGTCTACATCACAAGTATGTAATAAACGATTTGACGGGCTGTTTGAAGGACAGCCTACGGATTTAGGGGGGGGGGCGTCTTTCCCCATCAGGACAGGGGGCATCTTACCCCAAGGTACCGAAGTAACATTAAATCAGTACAATTTGTTAGCCATAAAACTACACCCTGAAACAAACTGTTTGGGACACAGTACACGCATGCTAATGTATCACGACTATAGCAAGGGACGCAAAAATTATTTACCTTCCTTGATATTTACAATGTTCTGACACCAAAATATTTTTTGAAAACAGCAAATAAAAAACATGCAATCATCAGCCAGCCGTTGCCCAACTGAGCTTCGCAATTTTTTGTGCAGTTAACAAGGCGGGGGACCATCAAAGCGTCCAAAACCGCAGCATCCAAAGTACGCAACATCCAAAACCGCAGCGTCCAAAGTACGCAACGTCCAAAATACGTCCAAAATCGGGTTTATAGGGGGCATTCACAAAGTCCAAAACCGAAACATCCAAAACCGCAACGTCAAAAAACGTATCATCCAAAAACGCAACATCCAAGGACGCATCATCCAAAGTACGCAGCATCCAAAGTACGCAACATCCAAAGTACGCAACATCCAAAACCGTTAGGTTAGGTTAGGCTAGGTTAGGTTAGGTTTCCTTATCCCCGGTAGGCATAAGTCAGTAGGTTAGGTTAGGTTAGGTTAGGTTAGGTTAGGTTAGGTTAGGTTGGGTTAGGGATAGGCAAAAATCAGTAGGTTAGGTTAGGTTAGGTTAGGTTAGGTTAGGTTAGGTTAGGTTGGTTTTGGATGTTGCGTGCCTTGGATGTCGTGGTCTTGGACGTTGTGGTTTTGGAGGTTACGTACTTTGGATGTTGCGTCTTTGGATGTTGCGTTTTTTGGATGATACGTTTTTGGACGTTGCGGTTTTGGATGTTTCGGTTTTGGACTTTGTGATTGCCCCCTATAAACCCGATTTTGGACGTATTTTGGACGTTGCGTACTTTGGACGCTGCGGTTTTGGATGTTGCGTACTTTGGGTGCTGCGGTCTTGGACGCTTTGATACGGACCCAACAAGGCAGGCTTCCGCTTTACGCTAAGAACATTAATCTCCAGGTCCGATTCTTTGTTTCGCCGCTAGAGGGGGTTGTTTCGCCGCTAGAGGCGTCTTTCCCACCCTGGGCATCTTACCCCACTCTCCCCTATGCCCGATGATTACGACACTGGTTTTTTCTGGTCACCATGGAGCACAGTCCTTCACCGAAAAAGTGTCAGCATCATGACATCGTGCCGCCCAATTTTGTCACAGCGGTCCATTCTGTGTCGGACTCTTTCCGTCCTGCTGCGTGGAAGGGGTGAAACTGTGTCGGCTCGGCCGGCCCGTGGGCGGCCACCCGGGACTCCGGGGCTGTCCCCGGCGCGCCGGCCCACTGATCAGCTCGGCGCGACACCACCGCCATCGGTTCCATCACGGTCCGGAGAAAACTCGGCCACCACCCTATGGGCCAGCGCGCCGGAAAACTGCCGCAGCCCGGCCGACAATGGGCCCACGGCCCGAGAAAGTGGCCCGCCTGATGGCTGATTGTGGTTGATTCGGGCCTGGATACGCAGCGGGAGCGGCGGCAGGTGTCCGGTGTCCTATTAAAGCACTTGTCCGCGTCATTAAAGGACCAATTTTCCCCAGGTGAACACAGACTCCGAGCTGGCAGATGGGCGGAGATCGCATTTAGGACACGGTGATGCTGTGTAGTACCACAGATCGGGATTATCCGCACTGTCTAATGAGTTCCGGCCGTCACGCCCTGTGATTTGCTTACCTGACCGCTTCAGATAGCCTTTAGAGAGTGTGTAATGACATCGTTATTCCTCCCGTCCTTTATCTGACGATAAAGTCGAACAACAGAGAAGCTGTTGTTCAGCATCGTAATAAGCTAACAAGTAGGTAGCGGCTGTTCCGCGTGGCGATGTGATTTAGTCGCCATTATAAGCTGTTCGCACTTAGCAGTTCACTGTCAGCACTAGAAGGGGCTCCAAAAACATTGCATGCACACGGGTGTTAACTTAAACGCAGCTACAAAAAGGAAGTGACAGTGGCTGAACAAAGGGCCGCTGGTGGGCGCCACTTCCAGCGGCTGGGGCCGGTTTGGTTACGGCTCCCCGGGATGCACGAGGCGGGGGCGGCTCGGCAGCCCAGCCTTGACGCGGCCGGCCGGCCGGCCCGCGGCTGCCGCGGAGATGTTTGTTGTTGCGCCGGCAGCGCGGCTGCGGTACAGCGTGTTTATCGTCTTATGGTGCTGCCCCAGCCGGCGAGAACGGGTCACAGCACACAGCGGGAGTGCATTGAGTCGGGAGCCATACAGCCACCGGGCGTCTAAGGTTAAAGGGACCCTCCCACCTTAACATTAGATTTGAGTTGAGATAGCCAAATTGGTGGCCATGGCCTGAAAATACCGGTTTGGGCACTCACAACATCGAAAAATGCTTTAATTCGGAGATATCGAATTTCAAACTTGCAGTTTTCGGATTCTAAGGGGCTAATGCATTGGTATGCCCCCTTAGAATTTGTGACGTCAGCGGAGATCTAACGATTTTAAATCTTTTACTAAAACGTTTGGTAGCACGCGGTGGTATATGCTGCTTTGCGCGCAACAAATGCCGCACTTTCAAATAAAGTCGCTAGGAACAGCGGAGATCCCAAAAAGTAAACAAAAGTAAAAGTCTAATATCTTGAAAACCGGTGAATATTTTTCGATGAAATTTGGTAGATATTCGTTTTTGCTCTTTCTGAACCGAGCGACATTACTTTCATGCCAATTCATTAACTTTTTTGAAGGTGGGAGGGTCCCTTTAAATAGAAATGAGGAGCTCTCCGATCGAGAAGGGATTATTGCCATTGGTTTGCTTGCTTGTATAAATATTTTACCACAATTATGTCACAAACCCTAACAATCGTGAATTTTATCTGTCTGGGGGAGATACCCGCTTTACATGTGCTCCCTACCAAACCCTCATCGTAATTACTTCACTCGTCTCCATTGTAACGTTAGTTAATAGTCTCTTTCTGGCTGTCCCGGCACAACCATGCTGCTACTGTAACGCTTGAGTTTCGTTTCTTCTTCTCCTCATCTCCTCTCAGTCTTTCTTCTGTCTCTCTTTTCCCTCCCTTCCTCTCTCCCACTACGCCGTTAATTCGTCGGCCGGTGGCGCTCTTCTCCTATTCCGGGAAAGCCGGCGGGCGGCGAGGCGCGCTCGGCCTTGGTGGACTGAGCGGAGGTTTTTACCGGAGTCCGGTAGTGCCGCTGGTCCTGAGACTCAGCTCGACTCGGCAACCGACGGCATCTCTGAACAAACACGAGGCGCCTTTATGACGATTGTGGTCGTACGTCTGTCTGTGATGGCACAAAAACTGACTGTGTTATGTAAAATCAAATCAGACGGGAACGACCGGGCAAGGTCGCGGTCGAAAGGGGACGACCTATCATTACTGTCCGAGCGGCAGCGCGCCGCTGACAAAACAGCTCATTGTGGCTGATTCCAAGGATGGGTGATAACCGCATCCTCGATTCCCTTTCACAAAGGGTGGCGGACGGTGAGCGGGGGTGTCATTTTATCACTGGCAGCGTGAATCGTTGGGTGCCGACATACCGCCGGGAGGACCTAACCAGGTGAAGAGGTATGGGACGTGAGACGCCCGATTCCAGGGAGCCCGAGTCATCTTTATCAAATTAGACATTTTATAGTGGGTAACAGTGAGGATCGCAATACTTCCTCTGGCAGTCGGACGAAGTCGAGAGAGAATTGAAACCACAGCTTTCGCTTGCCTAAAATAAATGACGTCTTCGCGAAACGGCGCCCAGGTGAACCATTCATCACGGTATGTCAGGTGCGCATATTTTCTCGTGAAACTGATACAGGCAGGTGGTTCTGAATTCTGATATGGGCAGCGCAGGTGGTTGAGGGTACGGAAACGACCATTGTTTTCGGTCATTCCTTGAACACTCTCTCTTGACTGCATTACCTACAGGCGTTTTGTGACAGTGACACCGTCCGTGATTCATGGTGAGGTATCCCGCCCGTCTTCCCTTCAACACCATCCGTGCCGTCCCTGCAGTATGCTGCAATTTATTTGCCTATGCCTAGATTCCATCTCCCTTTCAGGGAAAACAGCGCAGTTCATGTTGAAGTCGGCATGCCTTCACAGCTGACTGCAGGCATTTCCTGACGACATATCTGATAGCGTGGGGAAGACATGCCGAGTGTGGCTGAGAGCTAACGCCTAACCCACTGCACCAGGGGGCCGCGTTGAAATAAACCGCTTCATACCATACATAGGTACTACACGGCTGCCGGCTGCGGTGTCAAGTTTGATAGTCTGATGCATAACAACACCTTCCAGAGAAGAAAGAACACCGATTATAATTCATGATTTTGACACATTCCCTTTCTATAAGTGCCTCGTTTAATTCTAACAGTTTTATGAAAAGCCATGCGGTCATTCTCAGTTTTGTCGCTTCTTACCTCATTCCGATGCACCTCGCGTTGCGCGGTGCATTGCGCAAACCCATTTCAACTTCCAGCATTTCGTGCTCCACCCTGTCCAGTGTCCATCCCGTCCCTTCCCATGCCCTCCCTCCTCGTCCTTTATCCCATCTCATCCCCCGCTGTACACTCACGCTGCCGAGGACGACGGGCAGGAACTCGTTGTAGGTGATGTGCTGCAGCTCGGCGCCCACCACACGGCGCGCCTCCTGGAACAGCTGCTCGTCGGTCCAGTGGCGGTTCATCTCGGCCAGCGCCAGCGCTGTGAGCACGGCAGACCGGTGTCAGACCGGGGAGAGCTGCGGTGGGGAGCCGCTCGGTCCTGCAGACCACCGGCACGGAGTCGGCCGGCGGGGTACGTTATATAACAGGCACTTTCTTTCAATGACGTTTTCACAACAAAGCGTACTTTTGATGGGCAGACAAAGATTTATGGAAATGCCATTGCTGTTCAAGTACATATTCAAAACAAATATTTCCTATAATAGCTATCTACCGACACCATTTTGCCTACCTAATTGGCAACAAGCCTAATCCCGGACGGACCTCATAGGTGCGAACCAGTGCCTACCTAGCCCCTAGCTTGAATTCGGTTGTTTGGAAAAGGGCAGACGAACGTTGAGTAATCTGATATTAAAACAAACAAGACTTTTCATCCACTACTGTGTAGCGTCGTAGAATCCGTAATACCAAAAGACAGTGACTTGACTGTGGTTAGTGGGCAGCAACCAAACCGCGATGGCCAAACACAGACAAGGTTTTATAGCTGGGCTTGTTCTGGCGTCAGCAATAAATGTCGGTTTTGAGAAGTCACTGCAGTCATGTCTGACCCGTCATGGAGCTTTGATAATAATCTTAGTCGTTCATGTATAACTGGTTCTTCAATCAATGATATGTAATGAACAAAATGAATGTCTTTGAAGGCTTGAAGCAAGTCTGGCATTGAAGCATTTTGCTTATTCCTTCCAACTTCAATCTCATGACCAATCTGCAGCTGATTCCAGTGAACGGCACCCGACCCACTTCCGTGATAGAGCTGACCGCGGAGCCATTTCCTGGCACCGAGCGGCGACCTGAGGCGGATCGCCGCGCCGTTTTACCCGGCCGGCCGCGCTGGCGGCGTGCAACTCGATCTTATCTCTGCCCATAGATCGCTGTGACGTGGTCCTGGCGGCTGGGTCAGGGTCTGTCGGTACGTTACGGGACGCACCCTGCCACCCGGCACGGCCGTCTCCCTCTGCTCCTCTCCACTCCCCCGGTGCGGAGATTCACCGGCCGAGAGTGGCCTTCCCGCGTGGGGAGGGGAGGAGGGGCGGCTACTTGCTAGCCACCAGCCGGTGGGGGGGGGAGGGGAGGAGAGGGACACTAACCAATGACGGACCCTTCAGCGGTCCTGCCGGTTACCAGTAAGCCAACAGCATCCTGACACTTCTCCCGAGCAGTTTGCAGCACATCTTCACAGTGATCACCCGTGGTCACAAACAAGCTAGCTGGACTCTGAGTGGATAAAGTAGCGCTTTTGCTGTGTGTGATAGAAGTAAATCCAGCTGATAAATCACTTGTCAAGATCCTAAATAGAAGCCCTTCGGACGGTGGCCTTGAAAGGTGGAGAGGATGTCCAGTTGTCCTTGGAGACGCGCGGGATTGGCTCTGTTAAATTTGTTTGATTCAATAAGACATACTGTAGCTCTTCAATTCATCTGTATTGATATCCCATTTACGCAGCTTTTAAGCATCGAGTGTAGGAAGTGACGAGAAGTGGGCTGACTGCAAACTGCCCGCGCATGAATAATGTCCGTCTGGCCATGCTGGCCTTGGACCACACCGCGCACGATCCCGTACCTTCGTCACGTACTCGACGATACATCACCGAGCGGCGGAGATCGCCACAGAGATACTGCAGAATACCGCATGAATTAAACGGAGACATATAATCGGGTACGGTCCATAGGCACGCACCGCCGTCATGCCGACACAGATAAGGTGATGATCCTTCAGATTAGTGGGCTCGAGGAGTGTTCAGCTCGTAAGCCCATCCCATTGCCAAGAAACCACGAGTGTGCTGGTCTGTGGCGTGCCATTTATAGGTCGCCCGCTGCACTGTCTAGTGTCTGACGTGTGTGCACTGACAGGAACCCCGCTGGGTGGGTTCACGCTGTCTCTTACTAATGTGAACAATGCATCGCATAGCTGACGGGGGAATGGCCTAGAGATAAACGTTTTCTCATTTCTTTGCTAGCCTTGAAACTGGAAGCGTCGGTCCTTGCCGAACCGGACTTCAAATTTTGGTATAAACCAACTGCCAATTGAATACCTTACAGTGTACGTGCCGCTCTGATTTTTGGAGAACGAAACGTACCTTTGACATCCAGGGGGACTGGGGACAATATAATAATCAGTTCAGGCTGCTGCCGTCCGGCGGAGTGCATTTGACAGCGTTACGGCGGCTGCTCTGGTGCAAGTGCGGCAGTTTTACTCACCAACTCGGTTGTGCTCGCGGGCGAACAGGGTGTGCATGGTGGCCAGGGCGGCGTGCTCATTCACTCGCACATCTCCGGAGCGGAAGCAGCTGTCGACAGAATGGGACACGGTCAGTGTGAGGGGATCTAAACGTGCATAAAACTTGCATAAAACGTTCATAGTCTCATAAATTCAGCTGTCATGTCGAGTACTTTGAAAGCAGGAACAAGTTCATATCATCTTCATATCACGACCATAGCTGTTGTTGACGGATTAATTTATTTGCGCCTGTTGATCGCAGCGTGATTCACCTCACTCACCTGATTTCTAGATTAATGACACATATGACACATATTTGAGATAGTTCATACTAGCTAGTTGCAATGAAACTTGTAAAGCACTGCCACTTATCGTCGGTATTGCCGACTTTTCGCGGTAAATATGAACCGTGGCACGTTCCGCTGAGGAATGCGATTTGAAGAAACCGCTCCATTGTGCCGCAGTCACGTATTAAATGTTTGTGGCGAGCTCGGTCCTAGCATGCTGTCACTCATTTTTGCTCACTGGCAATGTTTGACGCTCACGAACTAGGTGCAGATGGCATGCATTCCACCCTTCCCAGTCTCCATTTTTGGAAGCGTAAGCTCATTCAGCCCTGGTAGCATGAAGATAATGACTGAACCTCTACGAAATGACACGGTTAATGGCCGTTCTACTTGTCTATATATGGAATTCCAAAGACCTACCCACCATAAATAAAGGTAGACAAAGTAGCGCAAAGTCGGCTATTGTGGTAACAAACGACTTCATGTTGGTACTTTCTGTAGGGAAATACCTATGTATCCTGATCGAGAGGTACAGTTACTGCTCATTCTGGAGGTGTTTTACACTGAAGCTGAGAGTGCGGCCGGCTGCGCTCGGGTGCAGCAGGGGCCCATCTCCTGGCTCCCCTCACCTGAGGGACGGGTGCGCCTTGCAGTCGAGCTGGGTGGGGTCGGCCGACAGTAGGCCCTTGGACCCGGATGGGCCCTGCTGCATCTTCAGCTGGCCCTTCTTGAACTGGCGGATCTCGTCGTTCTCCTCCTTGCTGCTGCCGTAGATGACCGATCCGTCCAGGAACGAGGTCACCTGGTTGATCTGCTCGCGGGGTCCTGGTGACAGGGACAGGGGACGGTGCCGTCACGGCCGGGCCGACCACAGAGCCGGCCGATCGGCCACGGTTGGCCAATGGCTCCGTGATGACACCGGGCGGTCGCCGGCGGCACCACCACGGTGCTGTCTCTATCGGCCGCGGACGGGGAGGGGCAGCCGGGGCCGAGGGAGAGGCGGCGGAATGACAATGGTGCCGCTTCGTGCCGCGGCCTCGACGGCAGCCCGGCGCCGAGACGACTGCCCCGGGCGAGATACTCGCATAGGGAACAACGCTGCGTGATAGCGGCACATGCTCCGCTGCAGTCTCGGGATGTCTTTACATGCACCGCTGCAGTCTCTCGGATATCTTTACACGTCACAATGCAGTCTCCCGTTTGTCCGTAACCAAGTCCGTAACAGGCTCCGTGCTGTAGTATACCTACATACAGTACACACAGCACCTGTAACTCTTAATTTTCCCCTGCGGGGCAGGGATGTTATCGGTGGAGCTAAGGTCATGTATTGTTGCGTGCTGCGTTGCAGTTTTCAATGACGTTTTGAGGATGACAAATTGTGGCCGTCATCAGGTCCCTATGCCGAATGTGCAATCAATTAGCTTCAGTGTCTGGTGCTTCTAAAGACTATTCCACTGTCCAGTTTGGAAGATGTTTGGCGGGAGTACAAAGAATAAGATCAAAGTTTCCGGTCCATCCCTTACGAATAGGAGTACGCGGTATGCATAGTAGAGCACTTCACGGATAGGCTTTTCAGGATCCGGCCCGGCCCATATCCGGCAAGTCATATCCAGATCCGCCCATTATCCATCTTTCTTTGAATTTCCAAATCCGGCCCGCCCATGGCCCGTATCTCAGCCATACATCCAAAAAATATCCATAATCATCCATTTAATCAAAAACCGGTTGTGAGACTATCAGCATATCGCCATAAGATTCAAACTTTGGACACTAAGAGGCTATCAAATTGTAATAACAGCAATCTTAGCCACTGCAAAATACATTTTGTGGTATAAGCTGCATTGCTAAGGGTAGGGGTAACACATGGACCTTAGCACTTCATAAGGTTGGCTATCATTATAATTGTCGAGAATCTACTGTGGTCTATAAAAGGAAGAGCACTCATTCATATAGCAAAACCACAAACAATTAGTAAGTCAAATGGTAGGTAATAGGTATAATACAATTAATAAATAAATGTTCATGAAATTGACAACATTCTATATGGGAAAAGGCAGAATCAAAACACCACAAAACACATTGTTTGGAAACTAGCCTTGGGATGTGGTCTGAGAAGGTATCTTGGTCTGAGATAGGTACTCTACAAAGAAGTTGACACTGAAGACACAGCTGAAAAGGTAGGTATTAAATAGCCCTGAGCCTGACTTTGGTCCCAAAATGAAATAAAAATAAGTTAAACCAGACGACAACAATACACAGACAAAATTGACGATAGTGGCGCAAAAAAGCAAGCAAGGATTGACTTTTTAAGATCCGCTCTCCCTTGATGAAATAGGTAAGCTGATGACGTAATATCGATTCGATTACCCTTTAAGTTGAATTTCGGAGCAGGAAATAAATTTCTTGGCGTGATTTACACTGAAAATGTCAATTACATAATAATTTGATGTCATGTTGAATCATTTTTGTTTAAAAAAAATCATCCACGAGGCATTGCGTTAAGTTAAAACCTTTTTTTGCAGCGTTTTACTCAGCTGGTTAAAAGCATCTGTTATGGCGCATCTGTTTCGAAACCGGTGTTTAGTGATAGTGGGCTGTTTTAGACAGGCTATTCGGTGCCCACATCATAGATACTTGGAGATTGATAACCTTAGGGGTGTTCACGGGCACCGCACACTGCTGCGTGCGCTGTGTGCGGTGCGTCCAGCAGGCGTGGGGGTAGGGGATGGGTAGGCGGTTCTGACGTCACGGCTGCGTGCGGTGGACGGTCCGCTGTGGCCAGTCCCGACCGGCCACAGCGATCGCTGTGTGCGGTGACGGAAGGCTGACGTAGGGACGCAGTGGGCGTAGCTTGGAGGCTGTGTGCGGTCCGACCGCACACAGGGCCCGTGAACAGCCCTCTTCTTGTGTCTGTTCCTGCCTGGAAGATTGAAAAATTCAAGAGAAGGCGTTATCGTTTTTATACATATTATATGGTGACTGTTCTCAGGACAAGTGAGTTATTAACACATATTTTTACATGATTCGTATCTTATTCAGCAACCAGCGAGCCATGGCGGATAGGATGCCACCCCTTGGTTGGAAAAAGAAATGTGACGCCTGCTTTACGACTACCATTTTATGTTGTGACCTATATTTAAAAAAAAAATGGTTGGTGCTGCCACATACCTTACAGACTATCATGACTCACATAGGTATGCTTAGAAATTTCATGTAAATCAATTAATACTTCTGCTGCTGCTTAACAAGTTAAGTTAATTCTTGACGCGAATGTTGAATGCTACAATTTTATCCGTTCTGATCCGTGTTCAACATTCAATTCCCAAATCCGGCCCGCCCAGATCCGTTCTATTTTTCCAAATTTGGGATCCAATCCTATCCGGTCCACGGATTTATCCGTGGATAACGGATTTATCCGGCCCATGAAGTGCTCTAATGCATAGGTATGCACATTATTAATGCATGAAGACAGAATAGTGAGGCAGAGTCAAGGCATCAGAGAGGACAAAGACATATGGAAAAGGTCGTGTGGGCAAGAGGATAGAGAGAGAGAGAGAGAGAGAGAGAGAGAGAGAGAGAGAGAGAGAGAGAGAGAGAGAGAGAGAGAGAGAGAGAGAGAGAGAGAAAGAGAGAGAGAGAGAGAGAGAGAGAGAGAGAGAGAGAGAGAGAGAGAGAGAGAAGAAGAGAGTGGGAGAGAGTGCGTGTGACTGTGTCGCCGGCGGCGGCGGAGTCACCGGCACTGCGGTCACGGAATAGCGCCCCTCGGCCGCCGCCGCTGGCAGGTTGCGATAAACCAATCATTGTCCAAGTGAAGCGGAACGGAAGCGACGGCGGCGGTGCCGTAACCGTGCCGCCGCATCACCTCCCAATTAGGGGGGTGTGTGGGAGCGGCCGGTGATTGGGCTGCCACGGTCACCGGGCGGCCGCCACGGGCCGGTGACGCTCTCTATGAACTGGCCGCCGTCCTATAGCAGCGCTGAGTTATGTGCCCCGGATTCATCCTGGGACGGTGATTATGTGCAGCCGGCGTGCGTCCATCATGTGTTCGACTTCAGATGACAGATATTTGAATGTGCCGGTCGCGGCTCGGTTACTCTGACGGATTACTTTTACGATGCATGACTGAGCTTAGCCGATATCCACTATCGAGATAATGTGCGCCTCTACGACGACCTACATATGCTTAATTAAAATTACCCGGGAAATTTAGTACAGATTAGGACATTGATAAACAGACCATTTATCGTCTATGACAAAAAGCTAAAAGCTTAGTATTGGAGACAGGAGATAAAATTAAAGTATGTACCAATTGAATGCATGGTGGGGATTTTGATCAGTATCTCTCACTGAGAGAAATGAGACTCCAGCACGCTGACCAGCGTCCTGTTTATGGGCTCGAGACACGCACGTTTCTCACGTAATGTAGATTCTGGGCATCCAGTGTAGATAAGGCTCTGTGTTTCTATGACGTGTGGACAGGTGACTCTGACATGGGGTGACGTGACGTAACTGTCACCTGGTGACGTACCGAGCGTGCAGCCGGTGCGGGGCGCCACCCCGGAGCGCACGTACTCCTGGCAGCGCTGCTTCAGCCGCCCGTAGAACGGGTCGTTCTCCGAGATCAGGATCGGGTAGCACTCCGGGTGGAAGTTGGCCAGCTCCACGTCGCAGCACTTCAGACGCTGACCGATGAAACCTGTCGGCAGGGCCGAGGTGAGAGTTGACCTCAGGTCAGCGGGTCAGGGCGCGCCTCGGAGGTCACGACCGAAATGGGCATGCGGCTTGGGCATGTGCTCAGGCTTGAAAACAGTGTTTTTCTGTAGGAAAAACATGATTGCTGATTAACAACGCTGTCTTCGGTAAGTTAAAGTGGGAAGATGAGACTCGAATGGTTCCAAAGCATCCTTGACAGCCTTGATATAACACTCGGCAGGGTACTTAGTTTGCTGTTTATCATATGATTACCATAATGCCGTAATCGAGGCGGTGCACATTAGTGGCAGCATAAACACTGAAAATTGCCCCCTCCAGGCTCGAGTTGGTATGATTGTGCCTTGTTATACTGTTGGTAAATAGGATTGGAAGGTGCCGTGAATCGGGAGGCGGCCGTATCAAATACCGGGCGGCACGTCACGGTTGCGCCACGGGCCGGGCGGCGATCGGTCGACGCGCGGCGGTTCCCACGCCGACTGACGCAACGCGCCTCCACAAACCGGGTGGCCGCGCGCCACGAAACCGGCGTCCGCGTCCCCAGCGCCGCGCTCGTAAAGCCGCCGGCATATTCATGCCTCGGTGTGACATTGTCTGCATACAGTGCGTGATGTATCCATCGCGGCCTGTGACACGGACAAGCGGCCAAACCGAAACGGCACCGCAGATGAGGTGTTGACATCTCGGCCGCGGCAGCCGTCACCCGCGATACGGCCGCATTTCCCTGCGGCGCCCCGATGTGCTCTGAATTTAGACCAACCGTGGCCATGTGAAAACGAAACCAAACTGCGCGTGCATTAGGTAATTTCATAAGCGTGCACACATTTTCCCAATCAAATTGTATTGCAATTTTAAGACCTCTTGATGGTTGTCCAGTAGGTGTGTTTATGCGTGTGTGCTAAAACATGTTCACATCACGGCAGTCAACCTTCGCAGTAACTGCCAAGCATGGGCCTTTACGATCTCAATGAAGTTAAGACGATTTAGTAAGCCACCTAACCTGTTAAACTTCTCGGACATTCTACGCATTTCACAGCCGGTGGAATTTTCCTAACACCTGATAAGTGCAATAATGTTTCAATCCAAGCGAGCCTTGCAAACGGGTTAATTATGGCTTTAAATAGTGGACGAAGTCCCTTTATACTAAGATAGGTAACTATATCTTTCAAGTTTCAGCCGCGCTGACTGAGAAAAGTTAATGGACCGTTTTCAAGTATTTGCTGTCTATTGAATTCGTTGTTTATCTTATTTGTTTTATTTACCTATTTGTTGTCTAAATTCATGTCTTACTTCAATCACTGGTAGCTCGATCCATCGGATAATGATCGGACCCAATCAGTCAGCGACTTTCGGTTTTTAGTCAAAAATCAAAACCAGCCTGATACGACATGACTAGAAACTCCTGGTCCTAGCTATTCATCCGACTCCTCTCCCCACCCAGTTGGTCCTGATGTGACCTCTGACCTGACCCGCCCAGCGGGACTGACCTGCCATCTGCGGCGTGTGCGAGAGGTCGTGGTAGATGAACTCGCCGAAGACGGCCGCCATCACGTTCATGTGCCGGTGGGTGGTCTTGCCGTCGCGGTGGACGGCCAGCGTGACCGAGCGGGCCGACGGCAGGAACTGGCCGCTGCGTGCCTGGCGCGGCACGGAGATACCTGGCGGAGACACACAGGAAGGTTAGAATGGAGGCGGAGACACGGGAGGTTAGAACTGGCCGCTGCGCGCCTGGCGCGGCACGGAGATACCTGGCGGAGACACACAGGGAGGTTAGAATAGTGGAGCCACAGGAGGCAAAGGTAGGTCGCTTGGGCCTGGCGCGGCACGGAGATGCCTGGCGGAGACACGCGGTGACTAGTGATATAAAAATAGCGTGGCACAGGGGACTGCAGTTAAAACGGTGGAGACACATGAGACGTTAGAATGTCGAAGATGCGTGACAGAGACACCAGAGGAGACATGTGACTTGGTTAATTGTTCATTATAGATAATTCCATCCTGCTTAGGTGTGATGTTAAAAAAAAAAACTACTCAAAAGCATATCAGTACCTAACTAATGAAGAAGCGTACAAGCTAGACGTATATTACGCGGGACAACGCTCACTCCGAGGCCAGGGGGTCACAGGAGACGCATTAAGCATGTGTCACGCATTCATCGCCAGATTAATGAGGTCACTACCGAGACATTTGGGGGAGAGGTCAAACGCTGCAAAGACCGGTCATAGGCGGCACGAACAATGATTCAGAACGCACGATCTCGTGCGACCGATAATTGATAAACGAACGCGGATGAATGGGTGCGTCGCGCGGACCACACTTAGGCTAAAAACAATCAGCTTTCAAACACCATTGTCCATGATAGATAATGGACGCATTGTGGTATGCTGTGCGACATTTAAAAAGGCTTCTTTATTACAGACGATTGTTTTTTTTTGTACCTAGATTGATATTAATCTGCTGCCAACAGGGATGCGGAGCCGGAGCCGGAGCCGGAGCCGCCGGAGCCGGCATATTTTGCCCGGAGCCGGAGCCGGAGCCGTGAAACAATATAGCCCGGAGCCGGAGCCGGAGCCGGAGCCGGAGCCGCCAAAAAAGGGGGCGACTCCGGCTCCTTTTTATTTTTTGAAGAGGAAAAAATAATTGACCTAGTTCGGTTTGACAGTACAAGGCAGTAAAACATATCGTACTATTGGTCTCAATATAAGTGCCCAGGCGACCTGTAGTTTTGATGCGGTGAATACCCTCACCCTCGCCACAATGCGAGTGGGGGTGGCGCTGGCTGGGAGGAGGGGTGCACTCGGCCCGAGTTGTGGCGAGGGTAAGGGTATTCACCGCATCAAAACTACAGGTCGCCTGGGCCCTTATCTTGAGACCAATAGTACGTCATGGGCCATCAAGTGAATGAAAAAGCCGAATATCCCCAGTATCCCACAGTACACAATCAACTTCCTGTCTGCTCCTCCCCCCCCCCCTCACGTCTACTGCATCCCCAGAACATGAGGACCGGTCATCAGGTGACGGCCATTGTTTTGAAGCCAGTGCAGTGGACTGAGACTCCCAGCACCGTCTCTTCCCACCCCCCACCCCACCCCCCAATGCAGCCTAGATGGGTGTCAGCTTACGATGGTTCAGTGAACTCCGATTCGCGGCGACTGAGTTTCCAATGCCATCGCTTCCTAGTCCTTTGTTCTGCCAGTTCTCTCCGAGGTGCGTTTGCGCGGGGACGCGGTGAGCCGGTCATGGCAAGAGTAGGTAATGCGTATAACCAATCCAATTTTTCTTCCACCCGTATTTAATTGATTGCATAGGGGATGTACTGAGTCGGAGCCGGAGCCGCCGGAGCCGGAGCCGCCGGAGCCGCCGGAGCCGGACCATTTTACTCGGAGCCGGAGCCGGAGCCGGAGCCGCCATAACATTTCACCCGGAGCCGGAGCCGGAGCCGGAGCCGATTTTTTTCTCCGGAGCCGGAGCCGGAGCCGGAGCCGTTTGAAATTTCCACGGCTCCGCATCCCTGGCTGCCAAGTATGTACCTATACAAGAAGGTAAGAAAATCACAAAAATAACGCATTTGATATCGAGATTTGACTGATCGATTGAGTTTCTTGATGTGCTTCTCAATACACGGGGTATTAATGTTTTTTTTTTTTAATTATCATTAAGTACTCGTACTACGATGCGTCACTTTTGTGCCGATACAGTTTTTTAATGTTGGAACTATGTGTTTGGAACGCTTACATCATGTAAGGTACCGTATTGCCTTTTCCGTTAGTTCTTGTCTTGTTGATTTGATCAGAGCCCATTACAAGTGATCGCTACAGTGCATTGGCTGTGCTATTGAAAGGGAGTTTTTCAGTCGCTCTGCTACATATTCCACCCACTCTGTATGACGAAGTGGCTTTTCATAACGGAGCTATCTGATCGGCGGCGTCGAGCGCCGATGAAGCCGTTTCTGCTCGCCGACCGAGCTTTTTCTCAACTCGAAACCGGACCAACGTGGAACTGTGGATCTTATAACCCTTTCATCTAATGAATTGGATTTTCTGATTATCTAGCAGACTGCCTGGCTAAAGCTCCGTCATCCACTGCTCCCTCAGCTTATTGTTCCATTAGCTGACGGCTGCCGAGAGTCGATGCACGTAGGTACCTCTCCGTCGCTGGGGAGTGGGGAGCAGCGGCCAGCGCTGATACGATCCCCCATCCCGTGATCCGACACACACAGTGGCTGCCGACGGAGTTGAGCCTGGCTGCCGACACCGCGCTCCGGCCCGTGACGTCACCGCCGGCCGTGGGAGGGCAGTGAGTCGGGCCGGGCCGATATGGGCGGACCGGTCCGCGGGGCGGTGGGCGCTCCAACCGGCTCCACACATCTCCAGCGGCCGTCCGTTCGTCTCCGTCCGTCCGTTTAGGTAGCTCTATCCGCCCGTCCCATCAGTCCGCGTTTCTGTATTCTTGCAAATGTCTTTCGCCCCAGCTTCTGCAGGGTGCTCCCGCCTGTTCCGACCGTCTCTTCATCCGTTCGTCGTCTATGCGACTGCTTTGCTCTCTTCATAAGCCCATCTCCTTGTCTCAGCACGTTTTCTGACTATGTCAGTCCTATGATGGCGGCTTCCTCCTGCTAAGCCAGTCAAGTTGTTCAGAGAGGTGGCCAGTTCACCTCCCGGCGCCGGACGCCACTGGGCGCCGGTCTGACCGGGCCACCCAGTGCCGTAGCAACATACTGCCTCCACTCAGCGTGGCAGGAGTCCTGGCAGGCACCGCTGGAGAGCGCCATTATCCGTTGCGACACCCACGCCTCGATGGCCCGGCAAGGTCGCATTTGCATTTTGTAATTATTTTCTCGTTTTGAAAGGCCGTCGCGCACGCCCGCCGCCGTTCTCATGTTTGGGAGTGGTTTTGATCACGATTTTTCCGTTCACTGGCCGTATGCGTCTCGATTTGCCAAGGTCGTGTCTACAGCGCGCGCACAGCCGTTTGGTCCTGTTTTGTGGAAACTCTCGCGAGATTACCATTTGGAGTTCATCAGGTTAACGAGAGTCGTTCTCCCGACGTCGCTCGCCGTGTATGACCCAGTTGGATTACCGCTGGACGGCGGGGTCAGCTGCATAGCTTCACGGTCTCCGGGGCGATGAAGTCAATTTCGCAACCGTGTCCGTTTATCTGTCTGTGTGGCTATCGCTCGGTTGGACTCGCCACAGGGATGGGAGACCTTAAAACGCCGCCAGAATGGACGGCAGCTCTGCCGGAGTACGTACAGGTGCAGTCAAAGAGCCGGCGGAATGGCCGGACGAGCGGACGGAATGGCCGGCTGAGAGACTGGAATGGGCGGCTGATGACCGTTCATGGACGGTGGCGGGGCGGACTAAACTGTCTGACCGCCACCGACCGGTCTGGCCGCATCTGACGTCAGCTGAGTCACAGGGGCCGACCCTGGAACCTGCACCGCGCCTCAGACTGCAATTGGTCCCCGTTACCGCCCGAAACTCCGCAGCCGAAATTCAGTTAATTGACGTGTTTAGCTCATCGACCCGGTCGTCATGCGATATATGTAGAACGTGACAGTCAAGCAGAGTTGTCTGACCCCCATGCACTTTTCGGAGCGCCGACCGTCAGCTTTTATTCGCTGAGCTCCTGCTTTTAGCAAGGCTTCAAAACTACACACACAGAATTCACGAATAGTACTTGATCTCTGACCACTAGCAAATTTCAGTCCGCTCAAATTCACAAGATTATAGCCTAAATCCAACCCACCACTTCTGTCTTTTAACTTCGCCATTGCTTTCTGTTATCTGCATCCAACGATTCTTTGCTCGGCTAGGCATTTTCAGGTTAGGCATACTTGGACTATGCATCATCTACTTCAGCAACTATATGGACCAGACCCATCCATGAAGTTGTTGCCGTCACCGGCTGGCCGTCGGCGGTCGGTTCGGTCGGCCTTCCTCGGTCACGCCGGGTCGGTCGTGCGCCGTCACGGGCGCTCCGTGATCGGTCCACGGCCGGCCGGCAGAGCCGTGACGCCGGACGTGATGTTCGGTCACGACCCGGCGCCTCGCAGCATCTGAATGGGTCCACATCTGAACCAACCACGACATAGAAAAGCAGGCGCTCAGCAGCTGTGATAGAGTTCGGCACAAACTGCTAAAATATGTCGTTCAAATGTCACCATCGTGGGGACCCTGGGCGGCTCTCCACACTTGTCCCGACTGGTCTCTCCAATAGGACCAGCACTCGATGGTGATTGATGTTACCCGTCCACCGATCGCTCACGCCCGGCTGTCCCTCGTGGGCTAATGCAGCGCTCTGGGGAGGGAGCCGCGGCCGCGTGCCGGCGCCCAGGGCCGTTCGGAACGATATCGGGCCAGACCGACTCCGGTTCCGGCCGACAATGGCCGGACGCTGCCCTTCGGTGCCGCTAAAGGCTCGTTTAGATTTGGCACAATACCCGCTCCCGGCCACTCAGTGAGTAAGCACGACCGGTAAAAACGCCGGCCGATGCATCACTTGGCAGCGGAGCCAAGGTCCGCCGCCGCGAATCGGATCAACTTCCCGTCTAAATCCGTTCGCGGAGGCAGACAGCAGACGGGCTGGCCCGGACCGCGGAGGGCCTGAGGTGTCACCGAGTATCCCTGTGCGCTGTGACAATGACTGGCGGTTTTGGTACTCACCGTCCGATCCATAGGCGGCCGGCAGGAAGCGCAGGTAGCGGGTGTTGGAGTTGCCCCACTTGGGGTTCTGCACGTTGTTGCAGTAGCCGTTGAAGGCGCGGTACTTGCGCGGCTGGCAGGGGAAGTCGACCTCGACGGGGCAGGAGTCGCCGAGCACGGTGCCGCGCACGTCAGCGGTGGGCAGTCCGTAGGTGATCTGGTCCTTGTCCAGCTTGTGCCTGCGGGAGAACGGGTGAGAACGGCCAAGGTAAGTCGCCGGTGATCAGGAAACGGAGCCGGGCGGTCTGACGGGATGTATTGTAACGGTGTAAGATGGTGGGCTGCATATATAGGAAGTACCTTAATTGCACCTTGCCGTAATTTACATACAGGAAGATCGTATCCTGAAGGTCGCAGAGATGAACTTCAGGAAATGTATGGCATTCATGCTTTAAATTAAGTCGCAGTAAAGCGTTCATAAATCATGCTGATGAAAATCCTTGTCATGGTTCTGTTTTTATTTTATAACTTATAATTCGAGCGCTTTTTTGAGTCACTGACATATCTGAAGCACTATTCATTGATCGCGAGACAGCCAGGGCCATAGTAATGGTCTCGAGGTCGGCCTGGACCAAGAATGTGCCGGGAGGGTGGAGATGTTTTGTGTACGATTGAGGTCGGTTTTCGAGGTGAAATGGCCTCTCCTCGAGACAGGCACGCTGTGAACGCCGAGTCACGGTACCGGGGTTGAGGGCGACGGCTTATTAGTATCACTGGAAGACTGTGGAATGCACTTCACCTGGAAGATGAGGTTACGCTCTGATGCGGGAGGGCGGACGGATCAATAGAACAACCAGCAGAGGCACAGGACGGAATTTTATTACATAGATTACACGTATGGCCAGGGGCCGTATTCACGTCGATCATTTTCGTAAGAATTTTCTTAAGTTTGACCTACTTCTTAAGTAAATTTTTTTAATCACGTGAACTCCGTCGATAAAAACTTAAGAAGTGTCGACGTGAATACCAAATTATACTTACGAAAGAAAATCGACTTACGAAGTCGACGTGAATACGGCCCCTGATATCATATGTGTAATTCGTTTGTATACGTATAATAATCCTATGACATTAGTTCATTTTTATTTTCCTCTTATCGACCCCACTTCTTCATTTATGTCATATAAATTAGAGATTTTTGCTTTCTTCTCAAATTGATTGATGCACTGAAGCGAACGGAGAGCTTACATTTAAAGTCTTTACATTTTTATCTTGATCATGAACAGTTGAAAAGTTTCCCTTATTATTAAACTTCAACGTAGTCTTTTCTTGATGACATTGCCTGGCCGCAGAACGAACGGGCTGATATGCCGGCGTTGAGGTCACAGAGGCGATTTCAATGAGGACCATTATTCTGCAATCAGATGCGCTATGGGATCCAGCGCCGCTTGTGACCGGGCAGTAAATTATCCGGTGTCATGCCCCTGCTGAGTTCACTATCTCATCTACCCATGTTTCTTCCTCTGACAAGGTTACAGCTGGTCCGATTCACGCCTCGCACGTCATTAATTCTGCACATGCATATGAGAGCAGCCACGACGCAAGGTGAAACGGTACTCTTTTGTAGTTATTTTTACTTATCGACAATGGTAGAAAGTCTCACACCGTAGAATAATGGTCGGCGAGCCATGCCATTAAAAAAATTATCACCGTCTTTCGGATCGCTCGATGCAAACACTTGATGCAACATAATGATGCAACCAACCCATATTTGTTAATCATGCCCTCGATTGCGCACCATCTTCGGCCATAAAAATTGAATTAAATTTTGTTACGCGAATTATATAGGGGAAGCCGGGGGAAGCCCGGCATAGTAAGCTCTTTTTCATTTTTATTACATACCATACGTGCTGTATAAAATGTTGATATCCTGTTAGCTAGCTAAGTTCATTGGCCGTGTTTTCCCAAAAATTCGGTTTCGTGGAATAAGTATAAGGTTGAGAAAATCGAGTTTTAAAAAAGTGTTGATTTTTCTGGGGTAAGCACGGCATAGGGGTAACGCCGGCCACCTCCCAAGCGCTTTACAACGAGTTGATGAAACCATTATGTGTCTTCCAAACATTAACGGAAAGTGAAATATTAAGGTACTGATTAGCTCTGGACATCTTAGAGTTTATGTCACTACTGGTATTTTAGCTAGGGTCTACCACATATACCGTACAGGTCGATGAAAATCGTGATGCAAAGTTGACAAAAAATGTGTATTTCAAAATTCCTGAAAATTTATTTTTCTTTTTACCTTAATGCATCATATTGCATATCATTCGACTCGGCTGATGAAGAAGAACACAACGACACCATTTTTGAAGCTCTAGCTTCATTGTCTGTCGCGTTATCTGCAAAAACGTAGTTTGACCCTAGTTGACCTTAAGTGACATGACTGGCTTTGTCTATGATAACATGTTTATTTTCGAAATTTATCTTTGATCTAGGTGTAAACCAATCCTGCTCAGTACCTATTATCTCATGGAAAACAGTGGTTTAGTGGCATTGCTCTCGGTTGGGGGTAAGCTTGGCCACTCGCCCGGGGTTACCCCAATGTGCTAATTTTTATTTTAGAGCAGCGATATTCGAAAAAATGTCATACTTAAGCCAGCCTGCCTCGTCACCCCTCACTACAAACACTTAAACGGTCCTTACATAACATTCGTATAAATATTAGTACTGTATGGTATAACATTAACAGTGCAACATATCTCACTTTTTAGCTAAAAACCCTTAAAATATCATTTTTGCGCTATAACTTTAACAATATGCAATTTTTGTTAGCCTCAACTTTTTGCTGGCGTTACCTTAGCTGCCACGCTGAAATGACAAACAGTTGAGCATTTTATTGTGAATAATTTAGCCGGAAACGGGGTGGCCGGGCTTCCCCCGCGCCCGGGCTTCCCCCGGCTTCCCCTAACAAAATTGAATGCGTGATACGAACCAATACAATGGTGCGCTTTGGATATTTCTTTTTTCAGCCCAGCGCAGCAGTACCGGCTTCACACAGTGATCGTCCTGCTTCCTCCGTGCTCCGCCATACTGCAGAGCCCTGCGACCACCGTGCCGTGAGGCTCGCTCTGTCCGTCAGGCCGGGGCCGTCCGTATCATCACGTGCTGACCGACGGCAGCTGACCCGAGGACAGCCATAGGATGTACCGGCCGGCCTTGCCCCCGTCGACGGACAGCCATCTCTTGATCTCCGTCTCTCCGGCGGTGGACGATAGCACGGTGAGTACGAGAGTGACCCAGGGGATGCGGGAATTCCCTGCCCCGAAACAGGACGGGACGGGATAAATAACTATGTAACTGACTGACAGTGTCAGTTACAGATATAGATACAGATATATGACACTGACTGTCAGTGTCATATATCAGAGTGAGATCATATGGACTGTTTCTTTAGTGTATTTATGTATATGTGTTGTACCTCCTTGAAATGCCTGTCATTTGCTGTATTTGCAGTCTGGACCGGCAGCCGTGCTCCAGTCACATTGCTTTCGTGTTTTCTGCCATCTCGGCTGATTCGCCCGAGCTGCTGTCCGTTTATGACCCAGCTCCCACCGGAGCTTTCCTTTGGGGCCGCCCGGGGCTGAGCAGGCTAAACTCGCCGCTATTTAGCCGCGCCTCCGAGAGGCCAAATTACATCAACAGCTCTGCAGTTGGTGCTCGTATTTACGGCTGCACGGCGGGTCGACCTGGCGGTGTCGAGGTCAGAGCGCTCCGGCCGTCCCAGATCGGTCGGCGGCGCGCGCTCAAGGTGCACAGGTCGCGGCTGGGGCGCCGGCAGCTCGCGGCCCGAATACCTGACACGGCTCGGTAAGCGGAGACAAACTCTGAGCGGCGGCAAAACACGGCGAGCGCGGCGCGGCGCGGCGGCAAAAACGGCCGGGGGACGTCTCCGGCTAACGGCGCCGTCCGTCAGCCGACACCGCGGCCCCGCCGGCGGCGGGGAGGGGGAGGGGGGCTAAGAGAGCCGATCATCCGCACTCCGCGGGGTATGGCGGGGCTGTTCCGAGCCGACGAAGCTCCCCTCCGGTGAGAGAGGCGGAGCCATGAGATCGCTGGACGATGCGTAGCGGGAGAGGGGTGAGAGACGCAAAAAGGTGTCATGAGTGGAACTGGACGTGACCGCCGCTGGAGATGAAGAGATGGCTGTGCGGCGGCGAGACAAGGCCGGCCGGTGCATACATCCTACTCGGCTGTCCTCGGGTACACCGGGACGCTACCGTTGGCCAGCACGTGATGTCACGGACGGCCTGCCAGGACAGAGGGTGCCGTGGCCTACGGCACCGTGCTCGTGCTCAGCGGGCTCGGTATATACTTGCCTACATGTGGAATAGAGAAGTGCCATTTCGCCACTTTGAAAATGACGTTTAGCAGTTTATTGCAACCAATTGTATGTAAAGTGCGATCAGCGATAGATCCGAGCATCGTTTGCTCTTTATAACTCAACTCAAATGTAACTCAATGTTATGTTATGTAACCCAAAGTTTGTTTCAACGGTTCAACGGTTGAAGCCGTGGAATTTTGATTTTGTTTTCTATTGTGTTTTATAGATCTAGTAAAATAATCGTCAAACATTAGAAAACATGAAGCAAAGTGTCACAATCAAACTTAAAATTACATATAAAAAGTAAACGATGCTCGGATCTATAGTGGATCACAGGTTGTCGAATGTTATATAACATGTCGGGATATTTCAGTATGTGGTAAGTTTGTTTAGGCCGTTTAAAAGAAACTGGGTTCAGTTTTTTTCTCGTTATCGTCCGTTAAATGGCAAGGGTCACTCACATCGTCCTGATAAGAAGGGACACTGGGCAGTTTTGTCTAGTCAGCGAAACTGAACGCCAGGGAGAGGTTTGTAAGCACTCAGCTCCCGGAACCCGGTATCACGGCGGTCGTAAGACTCGCCGACGGCGCCACTTCTTTAGAGGCCGAGGAAGTGGGAAGACATTAACCAAGTTGTGTGCTCAGAAACGGAGCGATTCACCACCGAGGTGTGCCTGTCACTCTCGGATGATCGATACTCCAAGGCGAGTCGCGCTGCTCGGTGGGGGACTGGTGTCTGTCGTCCGAGAATAAATCCGCGGCCAAGGAGGCGGCCGTCTCATCACTCGAGACCGCGCTGTCGAAGGCATCCGACGCAGCCGGGAGCTTACCGGAGCCCTGAGGCCGGCATCTGACCACCGCCCGGACGGTAGTCGGCTCTGAGACGGCATCCAGCCGGGTGGCAGCCACCGGCTGTCACCTGCTGTCGGCTTTGTCCGCCTCGCTGCGGCGGGAGAGGCTCGCCCAGTCTCGGCGACACCAAGGCCACGGCGGCGGCAATCTGTTGTCGAACTGCGGACCGCCGTACAGCGTTGCGAATTCCGGCTCAAGGGTAGTGGCAGCGAGTGGCCAGCGTCGTCATTGCGCGCCTGTCGCGCTGGGGCAATGTCGCCGCGAACCAACATCTGGCGCCCCGCGCCGGCCGGTCCATTTACGAAACGTGCGCCGGCGCGGCCGACAGCTGTGGCCGGTTCGGCCCACTGACCCAGCCGGCCGGGAGAGGAGTGTCCTCCATTACCGCTGCAGAGGCCGTACAAATCATCTCTGCACTGCGCCGGCTGCCTTCAGGACTGTTTCTCAATGGAAGGCGCGGGCGGGGCGGGCGGGGCGAGCCGGCAGGGCGGGAGCCCCCGGACGCGCCCGCCCGCCCGCCCGCCGGGTCCCGCCGCCCGGGGCGTGCCATGTCACGGCCGCGCTGCGCCGCAATCGCCACAATGGCCGAGCGCCGCTCCAAGGCCGCCAAATCGAAGAAAGCCGCGTCTGCAAGAGCGCGCGGATGCAGGGTGGTGCTCTCTGGGTACGAGGGCCGGGCGGTGTTACGTCACATTGGCCGGTGCCTCGGCAGGCCGGGGAGGGCCGTGCCAGGGGCAGAGGCCGACCGGACACCCTCATTAGGGGAGTCGACATCTGGGGCAGTGCGGCGGAGGTCAGCGCGTGACATTGAACTGGTCATCCCGCCGCCACTGACACGACCGGCCGAGATGTGACAATTACGGAGGCGGCGCCGGGAGTGTGGGGCGACACGACTTCCAGCTACAAATGGGTCATACGACAACAGTCAACGGAACTGGCTCAATTTTGAGAGTTTAATTATTAGGACACAACTAATGTGACGATGCTTAACTTATTCTCCTAGACCCGTCCGAATCTATCTCCAAAAGAATTACAATCATGGAATTATTCTGAATCGGCCAAATAGGCAAACATGTAAGGGTCGCGAATCTAACATGTAGTGACCGATCGTGTGATCAATATTATTTGAATAGTGATGGCAAGGAGTATTGACCGCTGAAACTATAAAAGATCGCGCGATTGTGCGCGATAATGACAAACATAGTTATACGATTTAGCTTCATCGGCGATATACCTAAATACGGAGCAATATTATGCATAGGTATATAAATGTTTTTCGCTGGTGGACGAAAATGGAAATCCTATTAGGCCAAATTGCTAGATTAGCACACTCGATTCTCAGTTCTCACGTACCTAATTTAGGAGTACGTTTGATTGCACATCTGACCCATCTAATGAATCTATGAACCCAGGGCGATTTTATGAAGTTGGCGCTGACCGAAATTGGGACGGACGAATAATTGTGATCGGAAATATTTCGTAACTCAATGCCGGTCTTTGTGCAGTTGTGCGTACCCCTCTGACGCTGTCGGATCGCACAAACAGCGAATGGGTCCACTTGTCTTCTGCGATGGTTTAGGCTGCTGGCTGGCTCCCGCACTAACCGACCGTGGGGTAATACAGAGGCAGATGGTGTCAACAAAGGGCCCACCGTGCACGCTGGCTGAAAATAGCGTCATGTGGAGCCGCCACACATAAATCGCACCATAGGAACAAAGGGTTGGCTGAGTGCCTTACTCGATAGCAAGCTCCCGACGGTACTTCGGTATGTAAGATGTCGGTCTTCTGAACCTTCTAGCTGCAAGTTGAACTAAAGGGACGTCTTCACATTTCGCCGATCATTTTTTGTAAGCATTTGCTCCATGCTTAATTGCTTTGCTTTTTTTAGGTACGGAAGGAGGTGTTGATACCGGTACCGTACAAATTGTGGAACTCGAAACGTAAACGGGTCAATACAGAAATTTGAGTCACATCTTATAATCTTTCCTCGTTACTGTTGAAGTTGGTTATATTTAGGTTCTTTATCTAAGTTTTCGATATCTCACCTTTTTACGGATATCGCTGCTTTTGCCAATTAACAATCAAATACTGGATAAGGAGACACGATAGCAAGTGTTTCTAGATCTTGACTTACTTTTCGGCGAGGTGTTTGGTGGCCTCCTCGGCGATGTAGGCGATGCGGGAGATGTTCTTGGCGACCACCTTGATCTTGTGCGAGGCAGCCATGAACCAGGCGGGCGTTCCGGGCACCAGCCGCGATCCTGGAAACGGGCACACCGCGACGGGTCATGACCCGGCGCAGTCGGCGGGGGAGGGGGGGGGGGCACCACTCCCGCAGAGTAGAGCCAGCCATACCCGGCGCAGTCGGCGGGGGGGGAGGGGGGGGGGGGCACCACTCCCGCGGAGTAGAGCCAGCCATACCCGGCGTAGTCGGCGGGGGGGGAGGGGCACCACTCCAGCGGAGTAGAGCCAGCCATACCCGGCGCCGTGGGCGCGGGGAGGGGCTGGATGCCACCCTCGGGGAGCACCACTCGGTGTAGTCAGCGGGATGGGGACCAACGTCAGAGAGAGGCACTCGGCGCAGTCGGTGGGGAGGAGAGTCAATCTCGCGGAAGAGAGACCGTGAGCCCGCGGAGAGCCGACGACGACCCATCGCGCTAGTCTGCGGTGAGGGCACATAGCGAACGATGTCTGGCTCAAGAAACGATGCATGCCCAAGAATGTCAACGACCCAGAGATGGTGTGAAAGTTCGTTAGGGAGAGTCGTGCAAGAAACTAACGCCAAGGGAAACTATAGGCCTTTGTTCTGAAAAGCATGGTATCGGCGCCCTCCCGTCGTAAAAGTTTATTATTAGATTTGGTCCTAGCTTTACATATACTGAGTCTCAACTGGTTCAGATGAATAATTAGGCCACCGTCATACATGCATTGCAAATCTGGGCTGAAATGGGGCATATCAGCAGTATCAGAGCTGGCCAGCCCTAGGGGAGGCTCCGCCCGGTCTCCCACGGCCCGTGCGGCCCAGGTGCGAGAGCTCGCCTTACTGATACGGGCGGGTTACTTTGGTTTTATATCGCAATTAGAGGCGCGCGGGCGCGGGTGCTGAGTTATGGGGTCAGCAGGAGCCTCTCCGGCAGCTGGCAATGGTTATATGTGATTAAAACAGGTCACCGGGGTCCATTGAGACGCTGGCCAGCAGGTCCCGGTCATTTGCATTCTGCGCTGACCGCCCCTCCCAGTTCCCACGGCCCGAGTACACGTCCGAATCTCCGACCCCGTGTCTGGTAGCGCCGAGCAATTTTCATATCTCCGAGATCATCAAATCAGAGCAGGTGCCCTGATTTGGCCACACGGGGCGCGGTAAAGGACCGCTCTGTGGGTAGCGACGACAGCCGCTGCCGCCTGCAAGGCTGCCAGCTAAGTGGCTCCTGACGTCCGGCGATACCGAATGGCTCTCCATGGCGGTAATCGGTGCCGGCCAAGGTCGGGAATCACCGTCCGCGCTCAGTCGGCCGGCCGGGACGCCGCCGCGCCGCCGCCCCCGCGTTGTGCAACCGACGCTCCAAATAATTGTGTTGGTATCGGCCGTGCAGCGGCTGTAACCCAGTTGCGGCACGGCGCGCGGGGCCGCCGTGATCGCGGCGCGTCCGATCCCAGCGGCGGCGGAGGGCGCCGCGCCTGCCGAGCCGCCAGCCGCGCTCAGCCACCCCGCCGGCAGTCGGCAGACGGCTCTGGAGCCGGTCCGGGCGGCCTTGCTGCCGACGGCGCGGCGGCCAGGGCTGCTGCTCGGCAGATGAGCCCGTCTGCCTCCGAGCGGGGGTCGGCCGCGCTGTCCCCCAGCCGCTGGCCGGCCGCGCTGTCCCCCAGCCGCTGGCCGGCCGCGCTGTCCCCCAGCCGCTGGCCGGCCGTGCTGCTCGGCCCAGCCGCTGACCGGCCGTGCTGTCCCCCAGCCGCTGGCCGGCCGTGCTGCTCGGCCCAGCCGCTGACCGGCCGCGCTGTCCCCCAGCCGCTGACCGGCCGCGCTGTCCCCCAGCCGCTGGCCGGCCGCGCTGTCCCCCAGCCGCTGGTCGGCCGCGCTGTCCCCCAGCCGCTGGCCGGCCGCGCTGTCCCCCAGCCGCTGGCCGGCCGCGCTGTCCCCCAGCCGCTGGCCGGCCGCGCTGTCCCCCAGCCGCTGACCGGCCGCGCTGTCCCCCAGCCGCTGGCCGGCCGCGCTGTCCCCCAGCCGCTGGCCGGCCGTGCTGCTGGGACCAGCCGCGCCAGCCGCCCGTTACCGCCGCGCCGGACCGAGTGGCTGGACCGCAGTCTGTCCGTCTGACGAGCAGTGCGGTGGGGTGGCGGAATTTGGGGGCGCGAATCCCCACGGGACGGCTGTCGCCGGCCCGACAGCCCGCCGGCTCAGCTCGGAGACGAGCCGCCGGGGACGGTGAAAGTACCGCTGAGCCGCCGGACCGACCGCAGATGTTCCCGGCGCGGCGCCGTCACCACGGCCCGAGAGCCGTCAATAACGCCCGAGAGCTGGCCACTTGCAACTAACGGCACGAACTGAAGAGTCGGGTGAAGGAAAAACAACACGGCGATGAGTTGGACAACATTGCCGCTGGCCTAAACGTGCCATTTGTCGATTAAGTTTTCCGCTCAAGTCACGAACAAGTTCATTGAAATGCTGCACGTAACTAGTTTAATGGCGCACTAACTCGTGCATTCACTACAAGCAGGCAATTCGGCTGTAGACATAAATAAGGAACAGGCATGCTCCATGGGACGAATTCAATGTCTCGTTTAAGGGAAATAACAATTTGGATCAGTGAGGGCGACGCCCACTGGGCCTTGAATTGCACGTTTGTTCGAGATGAAGTACCTAACTTGGACGCCCGCGGCTGCAGAGCCGCACACAGGTGTAATACGTTACGCGGAGCATTAACCCGCTCCGTCCGGCGACTCGATGGTCTGTTATCCCCCCCCCCCCCCCGAGTAACAGGGAGTGGGCCGACCCGCCAAGGCTGGCCGCACCGCCATACAACGCCCCTCTCACGTGTGGGGTGGTGCCAAGAGCGGGACGTTCCACCGACCATCGCGGACCGGATCCTCCCCCATCACCCCTCCCCCCTCAAACCGCACGGGCGCCTGACCCGCCCGTCCTCTCACGTATACCGCTATCATTCCGCAGACAATGCTCAGGTTCGTGACTGCGATGGCAGCGCCGGCAATGCTAGAGTAGTTACATCATGGAAGGTTTTTGATGATAGACGGATGACTGTGCAGGTTTTTCTGTCCAGCTCAACGTTGCTGACATTAGCTTATAAGTGGGCACTGACTGGCACCGTTCTGTGAACTGGCTGGACAGGCACGGTAAACACTTTTTTATTCTTGTTTTTGGAATCCCATTATGGATTAAAAACGAAATTATAACAGCATGCGACCTGACAGATATGAGATGCGCTTCTGTTGCAACGAACCGTCCACAGATAGACGATGCCATTTGATCAAGGTACAACTGCTATCAAAAATATAAAAATTAACGTTCAGTCATGTGCTGAATGCTGAAATGAAAAGCGTACTGAAACGACAGTCACCACCCGTCATCATCAGGCCGTCAGCATGGTAACGGCCTTGGGAGGAATCTCCGAACGCATGCCGCCTACTAAATAAAACATCTCATGGCTCACCCCAAATCGCACGGTGTCGGCGCCCGCCTACCGGTGCCGCCGGGCCAAGAGAGCCAGGTTTCGAGTGTCTGGGCCCGGAGCGCGGGCACTCCATCTCTCCCCCCCCCCCCGACCTCCCACCAGCCGGAGTCGAAACCATCAATTTTACGGCCCGCTTCATGGCGGGCGTTTTCACACTGAAATCCGAACAATGGGAGGCCCACGCACCATTGGACGTTGTGTCGATATATAACGAGAACTGATTGTTCTGTGGTGTGGTGGTGAGACCGATGATAACTTAATCGGCCGTCGAAGCTGTTATTGTTCGGAAATCGATCGGTTTCGTGCGTCGCTAGAGTAGAGCTGCTGTGTAATCTTACCCACGATTTCAATTGTATTCACTTTCCAATAAGTGCATCCGACGGACACAGATGGATGGCAATTTAGACGATATGTACTTGATGTGTGATACATCACCAAAATTTTGAAACACGTTCGGGTCTTTTGCGCCGAATGTCAGGTGCGTGCTTAGCCACCGTTATATGCGAGCTCACCTTCACCACTAACATCTCTCTCCTCGTAAATTCCTTGTTATTCATTAAACATAGCTCACGGCTTACGGTTATTTCACTGCACAACATGGATCGCAAATAAAAAGTTTGTGAAAAAGACGCCGGATGTCAGCCTCCGGCAGATTTAATGGCTTCAACCCACCATCCCCTCTACATGACCGTCGCTAAAACTCACCCCGCCATGGGACCCTATGCTGAGGCCCACCGCTGAGGTATGTACAGACGACCCAACCCCTCTTTGACGTACCGCTGTTGTAGATGGCCGGCTCGATGACGTCGAAGCGCTGGTCGACGGCGGCCACGGCGTCGGCCACGTCCCGGGAGAGCTCGCGGAACGAGATGTGCGGCATGGTGAACCGCGGCCCGGCCGGGATCGGCGGGATCTCGACGGCCGGCCGGAGCGGCCCGGTGCGCACCGCCTGCCGCTTGTGCAGCCGCACAGACTTGCCTGCGGGGAGAGCACGTTCCAATGGTCAGACAGCTGCAGAGGGTCAAGCAAGAGAGTCGACGTCATTCTTAACCCTAAATGCACTTATACCTAATTTGTGTTTGCAATGTAGGTACGAGTAGTGTCTCTGCTTGTGGTGGTAGATTAATTTGATTTTAACGGTACGTCTTTTAAATAAAGTTACAAAATATAATTATAAAATGTGAGACAGCTGAGTTGAGATGTCCAGCGGCGATCTACCGGCAGATGTTTCATCAATCGGGGTTTTCATGTTTTGAAGTTTGAATACATTGTGGAGCGCGGTGACGCGGTGACCGATATTTTCTCTGGTCGATTACACGGACATGCCCGAGTGACGGTAGCCTGTGGCCGTGGCCAGGCCGCTGTGACCGGCCATTTCGGTCAGTGGACATATCTCACAATCACAGACGAGCGAAATCATTGTGGCAGCCAGTGACACTTGAGGCATGCATATGCGCATTGCTTTGGCCGGTCATGCTGACCAAAAACTACATTGGGCACAGCCGACCCAGGGACGCACACGGCGCATTGGAGCAAACCATCACACCGCACACATGTCATGCTGGGAGAATACCGACAAGGCCGTGAGAATAAATGCATCACAACGGGCGTGAAGCGGTTGACCCTTTCACTCCTTCGCCACTGATTCATCTCCAATTCCACCAGCCCTACGGAGTCCGACGAACAGGAAGGTTGATGACTTACCCGAGTCGATGACGACTCTGCCAGCTTCTCCGACGTCCACCAGGTCGATGGCAGTCACCGTTGACACGGCGGCCAGCAGCAGCAGCGGCGCCAGGTACCGGCATCCTCGCCTGCGGCGTCACACCAGTCAGTCAGTGGCGGCCTCATCAGTCACCGTAACATCAGTCGGCCGGACGTCAGACACGTGCCACAGTCACGGCAGACCGTCACGTAACGGTCGTGACGCACCAACAATGGACGCGTTGCCGGAGCGGAACGCTGCTGTGACACCTCAGCCGGATGCTTTCCTCGGCTTTCCCTTTTGTTTGTTCCGGCATTCGCTGCGCCCGGTCTCCCTATAATATCTGAGATGGTTTTCCCGACACGGCGTGCATTGAACAGCTTACTGGTATGCTTTTAGCGGTAATTTTTGGAGTTCTGTCAGCATGAGGAAGCCGCTGAATTTGCGGAACGTTTCTGGTGATTCGTTCGGGCGCAGGACGGACTCTGACTTTACGGGTAGATTGCAGTGTGAAATGCGGCGGCGCAGTGCAGTTTGCCAATTCTGATGACACTTGGGCAAGTGACAACAAGCTCAGTACCGAATACGAATCGGTCAACGGGTACCGAGGTCACGTGACTCCCAGTCTGGAGTCTGCACCAAGGTCACATGGAGCTGGGGTGTCGCCTGACCGGTCCTGCAGGCCGCACGGATGGAGAGCCATAGGCAAGAGACCATCTGCTGATGCGAGGAACTCACAGTTGGCGGTGATACCAAAATTTTCACAAGAACATACGAGGCTCAAGGCTCAAGCCCAAGGCTCAAGCCCAGATAGATACGATGGCCAAGAAAAAAAAAATGTATCTAGGACGAGCCGATATAATTTGGTCCTTATATTTGTGTGCTATATTTTTCAGGTAACACGCTTAAGAGGTGCATTAAAAGCGCAAGTAAAGCAATTTTTTCGTCACTTCATGGTTTTAAATGAATATGAGAACGTTCTTCAATTACGTAGCCCCAGCCTTGTGTAAACGGAAATACAATACCAGTTAGGCAGTTTCAAATAATGTATGTCATAAGCACGCTTACTAATTGAGAATGAAGTGACATGCCCAAAAGCCATAACGTCTTACCTGGCTTTAATTAACTTTCCGAACAATGTGTAGAGTACGTTGGTGGATTTTCGCTTAAAGACTCATTAAACGTTAATTTAACAGTGAACACAAAGCGTACTCGCACAGCTCTAAATTAGGGAACACTTCACACGACAGCCAGCGAACCATGACAAGCAGTCTCGGCATCACTTTCAGAGTTTCGACAATCCATTAGTAATGTAAAGTGGCTTCAGTACATTAGCTTGAGTGATAATCATAGAATAATGTCATGCCTACGGAGGCACAATTATTAGGTTATAATATACGATACTGGTCAATAATAATCAGTTTTGTTTCAGTGTGCACCCTAGTGATTCCGAAATAGCAGCTCGCCCTCACCTAGTTAAGCTCATGCAGCGATGCATAAAGTATTAACAACAGAATGGCAATATATCAGAGCGTTGTTACTTCATTCCTGAAGATAGTTTATGGCAGATAATTGCGCAGAAATAATGCGGCACATAAGCGTGACGACATCAGCCGTCCGGTGGGTGTGCCGATTTAAGCTCGGAGGCCATCGTCCGGCCGTATCTGAGAGCTAACTAATCGTCCCTCTGTCTCGCTACTGCTGAATTGGGGCGCCCGGTTCCGAGTCACTGACTCTCTCCGGGGGAGGAGTCGGAGTCGGTCGAGCGAGAGGACCGGCTGTGCCTCTTCCCGGACAGGCTGGTGGCTGGTGACGGTGACTATAAACGGGTCAGCTGACGTCTCGGCGCCACTGAGCCGTGACCAGGCGCATCGCAGTACTTTCGCTCCTCAGTCCGGAGATAACCGGGGATGGCGGGCGTCGGTCAGATTGCATTGTATCGTAGGCACTTTGAGAACACTGCACATTATCGGCCAGGCGTATGTATGTGCTTGTGCAGCGTCCAATTACATATATCCAGTCTGGGGTTTGTGCATCTGATAGACCTCTAGCATGTAGTAACTTCTAGGCAGGAGTTAGGTATATACTGAGCTGCTGGCAATTGCTTGTCCTTGCACCATACCTATCACAATTAATCAATAATCCACTCGGGACAACACTTTGAAGTAAAAGGAAAACCGATAGCTAATTATCAGCTCACTAGCGCAGATGTGAGATAAGCCAGGAGACTACAATGTAGCACAGAAAGATGGCTCATGTGGATGTCGAGGGCAGGCCATGCAGCAGGGACCGGAGACTGCAGCATAGCACAGGAAACTATCGCAATGGAGTCTGGAAACTGCAGCGGTGCACAGGAAAATAACACCAGAGATAAACAGCAAAGGCACGGTGTCGCTGCTACTTCCCCGGATGAATGCAAGATCAGTGGAGTTCTGGAGAGCCAGTCTGACGAGGGAATGCTGTTATGAGCCAATGATATTTTTGCTTGGCGGATTTTCATCCAAAGGCAAAGCTCGAGCAAGGGAACCAACAGTTATCTCAGCTGTGCTTGAAGAGGGTGTTGAAGTTGATTTGGACTGGGTCGTTCATTCAATGTGAGTGACGGCGGACCGGTGCGTTACCGTCTCGCGTTTGATCCGCCCCAGCAGCCGGCGCCGGTGCGCCGGCCGGCCGGCCCTCCCAGGTCAGTGTGTCAGGGTGTCCAGCCGAGTGACGCGCCACGGCCCGCGCCGGCTGCTGTGACAGCCGTGACTCTCGACTCTCCGTGCCTCTCCCCTCTCTCTGCGGCGGGTCGGGTCACGACAGCCGATGTAGGCCGACCGGCCGCGTCCCACCGGTCACGGCTGTCTGGCCGCCGCGCCGCACAGAAGGGGCTCGTCCCGGCCCGGCTCAGCGGCAGCGGTGGACACCAGCCGTCTGTCCGGCTTTTGTTCCAGAGAGGGCCGGCACAATGCCGCTGCAGGGTCGAGCGAGAGACCTTGGCACTGTGCCTCCGACGCCCACCCCGGCTACAGTAAACAGATTAGAGCCGACGGTACAAATAGTCGGGCGGGAGGCCGCACATGAATCCCCGGCTCGGCCCGGGTCTCAGCGGAGCCCGCCGGGTCTTCAGCTCATATCTCCCTGTCCCCGGTCCGATGCTCCTCGGCTCCATGGATACATAACTTGCCGTGCCTAATGGCCTCACTAGTGCAGTCTATATGATACTTGTGTGATGCTGGGATCTACAAGAGGCCTGGAAGAGGCCGGTCACGTCAAGCAAATGCGATAGCGAGGTGCGAAAGAATTAAATGGTGGCTGGATACCTACTCAAACGTTGGATAAACCTTTAGATGTTGTGTTGATGTATATGTTGTATGGTTCCGGTTGTTTGCGTTTCTACATATATGAACGTTTGGTTTATTTAGCCAGGAACTAGCTCAAAGCGTTAAAAAATTCCATCAACTGCCTTGATGCCATGCCACGCAAGGCCGTAAAGCTTTTCTATGTCACTATTCATTGACTCTCCGTTCATTGCAATAGCTCGATTTGTGTCTTACTTACTTGTGCACTTTAAGTGATCAGACAGGCCTTAAAAAAATCGGACTTTAAACACTCACTAAACGTAATGAAGTCTAAACAGAATTGATTAGCAGAATAAAGACACCAGACGGCTTAGTGTAGGTCACCTACCTACCTAAGTATCTCCATTGATAAGTAAATCAAATCAAGTAAACCTTTCATTCGACTTAAAAAATAAATGGCATTTCGGTTGGTGCCGCCTGCTTACGAGCATACTCGTAAGTTTAGCTTCGGCTAACGGTAAGTTTCATAAACGATTCAGTTATCAATATATGTTACGCGTCAATATAATTTTAAATAAATATTTCACAAAAACGCTTGTTATATTTATGTTGTTCTAAGCCCGTAATCTACAGAGGTGATGAGTAAGTGGCGTGTCCCGAATCCTGACAGCCTATGGCGCACGTCACGGCACGCTCAAGCGGCACGTTCTGTGCTGTGCAGTGCGCTAATGAGGATGCAATGACGCAGTCCTTCGGGAAGGGAGATTGGGTGTACATAGGTGACGTGTCATGCCATGGGACGCAGTCACTCCACCTTCAAAAGATAGGATGCATTTACCTCATTAGCTGACGAACCTCTTGCTGAAGTGAAAATGGGAACCAAGGTGGGCGTTGCCCGCCACCAGTTTCACTCGGAAGAAAAGAGAGCATAGGTAGGCTGTGCCGCATTACACCAGAGACGTGCGGCGCAGTATTCTCGCAGCCGCCATGCGTCCATTGCCGTCTCATGGCCAAGGGTGTGATAGTGATAACGGTTGGGTTGGGTTCTCGGATCTTCCGCAAACTTAGCTTCGTGCCCTTTGTTCAGCTGTGGACAAATGACACCGCAATTTCTGCTCAGTTACGGCAGCACTGACCACGCCGGAAATTTCAGTTTGTATCACCTATGAGACCGGTTTGAGCCGCCACGGCGCCCTATGGACTCCTCGACGGCGCCCCTCGTCTCAGCTGTGCACGCCTCCCCGTGCACTAACGGCTCATTGGGAGTGCGGCCGACCCACCACGGCCTTGCGCACAGATTTTACCGCGAAGATGACTGGTTCCACGGTGTGAAGACGGGACTGCAACGCAGCGCGACGAACAATGGCATTTGACGTCTGACAGGCGAAACAACATCAATTATCGCTCACGTAGAGAGCTATTCGTACTATGCTTCACATAGCTAACCGGAGCAATCTATGCTCTGGAGGACTTCACCATCATTGTTTTGGAAAAATACGCAAGCAGGAAAATTGACTTTAGTATTCTCAATTCATAGAAATTTCAGCAGAATGTAACTTTTTACTCACTGGGGCCAGCAATACAAAACTTCTGAAGCGATCATAGGTGGAGAATTGTGACCAGCTGGGGGTGCTCGGGCGCAGCAAATCCGCCGCCGCCTAGCGGTGACCTTGACCCGCGCCGCCCGGCCGCGGCTCCAAAGCCAAGCCGGCGTGGCCGGCGTGGAATTGGGAGAGCTCGAGCACCCCCAGTCCAGCACAATTCTCCACCCGTGGAAGCGATGCTTGTTCTTCCCTGGCTCTAATGTGATGACACCCTGTCATACACTTCCCATTAGTAGTCATCCATCTAATATAAATAGTCGGTGCGTGAAAGCTGCTCAATCTTCCTCTCGTGGTGACCGGCGTCCGCCAAGACCACGCACCCGTGAACATCGACGCACTGCTCAGGTCCTATATCCTGTCTGTTACGCCCGCGCGGCTAAGACCGACCCACAAGCGTCAGCTGTACCAAGCCATTACCGATCGTTCCTCAGCGTCTTTTACGCAACGTGTTCCCAGAGGCTCTCCTGCTGGCGTGAAGAGCAATCGACTGTCTCTGTTCGCGCCGGCGTCTTTTCGACAATGAAAAAGCGACTCACAGAGCCAGAGTGCGAAACGGCTGGCTGCGCAACGTCGAGCCTACCAATAGCGTAACATGGTTTATAGTGGCAACATGTGCTAGAATAATTGTGTCGTGCGTGGCAACAGTCGTATCGATGGTCGTCGGAAAGAAGATAATAGCTGCAAATTATCTAAAGCTGATAACCATACATGGGTGCTATTGTCATGAGCTGCCATTCAAAGCGTTCCACGACAAATATTGCACATGTGTTACAAATAGGAAACGAAAATAAAACATTATGAATTATAAACGTTATTAAATTATATAACACTATAAACGTGATTAAAAACTAAAACGTTGATTGTGATTCCAGCAGGACTAAATATACATTATACAGCTGTATGTTATAAGCATGCCAATTATGACAAAAGGGAAAATATGTCGCCAGTCTTGAAAGCAAACAGACAATCGGTTGTTATAGGCATGCGTTTTCAAATATGATCACCAATGATTTGAATAGGTTTTAAGTCTGTATTTGCAATTGGCGTTTTATTTAATCAAGCTTTTAAATTTACAAAGGTAGCAGGTGGAATTGATCAGATAGCAGACACCTATATTAGGTACGATAGTCTTATGTCAAGTAAGGAACGTTTAAAAAAAATCCACCGTAATCAAGTTCTGACTTCTGAGGCATATTCGTTTTAGATTAATCATTTTAAAATATACCTAGGTATGCAAAATGTCCATATTGCCGATGGTATCATGCTAATTGAAACATTTAATAACTGGAGAAAATGCATATAAATGCATATAGCTTCTTTAAACTCTTTCGGGGTTTGGTCACCGATCAATACATATATCAATATAAATATCAATTTCGCACCTAAATATAAACTTCGTGGATTATCAAACTATGCATTACATCGTAATGCATTATAAGACACCTTTGTTCACGATATACCGTATACGGTGCACCTACAGACGGTGTATGCTACATCCGCATACGGTATACGATACGCCTTCACAAGGTATATTATATTTACATGCATGCAGACGTTATAAGGTACGCCTGCAGACGGCAGGCATATAAATCCACCTGCAGCCGGTACGTAATCCACCTGCAGCCGGTATGCAATACACCTGCAGCCGGTATGCAATACACCTGCAGACGGCATACGTTATGGTACGCTATGGTACGCCTTTAGGCTGTATACAGTCTATCTGAAGATGGTAACAGCTAGGGATAATTCAAGGACATTTTATCATTATGGTGAAGTACCTGCAACTGCAGATGACACGGTACGGTGCAGTATGACCATTGACCATGCGGTGCAATTGCAGATGGTACAGTCCACAGCAGAAGTAATGTGGGGTTTCAGACTTCAGTCATTGGTATGTTCTGCTTCTGAAGCTTAGGAACGATTAGCCAGACTACAGTGAAACTTTGAATGTAGCTTATGTGTATCGTCACCCTTGCAGCTGCAACTTTAGCTACTGACATCTTCTTTTCGATCACTCCGCATTAAACAATCGCCAGTCAAAGCCAACCGTTGAGATTGGTAAAACCCTACATTACTTTAGCGGTGGGCTGTACCTATATCGTACGATTGCAGATAAAATATACCTATGCCTACAGACGCCTTACAGTATACGACTATAGACAGCACTTGCGCCCTCAGACGTGGTACGGGCCTGCAGACGAAAGTAAGACGCCTGCATAGCTCCGGCTCTTAGCGCGTGCCGAATAAGCCGATCACGACACTGCGCTGTGAGGGCCGAGAGAAGTGCCCACGGTACCCGGCGGATAAACCATCCGAGTTCAATGTCAGCCGGTGCAAATGAAAGTAGTCGATGTTTGGCAACGCAGGCACACGTCTGATCACAGAGCCAGGGGAAGAATACAAATTTAGATGCAGTATTGCATCATCTGTAACGACCAAACTTTGATAGAGAACAAAAGTGGCAATACAAACATTGGCTTATCGCTCACGAACCACTGCTCCGTCACGATTCAACTTACCGCTCCGCCATCCCAGCTGCGTTTCTAGTGGCGACGTGCGCCACTGCGATCAGGAGTCTCGCGCTAGATCGGTCTCGCGTGTCTGCCACACTGTCCTCCGTCACGACACTGCCCGCTCGCTCTGCGCTGCGTGCGGCCCGACTGTCCGACGGCGAATGACTCGGCGGCGACTGGCGGCTACCACTGGAGAGTCTCGGCAGCCTCGCTTTCACCGGGCCGGCCTGGGTGGCGAGGCGAGCGACCCCCGGCGGCTGTCCCGGAGTCATCTGCCGGGCCGCAGCCGGCGCGGTTCGACCGGCCGCCGACAGGGGCGCCCCGGGCACCCAGCCGCCGTGGTAACATTACACCTGCGGACTGCTCCTGTGGTCGGGTTTCTTTTCTCGGGTACTGACCGAGGAGCAGTGTCGCCTGTCGGCACTCCATTTCGCTCGTAAACGGACTCTGTTTGGTGAAATGGTGACATATCATGGCAGTGTGATTAATTGCGCCGTTCCTCATATTTATATGTATCGGTATCTACCCGTTTTCCCACTGACACTACCATACGCTGCCGAGAGGGCTGCATCTGCCAATGCGTGCCGCCAGGACGGGTATACGCTACTGTACCTACACGTTAACTCAGTGGCAGATATGGGCTGGCGGACATGCCGACCGCTCTCCCCAGTCTGTTACTGCCCCCCCCCCCCCCCCCCCTCCTCAGCTGGGTGGATGTCTATCCCCGCCCTTGCCCCCTCCCCCCCCCCCCCCCCCAGGCTGGCGAGCCGTCCGTCGTCCGTCCGGGCTGGTGGCCGGGCCGGGCGTGGGTCGGGGCACTGCACTGCAGTGCCCGCCCTTTTCATCGCTCTCACTGTGCGCGGGCCATGGGGCTCCCTTCTCCTTGGAGATCATCGACCACACTCACATAGCTGAGGCCCGTGAAACGAGCTCGTTGGGGCTTCAACTTCCGTAGAGCTTTTCTGACATGGGCGAATGCAGGTCATTCGTGTCAATTAGCGATGCCTCATTTGGCAGTCAGTACGACGCTCTGCCTTTTCTTTTCCCGGTTCTTCATCCGTCTAGCTGTGATATTCGAAACGCATTTCTCTGCATCAACAATTAGGTGCAGCAATAAACCGTTCTTGACGATGCCAGATATTTGACAAGATGCAAGGTGCAATATGCACCTTTACTGTCCGGGGACAGCTTTATTACAACGCCATCGGCCATCCTAAATGCATAACTCGGGTACCAATAAGAGTCGGTTTGGACGAATACGCAACGTAATTGTCTTATGGTTTATTTGTTTTTGTTTTGTTGGGCTAGGCTCTTTAACGTCTGTCAAAACAGCCTCAGATTCAGATTCACTTTCAGAATCACATTCGGACCCCCTTAGATTTTCATAAAAACTGGTCCATGGGTACAGTTTTGGACGCTGATTCCAATGGTGAAGTCTGTTTTTCGCCACATATTATACTTTGGCCCCTAGAGGCATTCAAAGTTTTTTTGGGGCGAAGGGGGACCCCCTTAGATTTTCAAAAAAACTGGTCCATGGGTACAGTTTTGGACGCTGATTCCAACGGTGAAGTCTGTTTTTCGCCACATATTATACTTTGGCCCCTAGAGGCATTCAAAGTTTTTTTGGGGAAGGGGGACCCCCTTAGATTTTCATAAAAACTGGTCCATGTGTACAGTTTTGGACGCTGATTCCAATGGTGAAGTCTGTTTTTCGCCACATATTATACTTTGGCCCCTAGAGACATTCAAAGTTTTTTGGGGCGAAGGGGGACCCCCTTAGATTTTCATAAAAACTGGTCCATGGGTACAGTTTTGGACGCTGATTCCAATGGTGAAGTTTGTTTTTCGCCACATATTATACTTTGGCCCCTAGAGGCATTCAAAGTTTTTTTGGGGCGAAGGGGGACCCCCTTAGATTTTCATAAAAACTGGTCCATATGTACAGTTTTGGACGCTGATTCCAACGAAGAAGTCTGTTTTTCGCCACATATTATACTTTGGCCCCTAGAGGCAACAGATTCAGTGGCGGATCTACGTTGGGGCAAAATGGGCAATTGCCCCCCCTAAACGGAAAACCTCTGGGCAAACATATCTTTTTGCCCCCCCCTAAAAAACTACAACTTGAATACTAAAAATATGGTGTTTGAAAAGAAAATGTGAAATAAATGGAGGACTAGAAGGTTGTCATATTCGTGATATTAAGTTGTGAGCTGATAAAAAGTCCTCCGCCCCATGAATGTCAGTCCATCATCCATCAGCAGTGCTACTACTGCTACTGCTACCAAAAAAAAAAAAAAAAAATAACGCGATTTATTGAAACCTTGAACCAAGTAAACAAACCGTCAACAGCAGACCGCCAGACGCCAGTGGGGTCAGGGGTCACCACAACTGGTGAGCGGTTGGACAGTGGTGGGTTTGCATGGGTATATAAGAAGTGTTTGCATAATATTTTATTGCTAGATAGCATGGGTGTAGGTCGTAGGAGCTGAAAAAATATTGGTGGGTCTAAATATCCATTAGTACCTAGCATTTCCACTGAACGATATGGTTGAGCTACTGCCGCTGTGTCACTCAGTGATGGCCAGAAAGAACGGTGTACTGCGTGCCTTTGAGAACAAGTGCGAGATAGGTTTCTGAGAGGAATAACGTAAAGAAGATTACCAATCGCGGCTTTTTCATGAGCCATACCGTTATCTAAAGGCCGTGTTACACTGCCGAATTTTGGCCACGACCCTGTCGCCGAATCACGTCGTGTAGGAAATCGGCGAACAGTTTACCGACAGAGGCGAACAGTTCGCCGACAGAGCCCGATTTGCAGAAAACGGGTGGGGGGCCCCCCTAATCGTGCGCGGGTCGAAGCTGATCCATGATTCGGCGAACATCGCGAATGAATGGCGAATCTGTTGCGAATAGTCGGCGATACCTTGGCAACAAGTCGACGCACGCAGCGACATGTCGGCGGCGACTCGGCGACTGTTTGGCGATCATGTTCGTTTATTATAAATTCGGCGAACGGCCACGAAATTTTCATTTTTCATGAAATATTCGTGGCGGTCGTGACGAACCGTAAAAGTCGCGCGGTGGACACCGACTGGTCTGCGAAATGCCAAGACCGTGGAAGAAAGATCCCGAATCGGTCCGCGACATAGGATGACTTGCATATTCGTGCACACTCGTGTACCAAAATTCGGCAGTGTAAAGGCCGTGTAACGGGGACAAACACAGAAGGGCTCAGTCAGAGCTTTTGGTTTGCGAGGTGTTCGAGAAGCTCAGTATGTTGTGGGAACTTAACGCTGTTCAGTGTGATTCCGTTGGCTGTTGCGCTGTGGTCCTATGTAGTCTGTAGAAGCATCGTTTATCTCCTCTCGAAAGTAACACTTATTGTATAATTTTGCTAGCTCGCGAAGTTTAGTCCCAAAGTTAAGGAATGTTCATTGTAATTGCATCAATAAATGCAGGACCGAAAACAAATGCGCTGTTCGTCTATTTCTTGTTGGGATTCTTAATCGACTGATCTCATTTTCTATTACCGGAAACAACTGTTAATACGTTTAACTACGTGGCAACCCTGACTGCGTATAGTATCGCAGGTACGTACGCTGATGTGGCCTTTGGTCGTACTCGTGGGCATTTACACATGAACCTGCTGCTGCCACCCTTATCGGTCTCCGGATACAGAAGCCCTTGAGAACCGGCGCGGGCGGACCTTTCGGACGAGGTCTTGCCGAGGTGATGCGGGAGGTAGAGGACGGACCGTCCATAGCGCCGGTGAGCTATTCTCTAACTATCTCCCGGAGTCAGGGTGGCTGCAATTTTTTTTTGCGCTGCCCTGGCTTGGCCGGACTAACAAAAATGTAAAAAATAAAAAAAATAGTAATTCCCGAAATCCGAGGAGAAAAATAGGGGTAGCTCGTTTTTTTTTTGTTCCTAAGACTGCACTGAAAGAAAAGTACACCCAAAATTGGAATAATTTTACGGTGCCTAAATCTCCAACCCTAAGTGATCATTCTACTCCCCCGTGTAAACTGCTTTAACATGGGCGATTAGCGACTATTTTTACCACCGGGTGTTGTCAAATAACTCCCATGAGCTTAAAAATACACCCACTCTGGAGTAAAAGTACGGTGCCTAAAAGTCCAACCCTAAGGAATTATTTTACACCCCCGGTGTAGGGGAGTAAAGGCGAATAAAGCATGCGATTTACGAGAGTAATATTGCACTCCCAGTGTAATAATATCAAATCGCATTTCACCCCCTGCTTCTGAGTGTAAAAAAAAGTAAATAGCATAAATACACCAGAGTAAAAAAAAGTTGAAGGAGTAAAAATAAATCACATTATAATTCACGTTGAAACAAAAACTCAAAAAGATAATTCTATGACTGAAAAGGCTTGGAGTAAAATTACCCCGAGTTAAATATACGCTACTGTTTCAGTTTACCCTCTGGTGTATTTCTATGTCTAGGCTGCAATGTAATGGTATATCGTCTGCTTATACATACTTTGAACCAAAATTCATGATGAAGTCAAACGGATGGCATGCGATGACCATTTCGGATAGTATCGTGTAACCATGAGATGTCAGATACGCTATGGGCAGGATACGCATTGTGAACGCGCGGTACGAGGGATCCGAAATTATGTACAATAAATAAAACAGTGATGTCTGCCAGTCGGTGCAATAAAACGTGACTGCTAATAATGCAAATAGTAATTAAGAAATATCATGTTTAACACATATCATGTATTGATCATAGTTCAATCACAGTACAATCACTGGCTTCGATCTCGATGAGTTTGATTACGTTATATCACAGACACTTTGATCACAAACAAACCACCCAATCACTTTGTTCTATATGTACATGGGGTTGCGCAGTGCGCACGTAAAATACCCGATTTGAAACTTGAATTGGCTAAGGGATAGTTAGCCCAGTTAGCTTCCAGCATAGTTAGCCAAATTGAATATTTTCATACAATGTGATACACGTTTGGGAAGACATTCTTCCAAGTTTTAGATAAATCCATTCACGTTCAGCTCAGTTGTGCTGTGCACCTCGACGTGACTCCTATCGTTTTTCAGTACTTTCTCGAGGCGCTCGCGGTACGCCAGCGCTGCTTTCTAGCGCATCTCGACGGTGATCTCTGCGAAGGCGGCTCTGAGCCGACCGTGTAACTTCGGAATGTTCGCCGTCTGCGTCAAGTATGCATACGACTTCACAGACCCCCACATGAAAAAATTCACGCGCGGGGTGAGGTTGGGCTTCGCCCAAACTGCCCTGGCCACCGCACTCGCCCAATTTGCCCTGGCCACTGCGCTAGCCCGACCTCACCCCGCGTGTGATTTTTTCATGTGGGGGTTTGTGAAGTCGTAGGCATACTTGACGCAGACAGCGAACATTCCGGAGTTACACGGTCGGCTCAGAGCCGCCTTCGCAGAGATCACCGTCGAGATGCGCTAGAAAGCAGCGCTGGCGTACCGCGAGCGCCTCGAGAAAGTACTGAAAAACGATAGTGGTCACGTTAAGGTGCACAACTCAGCTGAGCGTGAATGCATTTGTCTAAAACTTGGATGAATATCATCCCAAACGTGTATCTACGTATGTACATTGTGTGAAAATATCATCAAATTTGGTTAATAATCATGGAAGGTATTAAAGTTTCAATTCGGGGGTTTTCCGTGCGCCACCCTGTACTTTGTACTCTTGGCGCTTAAACATGAAAAACTTTGAAACATGAAACGCACGCAGACCACGCAGTATACAGTATACACTCTTCGTCTGTGGGTCTGTGCTAGATCTGAGCTGCCGACATGACAAGAGTGGCGTACCGCAATTGCCAGTACTCTCGCACGCGCATCTTGCACTCTACTCAGCCAGGGAGCACACTATCTTCTACGATGCTTTACTTAGTGAAATAGATGTTTAGGGCCTTCTTGTAGAGCACCTCGAAGAGGCACTTGCATGGTCAACAGAACGGAAGATAAAACACGGCATGAGTTGCAAGGATTGTGGCAACTTCACCGACCTTCGACTGTGGCAGCTCGAACTCGCTCTCTGAACGTTGAGGCGGGACGACTGAACACTCACGGAGCTCTGCTCGTTCTTCAGATCGTCCAGCGTCGCCCCGCGCCCGTAGGCGGGTAGCGCCACCAGTTCGTCACCTGTGAAGAGGAAAATAAATTAACAATGATTTCCCGACACAGCGGAGCCAGGAGAATAAACATTATTGTATGGTTACTCCCGTTGAAGCCTCAGCCCTTCGGGACCCGTCAGGAGCGCGGCTCGCTGCCCTTCCGTGGTGCAACTGAGTGAGATATAAATTGTCTGCATGTATTCACCGGTTCAGGATGCAATACGTAACATTACTTTTACTATTGAGTAAAGATACATCTCAGATATTTGTATACGGATAGAATCAAAATGATAAATCACATAAAGTTTTAATTATAATTACGCATCTTCAAGTCATGAATGAACATAGTGTACTAATTTCGCCGGGACCAGAGAAAGGCCACAATGCCAACGCTGGTAACTTGTCTGTAAAGAGGGACATAAAGTAACCAATGACCCCGCATTCCGCAACCACCGTTGACCGTTCCCCCATGTGCGTTATACGTAGGTAGGATGAGAAAGTAGGGGAGAGTGGGGCACATTCGTGCAAAAAATAGATAAATCCATATATCTTTTCTTTGGTTAGTGCAATGGCAAAATTGTTGATTATAGTATGGAAAGGAACTATTGCATGATATTTTTCCTCTTTAAAAGTTATCCTCTAAAATTATTGCTTCTATTAGAAAAAAATGACTTTTAGCTGAACGTTTGCACGAAACTGCCCCACCTATGGGGCACATTCGTGCAAGGGATGGGGCACTTCCGTGCATCCTGCAAGTGCAAAGTTCGAGAAATTACCGGGCATTACCAGAAATTTACCAAAGGAAATTGGCAGGGGGTCATTTCACTTGATTCCTTTCGACAAGAATGCATTGCACAACATATGTAGACAGAATGGGGTGGCCAACAAGAATGTGCCGGCCTCCGTGACCTCGCCAAGTTCGCGTGAACTACTCGTCACGACGTCGCAAGCAGCCGAGACTGAGTCAGGCGAGCGTCATTATAGTGAAACCTATTACAGATAAAGTCATAAATCGCAAAAACTAAAAAAATATGCACGAATGTGCCCCCAGGCAGTGCGTACACTAACCTGCCCCACAACGTTATTTGTAATATATTTCAAAACTTCTTGTTGAAAAAATGACACTTTTTCAACAAACAAGTTTGCAGCAGTTCCGTGAATAGAGTGAGCTTCTTCGCCCCCAATTTTGAAAAGCTGAACCCATTTCCGAGTCTGGATCACGAAAATGGATGATATGAGAAAAGTTTGGAAAGCTCACGAACATTACAAATTTTCCAGTTCCAGTTTGGTAAATTTTGACATTTTTCGATATGAAGGACGAGTGCGTTCGATCTATTGTGGTTCCGGACATCGCGTTTGTGTTCCTTCAATCGTGTGTCGAGTCACATTTTTCGATATGAAGGACGAGTGCGTTCGATCTATTGTGGTTCCGGACATCGCGTTTGTGTTCCTTCAGTCGTGTGTCGAGTCACAAACGCGATGTTCGGAACCACAATAGATCGAACGCACTCGTCCTTCATATCGAAAAATGTCAAAATTTACCAAACTGGAATAGTGCTCATGTCATTGAAAAAGGCATGTCAAAATCGGTGAGAAAAGCTCTGGAAGCAGCTCACATCTGTTTCCAAGATACAGTGAACGAAAAACCTGGATTCTTCACCTGGGCAAAAGCGGCTGCAATGTTGGCACTAGGAAAAAAATCTTAAACGATTTCTAAACGAAAGGTGATTGGCGAACTTTGAAAGACTCTGAGAAAAGGCGAGCGAATTAAACGTTCCGACATTGACATTGTGACCTGTAGGTACATTCATTATATAATTTAATTTTCAGCATATCAAAAGAACGCGACAAGAACAATAGCGTGATGAATGCCGTTCTCGGTTGAATCAAAGAATGCATTTCGAAACCTGTGCCCGATGTGTCGACTTCAAACGATTTATACCGATTGTTTTTGATACTGTGTTTTTAATTTAACCCTCGCCCGCACATGCCATTTTCCCATCCTAGAACGCACATGGGGGGTGGTTGCCACCCCCCGCGCCATTTCGTTCCTGTTGGAGATAGAGCTTAGCGGTAAAGACCAAAAAGATTCTTTGGGAAGAGACGAATCCAACGATACCCAGTTTTACCTTCTCAGGTCAGTCATTGACCTTCCAGGTCAGGTCAAACTAAAAAATGTTGCTGTTTTGGGTCACCGTTGGATATCAAGTGCGCTGCTTATCAAATGCCGATGACGATGGTGTTTTCTGGTGCCAAGCCAGCTAAAACCTCTTTGTCACACTACCCGACCAGAATTTTGCTGCTGAGGTCATTTCAGGTCAAGTTAGGTCAAGGTCAATTATATGTGTTTGTATGTCTGTGTGTGTCTGTGTGTATACTGATGTGTGCACCGATTGTTTTTGGGTCCATATTACACAAAATCATGATCTGAGAAGCTTTTACCAAAAATGCAGTCAAAAAAATTCACAAAAAGTAAATTCCGCTTGCCTAAAACGCAATTATCTTAGCCCGCGCCCCGTAGGGGGGGGGGCCGAAACGGCCCCCCCCTGTCCTTTTCGGTCGATATCTCCTAAACGGCTGGAGATATCGCCACCAAACTTTCAGGACCCCTCCGGGCATCAATTTTACACATTGTGACCAAAAATTTTTCCAGAGGCTATGATAGGTTGGCCACAAATGACGTCAGAGTGACGTCATGTTCTGTCATTTTCGACCGAAAAAAGACCTTCGCGAGAAGACCTGTCAGGACTACAGCTTTGAAGATACAGAAAAATGATCAAGACATAAAAGGTGTAGAATTGACAGGGCTACAAAACTGCTATCTCGAATTTTTGAAATTTTTGAGTTTTGACCCCCAAAAATCAAAAAAGCATTTTTTTGGATATATTCGCCGAAAATCCAAAAAGTTTTTTGAGTTTCGAAAAAGCCGGAATATATGTGATAGTGCCTACCGTCTTCTATCTACATACCAAATTTCAGATCGATACCTCGTTTTTTGGCCAAGTTATAGCGAAAAAACTGTTCAAAAATGATGACGTCAAATTTTCAAACTCAATTTTTGGCAATTCTAGAACTCGTAGAGCAAAACGAAGACCACCATTAGACTCCCCGTGACGAGCTGCATCGAATCGATACCCATTTTATGCAAAAAATATCAACTTTGAAATTTGACCTAATTTGACCTGACCTTGACCTGACCTTCACAAAAACGTGACCTAGGCTGGCCCCAAAGGCTGCCTAACCCACATAATCGCATTTGTCATGTAAAATGGACCATAAAACATGCATCACACGACACATTCATATTGTGACCCCCGTGACCTGACCTCGCTGTGACCTGACCTGGTATCAGTGACCTCAGATAGCAAAGTATGTGTTTGACGAACAATGTACCATCGATGGTTTTCAATAAATTACCAATTTACTCGCTTTCACAGCACATTTCTTGAATTGCCTGTGAACGGTGAAAATCTGACCTTTGACCTGACCTGTGACGTCATCGGTTTGACCTAGGTCAATGAAATTTGGTCACAAGGTAGTTCCCGGGTGGGGCTATCGAAGGCCGTTTGAATTTTGAAAATCGGCCGGTAACTTTCCGAGATCTTAGGGGGGGGCCGATACGGCCCCCCCCCCCTACGGGTGGTAGGGTCCGCCGGTAGCCCTACGGGGCGCGGGTTAAATGACCTAGGTTGACCTTGACCCTGACCTTGACCCCTGTACATCGTCGAACAACATGTTCCATGATAGGTGGGAGGTAATACTGGCAAAAAAGGCCGAAATCAGGGTGTCAAAAGCTCACAAGGCCCATGGCAAACGCAAGATGTTGAGAATTAGCCATTTGGGTCATGACATGACCTGAAAAACAAGGTCATATCTCCGAAACCAAAAGTCACAGAAACTTCAAATTTTCAGTGGACATCAAGAAAGGATAGAGGAGCAGCCATACGAAAAATCAGCCCTCTACCTTTAAAAATGTTGAGTGCAGAGCAGAAAGACTACCTGGGGGGGGGGGGGTGGCAACCACCCCCCCCCCCCCATGTGCGGGCGAGGGTTAATTAATCACTAGTATCCACTGACGAAGGCACCCTGTGGCCGAAACGTCTGGTTTTAGGAATTTGACTTGTGTTGCCATCGATCGTGAATAAAACTCAATGATTATTTACAATAGACCTTATAGCTGTGGCTACCAGAAATCAAAGCCCACAGTTGTATAAACAGTCAACAGATATTCGTCGGTCCTCGGACATTCTGAGAAAAATCATCGATCAGATTGGCGCATGCCTTGCGGTCCGAGGAGCTATCAGCACAGATTACAAATTGGACGGGGGGGGGGGGGCGCGTAGATTGGCCTGCTACATCTGAAAATGTAAAAAAAAAAATAGCGCCCTCTCACGATCACAATACCATAACCCGCGCACCGACGGGGGTCTGCGCCAACTTCGTACCGACGGGGGGGGGGGGCGGATGACTGCCCCCCCCCCCCCTGAGATCTCGAGAACGAAGCAAGATAGCGACAAGAGGTAAGCGGCAAGGGATACGCACGGACAAGGTCTACAATTTTTACTAAGGTCATTTTCAGGTCAGGTCAAAGATGACGTCACAGGGGTCAAAAAAGTCAAAATAGCGGCGCTAGGTATAGAGAGAGTTTTTCTCGAATAACTTTCGAACTAGTCAATATAGGAACAAACTAAGGGCAGCATCGTGATCCTCTCGTCAATCCGCATCGAATGATATATATGTTGACCTCAAAAGGTCAAGGTCAAAGGTTGACCTCAGGTCACGTGATCTCGAGGTCATCATGCATATCATTCGATGCGCCTTGACGAGCTGAGCACAATGAGACCATCCGCGCGGCTGTATCTTGTTCCTGTACGGAGTTATTGTCAAAAAACCGCTGGTGACCTTTGATGACGTCACATGACCTTACAGCTGCCCAACTGCAAAACAGACCTCAAGGTAGTGAAGGTTGATCGTATATGAGGTCATGTATGGTTTATGGGGCCATTCCGACCCGTTTTAGTGGTAAAAACAGGGAGTTGATTTTTCCCCCATTGACTAATAATGGGGAGGTCGAGAAATTGACCTGACCTTAGGTCATCGATATCAAAATTATGAGATAAAAAAATTGTAGCTACTAATGACCTTATAACATCCTGCGACTTTCAAAGGCCTCCGACATCTACTGTAGCTCTGGCACGGTGACAAAATTGCAAAAAAGTGACTTGAGGCTGGGTCATTCAAAGTGACCTGGTGACCTGACCTTAAAAAAAGTTAGGAGGTTCAAACTTGCACACCATGTGTAAAATTGATGAGAGAATAGTCGTACCAAATTTCGCGTTCCCGCTATTTGCGAAAAACCTCAGGGGGGGGGGGCAGAATCCGCCCCCCGTCGGTGCGCGTGATAAGTGATCGAAACTCACCGTCGGTGATTGGCGTATCAGGGAGGACGTTGGCCGCATACTGCTCACACACTTGCTGGATGTTCGTAACTTTTTCCTTTAGCTCTTCTGGCTCCTCACGAGTCCCCATAATCAGGGTCAGATCGTGCCACAACTGAAATGGAAGGAAAACAAATATTAGGCAAATATAGAGCGTGCAATCACCAGTAGCGTCGCTAAAATGGGATCTTATAGGAGCCGGGAAACTCTGGTGTCGCATCGAACGAGCTCAGGTGACCACCTGCTGAGCATGATTTTAACTTAATTCCTGTGTGGCTGGCTCCTACCTACAAAAGGCCTCCGATCTAGAGGGCATCATCTCTTTTGAGGAGTCAGAGGGCCGAGGGGCCCTAGTGGTCACTGGTCAGACACAGATACCATCGGCTATTCACAGGAGGCCCCAGGTGGTAAGAAAGACCCCAGCTGTCAGCGAAAAATAGAAGGAAAACTATTTATATCACATTTTTTGGCTGTAAATTGATAATGGTCAGTCTGACCAGCAAGTCACTTTCACTGTGACCAAAAATGGGTTAAAGGGACTATCCCACCTTCTAAAATGTTGTTAAAACCAGTTAAATTGTGCCCGACTTTATAGATTGGATGACCAGGAACACGGTTCTGGCATTTATTTTTCATTAAACATCTTAGGCTTCCCATATTCCAAACACAAACTTTCAAATATGTGACGTCACAGCCCAAAATTACCTCCTTCCCCAGGCCACATTACTGTCATAAATCTGATTCTTTTTACTCTGTAGGCACCACAACAAAGTTCAGACCAAGTTTTAAGCGATTTTTCAACGAACAAACCCATTTAAATCAGAATGACTAAACGAGGTGACGTCACACTAACGGTCGCTCTATGTTGAAGATAGGGCCTTGTACAAGCCCATTTTCAAATGAAGGGAACGAATTTCTTCAACACCAAGAGGCCGCGGGGGTTGCAACCTTAGATACCTAGATAGTGGTTTCTGAACCTCGCCGCAAACTTGGCTATCTCAACTCAAACCCCATGTTAAAGGTGGAATAGTCCCTTTAATATAAGGCAATATCCTGGCCAAAAGATACATTTTAAGTCTTACCTTTGTTGTTCACTGCTTGCCGCGGTCTTGGTCGTCCAGTAGACACTGCACGCTTCACCTGCACGCCACCCCACGCTTCACCATGTATCCATCCAGTTCAAAGTTTCGACACAAACGGTAAAATGGCGGTACAAAATGGCGGTATAAATTGGCCACGTGGAACACCATAGTAAAATAACGCCCCGAGCTGTAAAAATACAACACTGAAGACTGAAATAACCATGTAGCATAAAACCACACCTAAAAATCCCTCGCTTATCAAGTCCACAGTGTAAATTTACTCCATTTAGGTTTTGCGATAATCAGCTGAACCACGCAAGTGTAAATTTATGCTACCAACTAGCCATTTATTATCCGCATGGGATTAAAAATGCACTTGGGTAATAATTTTACTACCAATAAGCTGAGGTGTAAAAAACATAAGAACTTGAAATTACACCATAGTTGCAAGAAAACCCTAAAGTACTGGATGGATTACACCTAAGTTGAGTAAAAAATGCACCTAGTCATCTTTTAACTCTGAATTTTCGGCTAAGGGTGGTACAAATAGTCTGGAAAGTGGTGTTAAGTGGTTACAAATATCACCCAAAAATACCACCAAGGTGTACTTTTCTTTCAGTGTGCACTGAAAACAAGTTGAAAGAACGTAATGCAAAAACATCTTAAAATATTCCACACTTAGGTTTTTTGGGTATTAGGGTAAACTGGCTTAGAGGCGAAGCAGAACGTCTGGTTCATGAAGAACACACACAGTGTTTCACATAGACCGAAGACACGTGCTGCTTCTTCGCGTGCAGTCTTAGCGGCCCCAGGGGGCTTCAACTCGACCAACACCGGTTCTTCTTGGTTCTCCCTATAGTCACGTGATATTACGTCACACAAAGCGCGCGAAAGATAAACCCTTTAAAGGTTTTACAGGAACTAGCATCGGGTTTAAGAAGAATGGGTTGTGGCTTAATCAGTGTAATGGCTTTCATCAAGACCACGTCCGCGGTACCACGTTCTAGCGTCCACCGGAAGCGATCGCCATTTTTCGATCGCGTTGGATCCAAGTTGGATCACGCTTTGTGCAGTGCCGAGCGGCTGGTGCAAGATTGGGTGAATGGCAAGTAATCGAATATTAAAGAACTGAAATAAGGTTAATTTTTGGCTTGTCAAGTGTTGTGTATTATTTACATTACTTGTGATTGACAATGATAAGCAATATCACAACGCTCTCCAAATGCATGGATGAATGCATTGGATGAAGAAAATTCATATGCAAGACCAATCAATGCAGTAAGTATTTATATGTTGTATAAATGCCCCATAGCTTAAATTATGCATGTGGTATTTAGACAAATCTTCCAAATGAACACAAATCAGGAATAGAATCAGCTTGCCATTTTGGGGTCAACTGATTTAGGTATAAATTTGGCTGATTTTAATAAACATATGTTCTTGCTGATAAGTGCAATATTATATCTAGCTGCACTTTATATGTTAAGTGCATTATTTTATTTTTGGAGTAGGCTCATGGTCTCTGAAGTCAATCTAAGTTTCTTTACTCCCTGTCTGTTGAATAACGCATCCGCCCGACTCTTCATTCTAGGGGACGAGGCCATCTCCGCTCTGATTGAGGCCCTGGAGTCTGAGGAGAGCGTCCTGGCGCGCGGAGACGTCGACATCGTCGAAAACGCTGGCTTGAAGCTGGTGGTGGCCAAGGAGAAACTGTATGTGATTTGGGAGAATGCGATATCGCCACCCGGCTGCTGACATGGGCGATACCGCATATTGTGTTTGGGAAAACATCCATTTTTCTAAAGCTAAAAATGTGTTCATATTTGTACAGAAAGCAACCCTGAGCGTGAAGGAATCAACCTGAATAATTAACCATGCCCGAAAGGCTCTGGAGTTCTTTGGCTTGGATGTGTAAGGCAAGTGACACGGCCGAGGGGAAAGCGTTCTTGCAGGCTGATTGCGGGCTGATCGCAGGCTGAATGCGGGCTGGTTGCGGGCTGATCGCATGGGCTGGTTGCGGGCTGGTTGCTCCTGACTGGAGACTTGCAGGCTGATTGCTCAGAGTAAAGAGGAAGGATAATACATTTTAAGGTGTATCAAATACTGTGTTTGCGCAGCAGATGTGACGGCGCAGGTCGATAGCCATGCAATTGCATGGGAGGTTTAATAGACGAATGAACGGGGATTTTGCGGTATTGCAATAGAACTGAAAGGGTTCTACAACCGATATTCAGAACACAGGGTGGTTTCCCTATAAACCTCAGGGACTTCTTCACAGACCCTTTGGGGTTCTTATCTATGTGCTAGGAACGCTCTTATTATAAACCCTAAACCTCATAAGAGTCTTTGGAAGAATCGTGTGGGTTCTTTTCATGAGAATGCAAAGCCGTCTACGTGAAGAACCATGGGGGTTCTGAAAAACGGTGGCATAACATTTTACCCCACAGGGGTCTAAATACCCCTGTACGTTCTTAACGTTCTTCCAAAGTGTTTTCAGTGTGGACATTTGAAATTCTCGCCGACTTGCCTGGCGGCGCAATGTTTGCCCCCCCCCCCTAAACTCAAATCCTAGATCCGCCACTGAACAGATTCACTTTCAGAATCACATTCCGACCCCCTTAGATTTTCATAAAAACTTTTTCATAAAAATTTTTAGGATAGGTGTAAAATTAATTAACCCTCGCCGGCACGGGCCATCTTGAGTCCTTCGACGGCACAAGGGGGGGCCCTCGCGTTTGGCCCCTGATGGAGCTAGAGCTTTGCGGAAAAAACGAGCGTGTTGCCCGTCACGAGAGGAAGCCAATGATACCCTATTTTAAGGTCCTAGGTCATCGGTTGACCTTCCGGGTCAGGTCAATGACCCCAAAATCGGGCATATCGGGACCTGTTAGAAAGTCGTAAAGCGTGGCCGCTCAAGGGTTTTCCGGGGTGCTGATCACAAATATCGTGTTAGTTTTGATCACAGATGATGTCGGTAAGCGTTTAGACTAGGTCGGGTCAGGTCGGGTCAGGTCAGGTCAGGTCAACCGGTAGGGGTCATGACGGGTATTCGTAGTACCTGTCATCCGCCTCTGACAGCTTCGTAACATGTTACGAAGGCACCAAAACTACTTCGCTTCGCAAAAAAAAAACTTTGGATGCCTCTAGGGGCCAAAGTAAAATATGTGGCGAAGAACAGACTTCACCATTGGAATCAGCGTCCAAAACTGTACACATGGACCAGTTTTTATGAAAATCTAAGGGGGTCCCCCTTCCCCCAAAAAAACTTTGAAAGCCTCTAGGGGCCAAATTATAATATGTGGCGAAGAACAGACTTCACCATTGGAATCAGCGTCCAAAACTGTACACATGGACTAGTTTTTATAAAAATCTAAGGGGGTCCCCCTTCCCCTAAAAAAAAAACTTTGGATGCCTCTAGGGGCTAAAGTATAATGTGTGGCGAAGAACAGACTTCACCATTGGAATCAGCGTCCAAAACTGTACACATGGACCAGTTTTTATGAAAATCTAAGGGGGTCCCCCTTCCCCTGAAAAAAAACTTTGGATGCCTCTAGGGGCCAAAGTATAATATGTGGCGAAAAACAGACTTCACCGTTGGAATCAGCGTCCAAAACTGTAACCATGGACCAGTTTTTATGAAAATCTAAGGGGGTACCCCTTCGCCCCAAAAAAACTTTGAATGCCTCTAGGGGCCAAAGTATAATATGTGGCGAAAAACAGACTTCACCATTGGAATCAGCGTCCAAAAACTGTACCCATGGACCAGTTTTTATGAAAATCTAAGGGGGACCCCCTTCGCCCCAAAAAACTTTGAATGCCTCTAGGGGCCAAAGTATAATATGTGGCGAAAAACAGACTTCACCATTGGAATCAGCGTCCAAAACTGTACACATGGACCAGTTTTTATGAAAATCTAAGGGGGTCCCCCTTCCCCCAAACAACTTTGAATGCCTCTAGGGGCCAAAGTATAATATGTGGCGAAAAACAGACTTCACCGTTGGAATCAGCGTCCAAAACTGTACCCATGGACCAGTTTTTATGAAAATCTAAGGGGGTCCCCTCCCCCAAAAAAACTTTGAATGCCTCTAGGGGCCAAAGTATAATATGTGGCGAAAAACAGACTTCACCGTTGGAATCAGCGTCCAAAACTGTACCCATGGACCAGTTTTTATGAAAATCTAAGGGGGTCCCCCTCCCCCAAAAAAACTTTGAATGCCTCTAGGGGCCAAAGTATAATATGTGGCGAAAAACAGACTTCACCGTTGGAATCAGCGTCCAAAACTGTACCCATGGACCAGTTTTTATGAAAATCTAAGGGGGTCCCCCTCCCCAAAAAACTTTGAATGCCTCTAGGGGCCAAAGTATAATATGTGGCGAAAAACAGACTTCACCATTGGAATCAGCGTCCAAAACTGTAAACATGGACCAGTTTTTAAGAAAATCTAAGGGGGTCCCCCTTCCCCTGAAAAAAACTTTGGATGCCTCTAGGGGCCAAAGAATAATATGTGGCGAAGAACAGACTTCACCATTGGAATCAGCGTCCAAAACTGTACACATGGACTAGTTTTTATAAAAATCTAAGGGGGTCCCCCTTCCCCCCAAAAAACTTTGAATGCCTCTAGGGGCCAAAGTATAATATGTGGCGAAAAACAGACTTCACCTTTGGAATCAGCGTCCAAAACTGTACACATGGACTAGTTTTTATAAAAATCTAAGGGGGTCCCCCTTCCCCTAAAAAAACTTTGGATGCCTCTAGGGGCCAAAGTATAATGTGTGGCGAAGAACAGATTTCACCATTGGAATCAGCGTCCAAAACTGTAAACATGGACTAGTTTTTATAAAAATCTAAGGGGGTCCCCCTTCCCCCCAAAAAAACTTTGAATGCCTCTAGGGGCCAAAGTATAATATGTGGTGAAAAACAGACTTCACCGTTGGAATCAGCGTCCAAAACTGTACCCATGGACCAGTTTTATGAAAATCTAAGGGGGTCCCCCTTCGCCCCAAAAAAACTTTGAATGCCTCTAGGGGCCAAAGTATAATATGTGGCGAAAAACAGACTTCACCATTGGAATCAGCGTCCAAAACTGTACCCATGGACCAGTTTTTATGAAAATCTAAGGGGGTCCCCCTTCGCCCTTAAAAACTTTGAATGCCTCTAGGGGCCAAAGTATAATATGTGGCGAAAAACAGACTTCACCATTGGAAGCAGCGTCCAAAACTGTACACATGGACCAGTTTTTATGAAAATCTAAGGGGGTCCCCCTTCCCCAAAAAAACTTTGAATGCCTCTAGGGGCCAAAGTATAATATGTGGCGAAAAACAGACTTCATCGTTGGAATCAGCGTCCAAAACTGTACCCATGGACCAGTTTTTATGAAAATCTAAGGGGGTCCCCCTTCCCCCAAAAAAACTTTGAATGCCTCTAGGGGCCAAAGTATAATATGTGGCGAAAAACAGACTTCACCGTTGGAATCAGCGTCCAAAACTGTAGGGGAGAGCGGGGAGAGTTGTATCATGTCCAAGTTGTATCAGGGCGAATTGTGCCAAACTTATCCAATGGATGGCGCTCGCGACACGACCAGCCGACGAGGTTTTCCGGG